AGGATCCCCCGTAATGCGCTCGATATGTCATCGCTTTTGTTGTAATCTTTCCTGCCTTGAGTGAGAACTTTGACATTATACCACAATGCAGGCTCCAGGAAATTAGGAACAGGTTCCAATTGAACGCTCCACCGAAAAAAGAGATAGAGACCGAGGGCACCAATAGGGCAAACCTCGACATTGCGGTGTCGGATGCACGAACCAAAGTCGCGACGCCCATACTGGTTGGTCTTTCCCTGCTCCATGATCATCACGAGCGCACGGCAATCCGTGAAACCTTCGTGCTCGAGCTCCACACTGAACAAGTCAGGTAGCTCCAAATTGCGCGCAGACTCGCCTCGTAATAAACACGAATGACACAGAAAATGGCTCATACGGTTCCGTAAATCACTGCCGGTGTTAAGATTCATGTAATAGCGAGAGATTGCCACCAGATCATCAGTCGTACAATACCCATCCAGCAACGATCCAACACCGCGATCTACGAACTCACGTTTATTTTTTTCATGCTTCTCGCGCTTGAGCGATGATAGCAGCGCTTTGATCAGATTGTTTCTCGGGTGCGGATGAGTGTTTGCTCCTCTGCTTTGAGGGCAGTCGCAAATGCGTTAAACGCAGTCGTGTTGAACGGAGGGTTCCCCCACCACTTGTGGGCTGGATGCACTTCGCGCAGCAGCACTGCGTCCTGGAGGACGACCACCCGAAGGTACAGTAGCAATTCCAAAAACCCACCAGTTGATATGTGAGGTGCTGATTCTTTACGCATACAACCATGTAGTTTTCAACAAACGGGAACACTTCGCGCTGAAGACTTTCAGGAGGAATCAGAGCAGCTCGTTCCAGAAAAAAACGAGCGCCGGTCCAGGGGAAAACCAGCAAGTGAGTGCATGGCGTCACGAGGCAACGCTGTCAAGTAGCACCCCTCCATGGCACCAGCATTCCAGCGCCCGAACCGTCGGATCTGTGACTCTGTCGCTCCTGCCAGCTCCGCCATTCGAGATCCAGACCCTCGGGCAGCGTGGGTCTTCGCCTTCGAGTGTAGACCAAGAGCAGAAAAGGCTTTTACAGTAGCGTCGTAATGCGCTCGATATGTCATCGCTTTTGTTGTAATCTTTCCTGCCTTGAGTGAGAACTTTGACATTATACCACAATGCAGGCTCCAGGAAATTAGGAACAGGTTCCAATTGAACGCTCCACCGAAAAAAGAGATAGAGACCGAGGGCACCAATAGGGCAAACCTCGACATTGCGGTGTCGGATGCACGAACCAAAGTCGCGACGCCCATACTGGTTGGTCTTTCCCTGCTCCATGATCATCACGAGCGCACGGCAATCCGTGAAACCTTCGTGCTCGAGCTCCACACTGAACAAGTCAGGTAGCTCCAAATTGCGCGCAGACTCGCCTCGTAATAAACACGAATGACACAGAAAATGGCTCATACGGTTCCGTAAATCACTGCCGGTGTTAAGATTCATGTAATAGCGAGAGATTGCCACCAGATCATCAGTCGTACAATACCCATCCAGCAACGATCCAACACCGCGATCTACGAACTCACGTTTATTTTTTCATGCTTCTCGCGCTTGAGCGATGATAGCAGCGCTTTGATCAGATTGTTTCTCGGGTGCGGATGAGTGTTTGCTCCTCTGCTTTGAGGGCAGTCGCAAATGCGTTAAACGCAGTCGTGTTGAACGGAGGGTTCCCCCACCACTTGTGGGCTGGATGCACTTCGCGCAGCAGCACTGCGTCCTGGAGGACGACCACCCGAAGGTACAGTAGCAATTCCAAAAACCCACCAGTTGATATGTGTGGTGCTGATTCTTTACGCATACAACCATGTAGTTTTCAACAAACGGGAACACTTCGCGCTGAAGACTTTCAGGAGGAATCAGAGCAGCTCGTTCCAGAAAAAAACGAGCGCCGGTCCGGGGGAAAACCAGCAAGTGAGTGCATGGCGTCACGAGGCAACGCTGTCAAGTAGCACCCCTCCATGGCACCAGCATTCCAGCGCCCGAACCGTCGGATCTGTGACTCTGTCGCTCCTGCCAGCTCCGCCATTCGAGATCCAGACCCTCGGGCAGCGTGGGTCTTCGCCTTCGAGTGTAGACCAAGAGCAGAAAAGGCTTTTACAGTAGCGTCGTAATGCGCTCGATATGTCATCGCTTTTGTTGTAATCTTTCCTGCCTTGAGTGAGAACTTTGACATTATACCACAATGCAGGCTCCAGGAAATTAGGAACAGGTTCCAATTGAACGCTCCACCGAAAAAAGAGATAGAGACCGAGGGCACCAATAGGGCAAACCTCGACATTGCGGTGTCGGATGCACGAACCAAAGTCGCGACGCCCATACTGGTTGGTCTTTCCCTGCTCCATGATCATCACGAGCGCACGGCAATCCGTGAAACCTTCGTGCTCGAGCTCCACACTGAACAAGTCAGGTAGCTCCAAATTGCGCGCAGACTCGCCTCGTAATAAACACGAATGACACAGAAAATGGCTCATACGGTTCCGTAAATCACTGCCGGTGTTAAGATTCATGTAATAGCGAGAGATTGCCACCAGATCATCAGTCGTACAATACCCATCCAGCAACGATCCAACACCGCGATCTACGAACTCACGTTTATTTTTTTCATGCTTCTCGCGCTTGAGCGATGATAGCAGCGCTTTGATCAGATTGTTTCTCGGGTGCGGATGAGTGTTTGCTCCTCTGCTTTGAGGGCAGTCGCAAATGCGTTAAACGCAGTCGTGTTGAACGGAGGGTTCCCCCACCACTTGTGGGCTGGATGCACTTCGCGCAGCAGCACTGCGTCCTGGAGGACGACCACCCGAAGGTACAGTAGCAATTCCAAAAACCCACCAGTTGATATGTGAGGTGCTGATTCTTTACGCATACAACCATGTAGTTTTCAACAAACGGGAACACTTCGCGCTGAAGACTTTCAGGAGGAATCAGAGCAGCTCGTTCCAGAAAAAAACGAGCGCCGGTCCGGGGGAAAACCAGCAAGTGAGTGCATGGCGTCACGAGGCAACGCTGTCAAGTAGCACCCCTCCATGGCACCAGCATTCCAGCGCCCGAACCGTCGGATCTGTGACTCTGTCGCTCCTGCCAGCTCCGCCATTCGAGATCCAGACCCTCGGGCAGCGTGGGTCTTCGCCTTCGAGTGTAGACCAAGAGCAGAAAAGGCTTTTACAGTAGCGTCGTAATGCGCTCGATATGTCATCGCTTTTGTTGTAATCTTTCCTGCCTTGAGTGAGAACTTTGACATTATACCACAATGCAGGCTCCAGGAAATTAGGAACAGGTTCCAATTGAACGCTCCACCGAAAAAAGAGATAGAGACCGAGGGCACCAATAGGGCAAACCTCGACATTGCGGTGTCGGATGCACGAACCAAAGTCGCGACGCCCATACTGGTTGGTCTTTCCCTGCTCCATGATCATCACGAGCGCACGGCAATCCGTGAAACCTTCGTGCTCGAGCTCCACACTGAACAAGTCAGGTAGCTCCAAATTGCGCGCAGACTCGCCTCGTAATAAACACGAATGACACAGAAAATGGCTCATACGGTTCCGTAAATCACTGCCGGTGTTAAGATTCATGTAATAGCGAGAGATTGCCACCAGATCATCAGTCGTACAATACCCATCCAGCAACGATCCAACACCGCGATCTACGAACTCACGTTTATTTTTTTCATGCTTCTCGCGCTTGAGCGATGATAGCAGCGCTTTGATCAGATTGTTTCTCGGGTGCGGATGAGTGTTTGCTCCTCTGCTTTGAGGGCAGTCGCAAATGCGTTAAACGCAGTCGTGTTGAACGGAGGGTTCCCCCACCACTTGTGGGCTGGATGCACTTCGCGCAGCAGCACTGCGTCCTGGAGGACGACCACCCGAAGGTACAGTAGCAATTCCAAAAACCCACCAGTTGATATGTGAGGTGCTGATTCTTTACGCATACAACCATGTAGTTTTCAACAAACGGGAACACTTCGCGCTGAAGACTTTCAGGAGGAATCAGAGCAGCTCGTTCCAGAAAAAAACGAGCGCCGGTCCGGGGGAAAACCAGCAAGTGAGTGCATGGCGTCACGAGGCAACGCTGTCAAGTAGCACCCCTCCATGGCACCAGCATTCCAGCGCCCGAACCGTCGGATCTGTGACTCTGTCGCTCCTGCCAGCTCCGCCATTCGAGATCCAGACCCTCGGGCAGCGTGGGTCTTCGCCTTCGAGTGTAGACCAAGAGCAGAAAAGGCTTTTACAGTAGCGTCGTAATGCGCTCGATATGTCATCGCTTTTGTTGTAATCTTTCCTGCCTTGAGTGAGAACTTTGACATTATACCACAATGCAGGCTCCAGGAAATTAGGAACAGGTTCCAATTGAACGCTCCACCGAAAAAAGAGATAGAGACCGAGGGCACCAATAGGGCAAACCTCGACATTGCGGTGTCGGACGCACGAACCAAAGTCGCGACGCCCATACTGGTTGGTCTTTCCCTGCTCCATGATCATCACGAGCGCACGGCAATCCGTGAAACCTTCGTGCTCGAGCTCCACACTGAACAAGTCAGGTAGCTCCAAATTGCGCGCAGACTCGCCTCGTAATAAACACGAATGACACAGAAAATGGCTCATACGGTTCCGTAAATCACTGCCGGTGTTAAGATTCATGTAATAGCGAGAGATTGCCACCAGATCATCAGTCGTACAATACCCATCCAGCAACGATCCAACACCGCGATCTACGAACTCACGTTTATTTTTTTCATGCTTCTCGCGCTTGAGCGATGATAGCAGCGCTTTGATCAGATTGTTTCTCGGGTGCGGATGAGTGTTTGCTCCTCTGCTTGGTCGTTATACAAGTCAGAAATCGCGTTCACGTACATCTCCACTATTGCCACGCCGACCTTACGTGTCGAGTTCTTCACACGAACTTCTCTGTCTACGACTTCCTCGCAAAGAAACAAGCGCATCTTAGCTGCTGGCACTTGGTAGCGCGTAGTTTTGTGAAAGCCCTTTCGATCACACCAAACCTTAAACTCTTTTTGCTTCGGCGCGTATGTGCGGGTCGTGTTGGCAGGCCTTGCCTTGCGGCAGCGATCTAAGGTTGCATTGGCGCTTTCCTCGAGCTCGGCTTGTAGCCCCGGTGGCTCCATGGTGCCCCTCCAGCACAATTTTGGTTATGGACTATTTTTTGCTATCAACGAGAGGCCGCCTGCTAGGAGGGACGTCGTCTCCAATCTATAGTGCGGCCAAGTGTAATAGCACGTAACCCTAGGGAGATAACCACTCATTTGCTTCACACATCAATTATTAGATAGTGCCATCATTTGGAAAATGCCAACATCATTTGATCATTTGTCTAGACTTATCAAATAGTGCCATCACCTTGCCCCCCCCTGAGTCGCGCATTGCTACATTGAGCGCCTGCAGTGCATCGTACGGCGTGTAGTCCAGCCGGCCGTTGAAGAGCTGCTCCAGTTGTTCCATGCGGACAGCAACGGGGTCCGCCTCTCGTCGTCGGGCAGCGCAAGGTCGCCGAACTCCTGCTGCTGGAAGGGGAGGCGGTGCAGCACGTAGATGTTTTTGCGTGTGTCCGACACCAGCGCCACGTCAGGGAACTGGTGGCTCAGCTCCGCCAAGAGCGACGCTCTGCCAGCACCGTGGGCGGACCGTCGCTGCCAAAGCTGCGACCGGCCTCGGACATGTAGTGGAAGACGTCGCCTACTAAGTTGAAGTTGACCTTGAAGTGGTTTGCGAGGACTTTCACAAGCTGACCGGTCTTTCCAAAGCCCGGTCGCGGCGGGATTTGCCGGCGCACAAGTAGCTGCGGCAGTGAGTCAGGCACGCGAGCCTTCTGCTCCAGCTCTGAAGTGACTGACCCGATGCTTGGGGTGACGGGAGGAGCGAGAGGCGGCTGGGGAGTGGCGGCTCCACGATCAGGACCACTCCCGCGGTCTGCGCCTCGGCCTCCGCGTCGCTGACCTCAGGTGCCGCTGGGGCGTGCGCGGTCGATGACAGGCTTGTCCGAAGCTTGTTGGTTACTGCGCCAACCCGACATTTTGCAGGACCAGAGATTCTTGTTGTCTGGGACGCGGAGTTAACGTGGATTGGTTTGATTGTCACAAATTGCTGTGCGACCATCATTTGTTTTCATTCCCGTCTCGCTCTTGGGTATTGTCGTACCGTAGGCATCTATGAATGCAATTACCCCGTTGGCTGCACGCAACACCAGGATACTCACTACAGTGCGCTATTCCATTATGACTTCATGCCTAATTGAGCCCTTTGCACGCGGCAGTAAGCTCTTCGTACAGTGTGTGTCAGCAGTATAACCCGACGAAAACAACACTCTCGAGAAACGGGTTACGAAGAATCTACGCACCAGCACCCAGGTGCAGCCCCGCCTTCGCGTTGCGATCGTACGCACCGAGCTCACGTTATTAATTAGCGCCTGCGTATCACGAACTCAAGTGGGGTAACACCAACCCCTGCCTGAAAGGTGAGGCTGCGCTAGAATTTGCCCCCGCGGGGGCCACAGTTCTTCCTTATCACGGCAATCAGCACCGGTACCAGCACCAGCGTTTTATACCACAGGTGTTCCCAGCCTAGTCGAAGACGACCTAGTTGGAGAGCGGCAGTGCTCTGCCTGTGGAATAAGTGAAATGCACAGCCCTTCACCACCAATGGGCAGAGGGGATGGAGAAACGGAACCCCTTGACATGTGAAACAGCGAATTCAACAATTTACAGCACATTCAGCTTCTACTACCGCCACCTCCCAGAATTCAAACTCCAAAAATCAAACCAAGTTCAACTCACTTCTACTGCATCCTCGACACTCCAATTATTCAGGTGACTTTCTCTCAGCAGGCTTGAAAAGAGATTCAAGCTTCGGCATGTAATATGCATTCAACTTACCACACTGGTGTGGTGTTCCCCTCTGTTGTCGAGCAAGTAACAATCTAGTTCACATGAATTGGCACTCAGATGAATTGGCGATTGAGCGAATACCCCGAGAGGTCCTATATTTCTACACCATTGCACGGCGTTATTCACAAAGCCAACACTCAAATGCAAAAAGTGCGCACTCAAATTCAAAACTGTCTCAGATATACTACCTTTTACAAATGATATACCTGCTAAATCAGGTTGAACAATTAAGCTCCAACTTGCATGTCTTCAAACCGGAGGCCACGTTGGTGGTGAGGCAACGAGTGACAAAACCGTCGGTTGCACAACTCTGGCGTTACAACTTCAGCGAAGAGAGGGTCCGCTGCAAGCTTCAGGAAGCCAGCGCGGTGCTCCGTGATGGTCGTTCTTTCTGGCACGCGCAGAATGTTCGGGCGCTGCCGCGCGAGAAAGCGCTTGACAGCGCTCTTGTACAGCGAGAACACGTTCTCGATAGGGTTCAGCATCGAGGAGTATGGCTCGATCTTCAGCATATCGGCCCCCACATACTTTGCTTCTTCAAACACGTCCTTGGCTGAGGTATGGGACGGGGCGTTGTCTAGAACAAGGACCACCTCGTCCAGTGGGGTTGTCGATCGGATATGGCGAAGGAAACGCCGGGTAAACTCGTTGGCCAGCTCCGACTTGAACGAACCTAACGGGGACTCCTGGTAGGCCACACCTGTACTGGAGATAACAGCAATAACATGGATGTTCTTACCTCGCCACACTCGTCTGCACTGCTCAATGCCCTCGCCTACTCCAGCCCCTTCCGCGCGAGCACCACAAGTTAATGTTGGTCTCATCCAGGTAGAAGACCTTCTTGTTGTTGGCGAAAGCCGCGTAGAATTTGACAACGTAGTCGTAGCGCTTCTACTTGTTGATGTCGCTGTTGCGATTGACGACGTCGCGGTGGAGCTTCTTTAGCGTGAAGCTATGCGCGTCCATGGCGCGACACACGGTCTCTCGGTTGATGCACACGTCAAACTTCTGCTCAACGAGCTCAGCCATTGGAACGAGCGTCAATTCAGGGGTAGCAGCGAGCGCGCTGGGCAGGTAAGCGACGTGCGCGTCCTGGATCTTCTTCTCGGAGCCGCCGCGCTGCTTCTGGACGCCACTCCAGTCGCCAGTGTCCATCGCCGTCTTGATACATCCCGAGGCGGTCCTCTCGTGTACATCATGGAGCGCCGCCACCGTCTTCCATTCCTTGGCCTTCTCAGCTGCGAGTAGGATGCACGCGCACACTTGTTGCGGGTACCGGTTGTAGCTGATATGAGTGTTGGGGGGGGGGGGGGGGGGCACGGCGCCAATTGCAAAGTGAACTCGATAGAAGTGCGAGCGTAGCGTTCGCGCCAAGATCCCGCCAGTTCCAAGCGCCTTTGGGTCCAACCAACATAATCCTATTAAAAAGAATAATACACGGTGTGTGATCTTGGATAGTTCATTTGAATTTGAGTGTTGGCTTTGTGAATAACGCCGTGCAGTGGTGTTTTAGTGTAGGAGTTCAGGTGCAACATGTAGCCAACCCGGTAATAGCTGTGGTCCACATTGCGAAGTAAGTGGTGGTGCTTGCTCCCGCTTCACTTGCAAGCCAGTTCGTGTTCTGCTCTCTCACAACAACTATAACGGAGCGTCTACCCAGCTTCGTCGGAATTCGAGTCTGCTCAGCTCAGGCAGTTGGGATAGATGCTGCCGAGAACTGTAGACTCATCACGCAATTCCCAGGCTGGAACAGCAACACGTGCCAACTTCGAAACGGACACGAATACCAAGTCGAAGGGATTTGTAGGATCTGTTGTGTGTTCCTACTTCACGAGCGTGTGTGTTTCGACGGTTCTGGCTATGATAAGGGAGCCTCTTGTAAGTTAAGAAAAGAGCCCCGGCAGCATACCATTCGCTACTTGGTCGTCTTCGACTTGGCTAAGGATACGTGAGGTATGAAATGCTGGTGGTATTAGGTACTGATGTCTATTGCCGTGATATGGGCGAGCTGCAGCTCATGCATATCACTCGAGTCGCAGGCCACTCTGAAGTTGGTACACGGAGCAATGGATAGTGTGCTACGCACTTCCTCTGTCAGTTCACTGCACCGGCCCCTATCCACCGTGCGTCCGACCTGCTGCCGACAACAGAAAATTGTCGCTAAAAGCTACTAGATCCACATACTTCTGACTGGCGCACAATCCTTTGGAGCCCGAAATAACATATTGCGAAGGGAAAATTCCAAAAGGTGACTGAAAACTGTGCAAAAGACTGCCGCAGCATAGGATTTTCTGCACGAAGTTTGAGCCAAGCCGAGATTCGCGTTACGATCAAGCAATTAATCTGTTGGAGCTGTCCACACCAATTCCTCGGGAGTTCCCAGTATGAAAGTCATAGCCCTCGTCATCGTACGGAGTAGCATTCGTGACCGTATGCAACGTACATGTAAATGATTGCGTGTACGTGTAGCCTGATGTCCGTATCAAAAAGCTACTTTGTTCGAAATCGACGATTTCAAATCGTCACAGCAAACCATTAGCTTGCCCTAACCTGGTACGTATTGAAGTCCGCTAAGAAAATAATAGTTTTTGTTTTAAGAAACGACGTTTACCGAGGTGTAGTAAGGTCTGTGGCCACTTTAGTACAAGTTTCAGCTTTCCCGTGGTAGAATGATAGGAACTGTTTTTCTAGACTCCTGCCACACAAATAAAGTATGACATAAAACCTGAGGATGCCGACTACAATAACGTTTCTTATTGTGACTGGTGCCATTTTCAAACAAGCTGAATGCCTAAAGGAAAAACGCGATGACTTTGGAGGCGCCGGCCAGTTTAGTGAAGCAAACGTCTTAATGTTTGTATTCTCTGAAATTTATTTTCAGAGCTAAGGGACGATCGGATTCCTGGTCTGAATTTGGGTTTTCTCCATTTCCCGCTATACTCGGTTTAGTGTATGCAATCAGAACAAACGGTTTTAGCTACAAGTCTATGCTTAAACGTGTGATTAAATCAACTATATATTTAAATAGCATTTATATACGTGTAAATTACGTGGACGTTACATGTGTCGTCGTCCCAGCAACACGCAAATAAATACAACCACACCGTGCGTAAAGTATTTAAGTTTGATGTAGTGCGAAGGGTACTAGAGCCCGTCGATACCCCCCTAGGACTACCGAACACTGAGCTTTGCTCGCACAGGCACTCCATGCGCTCAAGTCTGTACTTGTCCGCGGCCTCTAAGATTAAGTCCTTCATTCGTTGACCACCCTCTTCTTTCTCAGCACCGAAATCTGCACTATAGTCTCCACGGTGGAGTGATCTGGTAGTAGTTAATGAAACAAAGCACTCACGTACGAGTCTTCAACGTTGACGACCGCTTTCTCTGGTCCCTTCGATACCAGCCCACGCCTTGCTATTCAAAGCGAATCTAATGTCGTCGTTCAATGTGCGCATGGAGCTCCCAGCACCTTCACCTACCACGTCTTCTTCATTACCGATTTCATCAACTGAGCTAAACACTGACGTTGTTTCGCACTTCGCGGGTATTTCGTGTATCTTGAAAAGAATAAACACATGTCGGAAAGTGAAGGCCTGATCTTGCAAGCTGCACGCAGATCTCAAGCAAACTTTGTATTAATTATTTTGTATTAGCATTACCGGCTCATATCTAAAATCTACACTTTTTACCCGGCAGGTGCTGCGGCTGCGAAGCAGGCGCAGTAGATGCCAGTGGTTTGAATCTATTAAAATACGGGGTTTGTTCTTTCAAAAATGACCCAATCTTAGCCTCCGACAGCAGGGTATTGTGTGTGCACCTCGACCAGCGCATTGTTCGAGAGACAGGTAGCTACCACCGCGAGCGATCCCAGCGGCGCTAAAGCACCTGCACCGAGCGCAGAATGTGGGCGACAACAACGAAAGATTTATCAAACTGAACGCATACATCCCTTCAGAATTATGAATTTACGATCCAATTTACAATATATACTTATGGTTAGAAACGAGTGAGCTAACATGGATAGCCACTAACATGTCAGCGTTAGGGAGTACACTACATAATAACTGTGCTCACTTTTAAGCTGAATACGATGAATGGCGTGCTGTCGCGATAATTACAACCGATACCGCCGGTCTTTGGCTCGTTGTGTAGGCGAACTTATGGTAGAAATTATCAACTACCTACAAGGCAAAGAATAATTTATGAAGCTCTAATTGCTTAGCTCACAGCACCCGTGGGTTTTAATACCGTAACAGCAGATTATCGTTCCCTCTTCATCATCGAATTATGTGAACTAGGCTTGCAAATTCCGTACACTAGTCATTCAAATTGGTCTTCCTGATCCCTAACAGTGACATGTTTTGCCGAATTATGATACTCAGGACTATAAAATAGGAAAACCTTCTAACCTTAGCAACAGGAGGGACTCTGCAGCAATAACCAGATGCATCAGTACACGCATCGACATAAAGCCAAAGTCAGCGGCCAAGCTAGTAGAAAAACTACCAGTATTGCCGGTCTCTACGGAGGAACCTACTACATGTAGTGAGCGAGTATCTTTGAATATGGAGCATCGGGCTTCAATCCGGATACATTGTAGTTATTGCTCGCTCTGCTGCAAATTTCGGAGCTTCTACGGGTCCCGTACGACTTTGTGAGCGCAAAGTACTAGACTGCTATTTAGTATGCTACAGTGAACCGCTCATTTGCTTATTTTTTAAATATATATTTAAAAAATAGAGTTGTCAAGAAATAGCCACAGTTTTCAAGATTTGCAAAAGCTTCGGGAGCACTTTTCAGGCATTTGCAACCCCCTGTTACATTTAATAAAGCATCTTGGAAACTACGAAATATTCTATCTCTGCCCACACAGCTCGGCGCTTTCCAAAGAACCGGCGAGTGTGCCATTTTTCTTTTCCCAGTAGACCAGACACGACGCGGTTTGGGGTTCTCTTGAAGATGCACTGGTTCAAGTCGCTAGTCGTGTTGCACATGCTTGTCTGGATGACTTTGCTCTCTGTGGGAGGTCGGGCTCAATACAACATCTGGATTGGCAAGAGCGACATCACCGACCCTGCCGCGGAGGTCATCATGAAGAGGTTCTTGGATCTCAAGGAGAGTACTGCAGGAATCATTAACCGGTTGTCCGCCAGAGTCTTCCTCATCGAAGACCCCGACACCAGCAACCGCGTCATGTTCGTCCACTGTGATCTGCACTCCGTCATGCAACTCGTACACCAAGAAGTTCTCGCCCACCTCGCCTCTAAGTACCTCTAAGTACAGCGGCGTCTACACCGATCAGAACGTCGTTCTACACGCCACGCACGCGCTCGTAGGACCGGGCGGCAAAGCCGGCTACTTCCTCTACGACGTGTCCATCCTCGGCTACATCAGCAAGAACGTCGACATGATCGTGAGCGGCATCTTGAACGCCATCGACAAGCCACACAACTCTGTGGTGAGCGGCACCATCCGCTGGAACAAGGGCGAAGTGGCGCAAGGCGGCACAAACCGATCTCTTAATGCTTACTTGGCCAATCCAGAGTCCGAGCGAGCCAAGTACTCGAGCAGCATCAACACAACGATGCGCGTGCTCCAGTTCTTCAGCAGCGAGGGTAAACTCCGAGGTGTCTTGGCCTTCTACCCTGTCCACCCCATCAGTCTCACCGCAGCCAACCTCTTGATCAGTGGTGGCAACAAGGGGTTTGCTGAGTTCCTGCTCGAGGACGAGTTGGATAACGTCGTCGTGGGTATCGGCATTACGAATGCTGGCGACGTGAGCCCCAACTTGACCGACAACGGAGACCGAATCTTCAAGGGCGAGGGCAATCCCGGGATCGAGTCTGCGGAGATCATGGGTAAGCGTCAATATGATACGCTGTCAGCGCTCATTAAGATCGACTCGGAGCTCATCGAGGGTCCCATTGTCGCCAGACTCTCCTACGTCGACTTCTCGAATGTAACCCTCGACGGCGTCCAAGCCACCACCGATGATCCCTACGCCGACAAAACTTGCCCCGCTGTCGTAGGACAGCATTTCGCCGCTGGCACCGAGGACGGATGCGGACTCAGTATGTTCAGGGAGGGCGGCACGAAGACCAACAAACTTTTCAAGGCCATTGGTGGCATCATCAAGAAGATACCGAAGTGAATGGAGAGCTGTCAGAACGCCATTAATGTGCCGCAGCTGGCCGTTGGTCTCATGAGTCATGTGCCGCCGGTGCAGATCGTCAGGATCGGCTAATTCGCTTTTCCTCAATCAGCAGCTTCAACAACGACACTTGGTGGGGAAACATTTGATTAGTTTTTGAGGCTTGACCTACACCCCTCTGAAGGCAGGATGGGATCATCGTGACTTTCCCAGGTCGAGAAACGAATCATGTCTTCCGCCACATCGCGCAGCATTCCCGGTTGTAGCGTTGAGGACCGTAAAGCACCAACTTGCCCAACGTCCCATCCGACTAATGACTAACGCGCTTTTCCCGGCAGCCAATAGAGCACATGCCCCACCAATCCGAAGAGAGTGCGTCGAGTAATCGTTTGGATTCAGGCCCAGATTCGTAGCTGCAGCCTTGATCAGGATCGCTGGGAAAAACTTTTTTTATGCATCCATCGGCTACTTTCTATTACATGGGGATTTATTGTATTTCATAGGATTAATTATATTATCGACAGCTACTTTTGACGCCAGTAAAAATTTAATTAAACGCCAGCTCCGTGAGCAGTTGGAGTTCGGATATGCACCGCTACTAAGCCTTCATGGACTACAAACATGTATTGAAGAGGCCGGAAGACTTGATATATGACTGCTACCAAGCCTCTGGGTGCACTGTAGGCTTGATTTACAACTGCCATTTAGTCGCACAACACAGTACTGTAGTTGATTTTAAGTAGAGCTTTGCATTGTTTATTCCACGATTAACTATCCACATAACTGTACTTATCTACAGGACAGGATTTTGACGCGGCGGACTGCTGTAGTCACTGTGCATTTTCAATGCGACCAATCAAGTGTCGATGTTATCGACTGCCTCCGACAGGACCTCTTGAGGACAGAGCGGGTCCTTGCCGATGAAATTTCCCCCCTCGACAGAAACGCGTCGCGCACCTTGCGCCAAGTCGATGGCGAACCACTATCGTCATCGTCCGACGAGAGCAGTGATGATTCGTCTCGGCCTAGAACCCCACCGTTTGTCGACAATTTTGAAGACGACGAGATCCTTTTTGGCCACCCAGGACCCCTGCGCAACAATTTCAGTCAATCCGAACGCGCACTCCTAGCATTTCTGACCGATCAGAGAGTTTTCATGATGCCTCTCCAAGCCAATCGGATAACTCGTCCTCTTCGCTCAGCCAATCAGGAAGCGACGAAAGCGAAGAAGAGTACAAAATCGAGACGGCAGGGTCTGCGAACAATCCAGTTGATTTAACTTACGATAGCGAGTAAGTTTTCTGTTTTCTTTTCCTTTTTCCGTTAAGAAATACATACTTTCTGAACTGCTGTGTTATATTAGGTTGATTTAATTTGGGTCTTTCTGGATTTAAATTTTACCTTTTCCGGCTTTTGTACGGTAAGTAAACACATAAATTACCTCAGAGACTGGACATACAACCGCCGCGGTCCCTGCGCTTTTGCTAAGACCTCTCAGTTTACAATTTCCAAGCATCCGAACAAATCTTTATCTCAGCTACTGTCAACAATTCCGTCCGTGACCTCCACACCCGGCTACCCTTTCCGACATTTGCAAGCCTGTATCGAAGACTGCTGCCAACGCACCGCTTACTGTTACGAGGCGTCGACCGTGCCTGCAATGGAGACCGAACCGGTCGGGGCCCCCGTCCTCAATATCCCTCACCCCATCTTTAAGTGATAGCGAGGATTTTTCGGGTGTGGTAACGCGACGTCGATCAGCCCCCATTCTGTGTCGCAGATAGGTAGTGCTGACAACGAAGAAAAGACCGCCGCACTCGACTTCGATGACGGGGCTGGTAAAAGTCCAAGTAGCAGTGATGACGAAAGTGACAACAAGAGAAGCAGTGGCGACTCCCCACCGCAGCAAGACAATATCACTCCTCCAGAAACCCGTCCCGATGAAAGTGAACGAGCTGTCATGGAACACCCGGTGCTGTTCGATACGATGGAAGAGGCAAGTGCAGTTTTGGATGGGCTTGAGAACGCTCGTTTTTTCATCGACAACAATGGGAGAACGACGACGCTGTTATCGTGCACGTCTCATGTCGACTGCGCTGCGGTGGCACGGATCAAATGCAACAAAGATGAGCAGTATGGTTTATCCAGAAGTGGGATGCACACTACTGAGCCAGCCCCCGGTGTAGAGCAGCGAACCGGTATTCACAAGCCGCTGCTGCCGGAGATCGACAATTTGTTGCTCGGAGGCCAAGGACCCAAAACGTGTTTGAACACGCTTCGCATGAGATACAAGGGGTCGCCTGAACAGCTCAACTTGCTGCCAAGCACCAGCCAGCTCAAAACCCGAGCTCACAAGCTGAGAAAGCGCGCCGATTTCTCCATCACGACCTACGCAGATGATGGAGTGGGCATCGCCGAGGATGTGCACAACAAGGAGTAATTCTTCCAGCATATGAGTTACCTGGTGGAATCGGATGATGTGCGGATATTACAAGAGCCCTTCGGTTACCAGCACGAACTGCTGGTCCTGGACTGCTTTACCGATCGCCTGGACGATGGCGAACTCTCGCTCGGCATTATATTCACTTTCCGGCGGTTGTTTCGGACTCTGCCACGAGTGATTCTCGGTCAGCGGTCGCAAGTACTGGGTACAACCGACGGAACGTACAAGCTCCACTTTGGTGGATGGACGCTTGTTTCGTTTGGTACTTTCGGTGTTCGATACACAGCGTCACACAAGTACCAGCACAAGTTTTATCCGATGGCATTCATGTTTGTGCGAACGGAGACGGCGTTTGCTTACGCGCGGCTCTTCACAGTTTGCAGAGAGCGCGGTAAATCGTTTTTCGGCGGCATCCTAACGCTTCAGCATGGATCCATGGATCACTCGACGTCTATTGCAAACGCGTTTCGACAAGAGTGGCCTGACATCAAGCTCCTGAACTGGTGGCCTCATTTGTATCGTAAAGCCCGCGGCAAGAAGGCACTTTTTTCCGATCGTGGCCGGTATGACGATATCATCAAACCTCAGCTGGAATATTTGAGTCAATGCCGGACTATCGAGCAGTTCGAGGCGTTATCAGATCTCGTAACGGAGAACTGGGCGTCTACGGGTGAACCCGAGTACGCGCAATGGCTCGACGATGAGTATTTGACAGACCCATGGGATCTATGGTTTTACGCCGCGAGCGGTACCCCTGGTGTCGTGCCAAACCAAAATCCGATTGTATCCCATCACCGTGCGATTAAGGCGACGGTGGTTGACCACTTTCGCGGTGCGACGGGTCATGTACTTGCGGGAACACTACCCAAGATTTTGGTTGAGTGTGCAATGGATATTGGCTCGGATCGGATTCGGCACTACGCGTCAGGATCCGTTTGTGCTGTAGTTCTCGGGGCGGCTGTGCAGCTCTGTGCAAGAGCCAATCATTACCCAAACCACCAGCGAAAGTCCCAACGCGCCATCAACCGAATTCAAGAGTACTATTTCAACTCCGACTACTATGTCGTTCGTGACGACAACTTACATGGGCTGAAGGTTAACGCACATCGCGTCAAGACGTACAAGGCATCGCTGGATGGTACGCTCAAGAAGGACGAGAAGGTCGAGAACATTCAGCTTCGGAACTTGTCGCTCCACGCGGTTGAAGTCCTGGACCGCGTCTGGGATAACCCTTCCTGGAGTCTTGAGGAAATCGAAGTGATTCGATCAAAGTTCAAGTGCGGCTGCAAAGCGTTCTTCCAAACGGGGTGGCTGTGCGCTCATGTGTTGGCCTGTTTACATCTTGTCGACTCGTTGGATCTCCAAGTCATGATACGAAGTCTACCGGCTCGGAAGCCACCTGGAAGACCGCGAAAGAAGACCAAGTGTCTCGCGCGGGATGACCCTCGGAAGCCCCAGTACTCGGTAGCCGCGCTCATCAAGCGGCTGGTTGACAAGCCTGCAAGCGTGATTAACTGGAGCATCTTACAGGTGTGGACGACCACTGACGAAGACGGCGAGGAAACGGAGCTCAAATTTGTTGGGAAAATCAAGCCCCCATTCGCTCGCGGAGGCAAGCGGTACTGGAAGGTCGAGTACGATGACCACGAGGAAGTTGACACACTGGGCGTGGACGGATTAGCAATCGCGAGCAACTACTCTTTCCAGATGAGCCACAACATCGTGCCAAGCCAAGGTGACGCGGTCGCTATTGCGACGGATTAAGTGATTGATGATATAAATATTACTTAGGTATAGAACAAATTAAAAACAGAAAAACGATAAAATCCCCCCAAAATACCAGAAAAACCTTGCATGTAAACCTCGCTTTCACTTTCGTTTGTTGGTATTGTGCCTTTCTGCCAAAACGCCCTCCGATTTGAGGTCCTACGTAGGAGTCTTTCTCCTACGTAAGACCTCATAAAAGTTAGTATCAAGGCCAGTAAAACCGTGCATAAACAAGAACTGAATGTTAACTGAGCGAATTGCTTGCGAAGGGAGACCAACAAATGAGCGTGTGCAGTACCGTTATACCTGTAGGCTACAGGCTGTAGCCCATGTACCCGTACGTAGCCCCATGCTGGCATGGTGACCTAGCTGCGGTGCTGCCTGAGTCTCCGCCAGTACGAGTGTGGTCAAACTATGTATTTGCCACAGATGCTGTCAGGCACACTGACGTGATCTAGTCCTCCGAAGGGCTCGTTAGTCCTACGAAGGCACGAATGACCAGCTTAACATGGTCATTCGGTCCTTATTTCCAAAAAGGTACCCTTTAGATGAAGATGGAGCTCCTACGTAGGACTTCCGTAATCCGATGCAGGGCTAACAGCAAATCCTAGGTTTAACCCTACCCTCTCCTTCTTAAGACTACCGTTTGGAGGTCAGATTGGACAAAGTTTCTGAAAGGCACAATAGCATACAATATCACCCTCATGCATAGAATTAATCGACCTGCATTTAAAATAGCCGCTAATTATTGCGCATTCTAGTCGAACTTTCCGAAGTCGATTGATTGAATCGACCGAGCCAAATCGCCAGCAAACCGCCCGATATTTTGATTTGACTTGAATTTACTATGTACGCAATAAAGTACGAAATAAGAAGTCGCTCAGGCCGTCTCGGTCGATTTCAAAAGACTTGAAATTTGTATTCAGCGATTTCAACCCATGGTAAACCGATCCGAATCGGCAATATTGGTCGGAGTTCACAATAATAAAAAAACAGTCGTTTTGGCACGTAATGAAAAGTAGACGCCTGATGCATAAAAATAATCCGCCCCAGGATCGCTCCAGACGACTTCGAGATTGCTGCAGACCCATTCACAGATGTGAGGTATGGATGGCCAAAATGTTTGTCCGATGAAGGCGTACTAATCGGTCTTTTACGTTATATGTTTTGGCAAAACGCTGATACCACGACAGGGTTTTCTTTTCACACTTTGGCAAAGCTCGCATCCCAGTCGAGAGGATCCGTGGGCAGCATGATATAAAGCAGGGGTGTGAAGGCCTCCATACAGTTTTGGGCTGTATCCAGGGACTCAAACACTGGCCCCACTTTATCGCCTTTCCTGGCACCAAGAGTTGGAATTTGGTCATCTTGCTCTGCTGTGGTCTGTCGTTGTTGTCCCTGGCTGCTTCGTGCTGCGCATTTCTCTGCAGATTCCTCTCCACTCGAGGCTTGACACGACATAGCACGGCTCTTTTTCAACTCTTGAACAGCGTCCAGCAGTGCAGCTCCCCAACGCTCCTCCATGCCGAGTCTGGAGCAATCCGCAACACGCTTTGCCTTCAGGTCTTTATGCGCGCGACTGCAAACATCCAGCGCTAGACGGGAGAATTCGTGCCTTTGGAGCACCTGAGTGAACGCCTCGGGGCTCAGAGAAAAGAGGTCGCAGGACCGTACGGTAGTCACCGTGTACGCACTGATGGTGCAGCTCAAAAGTCCTCGCTCCCCAAAGTAGCTGCCGTCACGAAGACCCACCGGTCGGTCCAGTAGCGAGCTGCTTTGCATATTCAAGAAGCCTTTCGTGACAAAATACATGGCCCGCACGATGCGACCCTCCGTGATCACGTCTTCGTTGCGCGAATAGGCCTCAAAGTGTAGGTGCTCAGCCAACGAGAGTGTGAAAGCCTCCGTTTTGGCGTTCTCATCTCCACACAATGGGGCGAAAACCTTTATGACGAACCAGCTGAGTGGGATCTTAGCCGCGTGCAACACGCACGCTGATCGAATCTCTCGCGGCATGTCGGCCAGTAGTTCATCGTAGTTTAATCCAGCGTGCGAAGCCCAAAGCGTCGCCATGAATGCGCTCGCTCGCGCTTTGAGTTTCTCGCTGACGCGCACCCGCTCCAGATACGATTTGACTGCGATTTGGTTCTTTCGGAAGCCCACTTCCAGGCTACTGCGCGAGATGAAGAGACCCGCGAGCTCGCCAATGACGAACGACATGGTGAGCAGACCGATGAAGGACATGACGATCTGGAAGGCGTACGCTGACGCCGACTCCGGCGCGATGTTGCGCGCCTTCTTGACGAACGCCGTAGTCGCGAAGAAGAGTCCGCGCAGGAAGCGGAGGGTGAGCTGCGCTGAGGACGGATCCTGCGGGTCTGAAACCTCCAGCGCTTTAGACGGGAGCCAGGACTCCCATTCCGATCCAAATCCCATTTCCATAGCCACGGCGAGATAAGCGCACGCAGCCCAATAGATCACCAGCAGATAGAGAGAAGAGACACGAGCCCAAACCTCGAGCTCGTTGGCAACGGAGCTGCGGCTTAGCTCGTCGAGATACCCCACGAGATTCATCATCTTAACGCAACGCAGCAGCTTGAGCCGTGGACTGAAGTTGAAGACTGAGAGGAAGCCGTAGAACGGAACCGCAGCAATGAAGTCGTAGATCATGCGCTCCTTCTTGTACATGCTCGCCAGATTCTGCTCATAGAGCTCCATCGCAGCGTTGGATTCTTTCACACGCCAACTGAACCACACATCCACCACGAACGCGACTTCACAGAGCAGAGCGAGGGCGTTCAGAACTGTGGTCGTGGCTGTCATTCGGTCCATGGGGTCGATCGTGAGTTGGTACGGGATGATAATGGCAATATACACGGTGCAAAACACCATAAACCGGAGCCAGAAGAGGTGGAAGGGGCTTTGCGCCGGCACGCCGCGAGCAACACTGGACAGCACCTTGTAGAGCGGAGTGATCAACGTTTTCTTGAGTGTATCGACAAACGGCAGGCGGCCGAGACCCGAGCTCAAACTGTTCTGGCGAGTCCATCGAACTCGATCCATTTTCTCCTTCACCCGCTCCGCGCGCGCATTCATAATGTCCGCTTGGAACATGGTCAACCCCATAATTGTCGTCAGCCCTCGCCGCTGCTCCTCCTGTGACTGCAGTAGAAGCCGGTGCTTCTCTCGGTGAATACTGACGATTCGCAGCACCTTCCACTTCCACTCCGGGTACCTGGTAAACACCAACTCCATCGACTCGCGCGAAAGTTTGTACAGGATACACGACGTCTGCGCCTGGACGTACGCGGTGCGAGTGCCATTCGTGAAAAGCCCGTACTCGCCAAAGTAGTTGCCGCTTGAGAACTCGTTCACTTTGGAGAAATTGGAGAACCCGTCCCCCGGTTTCTTGGGCAAGTCTTCGTTCGTGATGTCATTCGCGGTCGGGCCTACTTGAAGCGACCGGTGCGAGCCCCGACGGTGGATGCTGATACGCTCGCTCCAATTACGACTCGCGCCAGGAATCGGAGAGACGGTGTTCTCCACATTGGCAACATTCTCAGAGGGGAGCAGGACATCGACGATCCCCGCAAAGATGAAAAACATGTCGGTGCCTTTATCGCCGAATCTGCAGACGAACTCACCGCGAGAGATCAGAACCTGCGTGAACTGCGAGACCAGCATGCGCGTGATGGATCCCTCCATTCCGCCCAGAAACTCCACTCGCTCTAGCATTGGTTTGAGGTGGAAGAGGCGGATGTCCGTCAGCAGCGACGGCGACAAATAGTGCACCAGGAGGTTCTCCTGTGTCACGGTGTGGTAGCGTTTGAACAACAGGAACGTCTCCACGCGCTGCTGCAGGCCGTCGGGCATTCGAAAGTACTGCAGCATGTGGCGTACAGCGCGCATTGTGGCGTTGAACCGCCTGGTCTCGGCGCTGTGGAGCTCGATGATGTCGGTGAAGTTCCCGATAACGTAGGCACACAGGAAGAACCCGGCGGTCATGGTGAACGCGCTGAAAGTGCATTGCGCTGTCGTTTTGGGGAACTCCGGCTCGCTCGAGGCCGACATGAGACCGAAGGACCAGTACAATGAGGCCATGTACTGAAGAATGAGGGAACCATGCTCCAGGTGCTTGGAAGGCAGCCACACGTTGTCCCCAAATGCTGTCGGCTCGTCGTCGAGGCTGCTAGGGATTGCTAGCTTGGACGCAAAGTTAAACCAGATACACCCCAGGAAATGTGACAGCATGAAGGTGTAGTAGAGCAGCTTGAACAGCCGCAGCTCGGTGGTGTGTTTGAGATACCGCTTCTCGAGTTTCAGTAGCTGCTTGGGCACTTTCAACAACCGTAGTAATTTATTCGCGTTGACGATATTCAGTCGCTCGTGTGCCAGAGCGCCCCAATTCGCAATGCACAGCGGTAATACCGCCGCAATATCGATCACGAATGCGTACGATCTGAAGTACCTGCGCTTGATGCGCTTAGGGTCCATCACTTTGTTCCCGTACTCGTAGAATCCAAGTCGCGAGCGGATTTGCATGTCCACGAGAAATAAAATCTCCAGAAATACCATCAAACTATCCGCTTGACTGTGCCTGGCTTCTAATGGGAAGCACGCCTGGAAGACGACCAGAGCCCATTGAACAGTCATGGCCACGAAGATCCATACCTCCCACGCCGTAATGAACAACGAGTCTGGGTCGTGTACCCTCGTCGCCGCGTCTTTCAGGCTACGGAAGACACGTTGTAGCTGGCCTATTTTGATATCTCGGGCTAGTAGAGGCACATCGCTCTGAGATCGGATGGAGATCGAAGTCCGCTTGTTGTTTAGAAGCCGTTGTTCGAGTGTTAGAAGCGCCGCGTTAAAGCCTGGGAAAATCGACTCCATAGCTTTGAGCTGCTCACGAGAAATCAACAGCAAGATACACCCGCTGCTCGCACTCACGTGCTCCTTGTACCCGCCCTCGCCCTCGCTTGCAAGGGCGGTTGTGCCGAAGCAAAATCCGCGTGGGATTTCCCGCGAATTCACTCCGTCCTCCACGACACACACCTCCCCCTCGAGGAGGAAGAATATCCCCGTGACGTAGTCTCCGTAGCGATACACCACCTCTCCTTGTCCGTACAGAATGAACTTGGCGTTCTCCACCACGGCTTCTTCGAGTCTATTCAGAACAGGCCGGACGCCTTGCAGGAGTGCGAGCGTTTGCAGCACAGGAATACAAATACACCTTAGCAAGTTCAGGCGGATGGACCGCGGGAGATCCGCGAGGAGTTCTCCGAGAAGAGCGCCGCGGTGCGAGGACCACCAGTAGTCGAGGAAGGACTTGACGCGGTGGTGAATCACTAGCGGGGCATTTTGCTGGCGCAGAAAGAGTTGAATCTTCGAGCTGGTGGTGAAAAACTCCCTCTGCTCGTACGCCGAAGCCGTAAACTTCTTTTGCACGTGATCCACGACAACCGCGGTGAATAGGAACCCAGTAAGCATCAGCACAAGAGCTGCAGTTATTTGTACGGTGCCGCTAGGTTCGACACTTTTACCCGGGGACACCAGCACCGCAACCGCGTAGTACAGCGAGCGCGAGTACCCCCAGATAGTGATGGAATGAAGCGCCTCCCGATCGGACTCCTCGTCGAAAAGCGTACCATTGCAGCTCTCCAAGTGCGTGGCGTTCAACCTGCGCAAGCACAGATGGATGGGAGAGATCCACGCTTCCTCTTCGTTGGGATTGAAGCCTTCCAGGTACGAAATGCCAAAGTGAATGCAGGTGACGACGTGAGACATCATGAATAGCGAGGCTCCAAGCAGCATGAGCTGCCTTCTGCTGTTCAAGGGGATGAAGTGCGAGATCTCGTTCAAAAGCGCTTTCAGGTGGAAGACAGACAGCAATCGCGGGGATCGCAGAAGACCATACCGCTTCATGTACGCGTACTCCCATGGTAGTGCACAGAAGAGGTCGAAGAGAAAACCGCCTCTAAGATATCGCATGGCGGTCTTCCTCGTGTCCATAACTTTCTCGGAGTCCACAACGAACGACAGATTGAAGGTCAAAACAACGTTGAGGAGGAACCCAGCGTTCGAGATGCCGTCAATGACCCGGACAAGCGACGACGGCCGTTGCCACAGTGGAAAGACGATCTGAACGGGGACCATGAGCCATAAGTAGCCGATATTCGACAGCAGAATCAGCAGCCACCACATGCGAAGAGCAGAATGCTGGTCGATGCACATTTTCAGCAGCAGCCGCCAAATCCCAGAGCTCTCAAGTATGAGTGCTTGAGCCGAGTCGTGGTCGTAGGGATTGCTTTGGTACTGATCGGTGCTTTGTGTCGTTCGGTCGTCACAACTGTCTGCCGCAGACTTTGGGGTTTGTTCGTCGTCGGTATGCTGCGATGAGGGACTCACCGAGTTCCTCTTGCCCAGCCACGACAAGAGTCTCCTCGGAGCTGACTGCCTCCGTCCTCTCCTTGAGAGCAACTTCAGCACAGCGGACGCCCCTGCCACAAACGCAGCTTCAACGGATGCCCGTCGGATCCCTGGGCGTAATGAGATGTCTGACGGACGTCTGATCGGCTTACTAGTAGTAGTAGTAGTAGTAGTAGTAGTAGTAGTGTTACGAGTAGTTGAGGCTGGCGGTCTGTTCTCATCGATGATGTTAGCGTTTTGAAGCTGGTCGAGGACATTCTGGACGTGACCAACGACAAGAGACGCACAATCCGGGTACCCCTCGAGCAGCCGGTCGCAGTGAAACCTAGACAGTTTGTACAGGATCACGTACGTCATCGACACGACCGTGGCAGTTCGTGGCAACGACGAGAAGACCGACAACTCACCGAAGCACGAGCCCTTTCGAATGTCTCGCACTGTGACCGAGTCCACGATAATCGCGAGCGCGCCCGATTGGACGATGTACAGGGCGTCGCCATAGTCTCCGACTGAAAACAGCGTCGTCTGCGACGGCAGCGCGATCATCTCTAACAGCCCCGTGACTGCGACGATGAACTGGTCGCTGCAGCCTTTAAAGACCGTCATCCGAGCGATCATGGGCTTGAGAAGCTCCACTTGGATGTTGCTGGCAATGGACGGACACAGAAGTCGTGAGGCCTCCCGGTCATTCGACTGCGCATCGTTGTAGTAGCGCTGCAAGACACACGCTTAACCGTTAGACAATGTCCGCCTAAGATCAGTCGACAACCAGACAAACCTTCAGGTATTCGATCGCTGGGGTCTGCTGCGCCTCGGGGACGCGATGGAAGGACAGCACGTGTATCAGTTGGTTGATCCGCGAATCCAGTGCCTCGTTCTGGCCGCTCTCGCACTTTGAGATGATAAAAATCGTCGTGCAGAGCGCCGTGAACATTGAGAACCCGCACAGCGCGACCACAATCGTGAACACGAACTCGGTGCTGTGGTGTGGCAGTTCCCCTTCAAACAGCCCCGTCATAATGCCAACGCTCCAGAACAGCGAGCCCAAGTAGCGCTCGTGGAGAGAGTGGGTGCGTTGCGAGTCCTCAGCCTGCCAATGGTCGACCTCGTCCACGCTAAAGCCGAAACTATAGCGAGCGCATGCGAGTACGTGGGCTACGTACACCGTCGCCACAAGCACCTTGAGGAGCTTGAGCAAGACGAAGCGTTTGGAATAGAACTCATCCAGACTTCTGATGAAACTTCCAAACCGTGAGAACCGCAACAGCTTCAAGAGCAGTAGCTTGGGTACTAGGCTCGCGTGGCTAACGATCAGAGCTTGGTACGGTAGAATGGCGACGACGTCGAGCACGAACTGGAACGAGAGCACGTATCTCCGCACCGTCAGCTTCTTGTCGCGAATGAGGTTGCCGCCTTGGTAGTACCCCGTGTGCGCTTGCACGTACAGGTCTACGAAGAAGACCCCCTCGCATACAGCGACCAGTGCAAAAGCAACGGAGAGAATCTCCAGCGACGTGGACTGGAAAGTCAGCATGTACGGCACGAGGAACGCCTCTAACAGAAGACTGAGAAGCAGCACGTGGTCCCAGATCTGGATCCCATTGGCATTCGGGTCGAAGGCGTCCTGCAGGTCATCAGCCAGTATATGCGCGAGTCGGGTGTGCAAACTCAAGGAATTGTGGACGCGGCCTACGGACTTCAGCAACCACGAGAGTCGGTCGCTGTCTCTGCTGTGCTGATGCACCTTGACCATCAGTGCTCACGAAAATACGCAGACAACCGTGGGCTAATCGGGAAATGGTCGTTCACGTTATGGACGCCATAGAGAAGACGATGAAATTCGTGCGTATTTACGACGATGGGCATGAACAACGGCACAATACGCCTATGATTAGACGTTTGCGCCTCGTTCTAGGCGGTTCCAGGTCTCCAAGGCAAAGTTTAAACGGGTCGGCCAGTAAATAGGGTATTCCTCGAAGCAACTATACACACACCACGAATTGCATCGTTTCATTTTTTAAATTTTGACTGGGAGCCAGGGCGATAGACTTCACTTGACTATCCTCCAAGGAAAGCGGCACGACCGCAACTATGATTAGACTCTTATTATCATAGTCAAATTTAGAGCAGCAGTCGAGCGAGCCCACTACCAGAAGTTGAGATCGGACAAGCGTCCAGTTTTGGAGACCGTGCCGTAATGAATGCCGACTTGGTTTGGGTTCGCTGAGAAACTCAATCCTTTTAGCAAGAATTTTAATTTTCTCATTTCATTTGAAGCATTCACAGCCTCCATGCTAACTATAATGTTTTCCGGAATTTTGGGCGGTGAAATAAGAACACTCAGCGGGGCAGGTGGCGAGCCTACTGGAAGTTTTGAGCCGAGTGTATTGTTGTTGGTGACGTACGAGGCACGATGTAGAGTTGGTCTGTGCCCTATGAGGCAAATCGAAGACTGACTAGAATGTCTAGGCTAGGAGCTCCACGGCGGCGCTCCTTGTGCCGTGCGTGGCGTAATACAATCCACGTTGAAGAAAGCTTCAAATCGAGGTGGTCTAAGCTGGCTTGAACCAATGATCCACTACACTAACCTCTGTTGGCCCTTGATATCTCTAAAGCTTCAGGGTTGCGCTGGGTCGCAAAATCCTCAACTCGTTGAATATAATATTCATTCTGTTGATTGCTTTCGAGTCGACAGGAAGTCACAAACCTCTCCTCGACCAACGAAGGTCAAGATGCACCTTGGTGATAATTGATAATGCACCTACCCATTTTTCGGTACCAGTTGGTCAATGATGCAGATCAAGATTGCCCAAGTGCCGGCGTTGACGCCTGCGCTGGTGGACATGACGACTACGGCTTCATGCACAGGTGTGTGAGTGTGCTGACGCCCTACCAGTCAATTTCTCCGCTCTACACAAGTTCTCCGCGCTGTTCTATCGTCGCTATCCACACACAATATTTTGGAGTTTTCTATGTCGTGGACATCAATATCCGAGATTGTCCGCTCCCGTGGCTACATGAAGCAGCCTTGGGTGATTTTCAGGGTGATATGTGCACCGCCACTGGTCGGTAGGAATGTATCGGAAATCGGCGGACTGCATGAATGGAGCCGAGCAAACTTTGCTAAGGGAAATGTTGGTACAGACTGATCTCTTTGGTAAACGACTGGGTGTTTCGCAAAAACGAAATGTCTCCCACGAACGATTGGAGTGGAAGCAACGAAACATCAAGTCGACAGGCAAGCACGACATCGTCCATGATACTGAAGGGTGTCTTCTGTTTTGTGAACCTTGGCGTGTACATGTACAAGACGAGAAATAGTATCTAGTTTACTTGACGCCATTCGACTTCTTCCCGGACGTCCACGCCACGATTTGCCATCGGTTTCTGGACGAGCAGAGCTCAAGAGCAGTTGCTGTGGTCGTGAGTGAGGTGGTGTCACTTGGCGATGAAACTCCAGAAGAAGAAGCAGCGGCGGCGGTGTAGCGCTGGAGCCCCCCCCCCCCCCCCCCCAGGGAACGGTATCCTGAAAGCAAGACCAATCACAAGTTTCCAGAAAACGTTTCCAATGCGTGGTAGTCGTCTACAGAAATCTCGGATTAACCGTTTTGTTGATGGAGGTGGGGAAACTTACTGAACGATCGGTACGGCACGTATCCTCTTCGTGGACTTGGTGGTGTCTGGCTAAGAGTGGGAAGCTGCGGGATATTCGTTTGGTTGAGTATTCATTCTACGGGTGTGCCTTATATATTACGCACGTAATTGGGAACTGCCCTAAGAGCATTGGATCCGTCCAGAAACCGTCGATGTTGCAGAGAGAAGAACTTCCCAACGCATCCAGTGGACCTGTCTCTCGACGACTTATTACGACTCGTGTGTACGAGTATTCGATCACCAGAAGATACTTAAGTCAAATCTGTCGTGGGATAACACATTCAGACGTGGAAATACTGTACCATCCTACCGGATTAACAATACCTTGCCTCGACGGTCCACTGAAGGGTGAATTGTGAGCCTAGATCCAAGTGCCGCGGGTGGAATGGATATATATTGCTCGAAATGCTATCCTCCTTGCAGCGATAAGTTGGGATGTTCAACAACTCTGCTGGCCACACATAATCATCAGTGGAAGTGCTCCAACAACACCGGCGACGCTCTCCGATCAACAACGGCAGTGAGTCGATTGTATACCCCGACGACAGCAACACTCCCAGCACCTCATGGTTCACCCTGAGCCGGGTGTAGTGCGACGACGAGATAATCGCCAGGTGCTTGATGCAGAACCTGACAACGTGGTCTCCGTGATCTTCCGCAGACTCCGACAGCCACAGTCTCAAGCATCGCTGCACTTCCGTCGAGAATACCATGCTGGACGACGACTCGAGAAACGGATTGCTACCAAGAATCTTCGCACCAGCATCCAGAAGCAGCGTCGCCTTCATGTTGCGGTCGCCAAGCGAGTCTGTTGTTGAGGTGGCGGCTATGAACAGAGCCGTGCTGCCCAACTTGTTGAGCAGGACCATATTTGTTTCTTCACACACTTCAGCGTCGTCGAGTGGCTTCTGGTCGTGCCATCGACGGTAGTAGGCAAGCAGAAGCTGCAGCTCGTCCGGTGACGAGTATCGTGCTGGGTAGTGGAAACACGACTCACCATCCAGTGTGTGCAGAGCAAATAGGTCAGCTTGTTCGTTTAAAGCGCACAGCAGTTCAGCGACTTCAGGCTTCTGCCTCAACAGCGCGCGATGCAAGGCCGTCTCGCCCTTGACGTTTTGACAGCACACCTCGACGTATCCTTCCTCCAGCAGAAACTCCACGACTGTCAGCGCTCCTTCATTGACAGCGATCATAAGAACTGACCCGGCAAAGTCCTCCCCCTGAGGAGTTGGCACGAGCTGGTGGTGGTTTAGCATGACTTAGCATGTTGATGTCTTCGGTGCGTATGACGAGCTCAAGTGCGGTAACGCCGCCATTGTCGGCCACGCGGAGCTGCGTGCCGTGCTGTAAGAGCAGATTCGCGACCTGAAGACTCGACGACTGGATGCAGTGGTGTAGCGGCGACCCCCCTTCCTGTTGTACCAACCAACAACGATAAACACGGGTCAAGTGCTGAGTAAGAAAAAGTAAGTTAGATCAGAAGAATTAGACACGTACCTCGTCCTTAGCGTCGAGTTGTGCCCCGTTCTCGGTTAGCAGTTTGGCGACCTCATACACCTCGTCCATAGTTGCATGGTGCAGCGCCGTCTTGCCGCCGTGGCACCGTTTGTTCGGATCAGCGCCGAAGCGCAGAAGGAGCTGGATACGACCAAGAGTAGACCGCACACGCTCTGCGTCCTCTTCTCGGCACTGAAAGGGTAACAAAAGTGATGGTTAGTGGGAGCATTGAGATCTACTATGCAACATACAGGGACGTACGTCAAGCACTAGGTTGCGCTGGATGGCCACTCTTCCCCGGAAGATACAGCGTGTCGCCTGCAGGTTATGGCGCATGACCGCGAGCATGACAGCCGTGATGCCAGTGTCGCCTCCAGAATCCGGATCCTGCCCTTCTTCGAGCAGATACTCCATGATCTTTTTGTCTCCGTGCCATGTAGCTGTATGCAGAGCTGACGCCCCAATGGTGCTCAAGTGAAAACCGTCCCAGCTGCAAAATCTCGAGGTCCACAAGACTTCAGCTTCATCGGGCGGGTCCGCCGAATTAACATCGATCTTCTGTGAAACAGCACATTCGGTACTGAGTCCACAATACAGATGAGCGCAGTTTGAACTTGTAGAACGTTAACGTACCCGGTCAAGGTCGAGCCACTTCGGGCATTTTTCGCGCAGAACCTTCATTCGGTCGACATCTCCATTGCTCGCTGCGTGTAGCCATTCCCTCTCCACTTGAAATTCGCTCGATGACGCGCACTGTTTCTCTTGTACAGCCATAGCAACGAGTTTGCAGTATCTTTCGCTGCAATCAAGCAACTAGTACGGTACTTTCGAAGTGATCCAGAGCCGCGTTTTGTAGACCACCTCTGAAGGCAACTCAGAGCTCGTGCTCTTCATGTCGGGGCTTCGTACAGCGCACGGATCACCAAAATCGTTGAAACACCCCGCAGACGAGTCCAGATCTTTGCGTTGCCGGGGTGGAAAGCCTACCGTTGCGAGCACTCCCGCGTGATGAGCGTCTGGTTTTGTGGTCGCCTGCTGGACAGCGGTTTGTTCTGCAGACAGCAGAACCACCCGCTGATGAGAGCATTGTACGAAGAGCTGGTTGTTGTTAGCAAGACTAAACGACTGTAATGTACCTCACCAAAAAGAAGAAAAAAAAGAAGAAGAGCTGGTTGTCGCCTGGATGGGGCTAACATAGCTGCCGAGTTTTGATATGCTTCCTTGCGAGACACAGTGAGTTAAGAACTCTTAGCATGCTAAGGTAGACTTTTTTACACGACAGACGTTTCGGCTGTTGTCTGATAATCGAAATGCTATTTGTCTCTTGACATCCACGCGTCCACAAGCTCTCGGTGCAGTGCCAGCAGCAGTAAGTGATTCTGCTGCCCACTTAGATTCTGAACACGATCGAGTAACTTTGGCAACGAGCCGCAATTGAGCGGTAGACTCAAAAGCAACGGGATGCTAGATTTTTTTATCATATACGGAACTGATCAGTGATTGGAACAGGTTCTTATCTTGGTTTTTGTAGGGACAAAACAAATGTTACGGTAGTGAGCGGTTGTGAGGAGCGTAGCCATAGCAAACCCGCGCGGGGTGCCCGCGAAGCAGGGCCGCGCTGTATTTGCGGAGGCGGGCCCAGCGACGAGCATTCCAGCGAACGGACCCGTTGCCGCAACTCAGAGTTAGTTTTCTTTATGCGGGGGTCTGGGGGGTGCAACCCCCAGAACACCTTTTAGGAAATCTGTTCAAATCTCTGATCAGTTCCGTATATGATCCAATCGGGACTCCCGATCCCGTTGGTTACTTCACAGTGCAGTATTGCCGGACGAGTTGATGCACTCCAACAATCTCATGAATGCGTTGTTTTCCTCCGTTACCCCGATCTGTTGGCACCAGTCCAGCAATCTCTGGAGCTCGTCGGGGGAAGAGTGCCGCGCTGCATAATGGAGACAGGACTCACCGATGCAGTTCGCAAGCGTGCTTGATTTCCGAGAGTGCGAAGGAATGCTGTCACCTCTGGTTTACGTTTGAGGAGTGCGCGGTGCATTGCTGTCTCACCAATACTGTTCTGGTGGTCAACTTGGACGTTGCCTTCCTCCAGTAGAAACCTCATGATAGGTAGCGCACCTTCATCAACGGCGGCTATACAGTACGGGTTCGACGAACTCAAACTCTTCAGGTAATTCAATACAATTGGCAGCAAAAATTGTGTCGTTCGTACAGATGGCCAGCTGCAGCGGCGTGGTGTTGGCCTTGTTTGAAATACCAAGGCTGGTACCGTGCTGCAGCAGTAGATTTCTCACTTGCAGACTCTTGGACTGGATGATGTGGTGGACTTCCATCCTGTATCAAATCGTATTCAACATAAGATCTCGTCATTTGACGTGATCATATCACTCAACTACAGAAATCCGCACCTCATCTTGAACATTGATATACGCTCCATGTCCGATCAACAGACTGGCAGCGTCGTACGAGTCGTCCGTTGTAGCAAAATGCAGCGCTGATTTGCCACCGAGGCATTGTTTGTTCACATCAGCCCCAAAACGGAGGAAGAGTTGGATCCTGTCGGTAGTTCGGCGGTTCCTCTCAGCGTCTTCATTTCGACACTGTACAAATCACAGTTACGCGTGCACTATAATAACAACCTGAGGCCGTATCACGATGAAAAAATGAGTTCTGCACGTACATCCATGATAAGGTTCCGCTGAATGGCCACACGATCACGAAACAGGCAGCGCGTAACCTGCAGGTTGTGGTGCGTGATCGACAGCATGATCGGGGTCGTGCCAGTACCGTCGTCTGTGTCCGGGCTGAGGCCTTCTTCCAGCAGGTACTCCACGATCTTGTCCTTGCCCTGCCACGTAGCTGTGTGCAGCGCCGACGCCCCAATCGCGTCGAGGTGGAAGCCGTCCCACCTGCAGAACGCGGGCGTCTGCGACTGTCTAGCCGCACTTCTGTCGTCAACTTTGACTTTCTGTCCAGCACTCAGACGGACACTGAGCATTTGACCGCATCAGGCAGGTCCGGTACGCAGGCTACTAACCCGATCGAGACTCAGCACGCTTGGATACTGCAAGCGCAGCCGTTTCATCTGTTCTACATCGCCACTGTGCCCAGCATCAAGTCACGCTTGCTCGATGGCGGCCTTGCTAGAAACTGCGTCCTCGTCGGGCTCGAGCTGCATCGATAGTTTGTCGTGTCGGTTGAAACGTGAGCTGTGTTCTGTTGAGACGTGAGAGCGAGCCGAGATTTTCCAAAGTGAGGGCTCCGAGCGTCGAGTACGCCAGCGAAAAGAAATCGCCCCAATCCATCTGAACAGCTCCACTATCGGGTGGTTTCGAGCGCCGCGGCTTCCATGCTCGGTAGGATGCCGTGTCCCTTCAAGTGAGACTGCCGACCCTGAGCTTGCATTGCGAGGGTCCCAGATGGAGACTTCGTTGCTGCAAGCGTAACGACATGCATACTGAGCTCGACTACTGGTGAGGCGCCGGCGTGGGCCTGTCTGCTTCGTTGACTGACGAGGCTCGGGCTAGACCGGCTTTGAGGACCGTGAGCGCTACACGACACTGTTACTCCAACTTGATGCGCGATTGCTCGTCATTTCCCCCCTGCCGCAGACCAGCTCGTGGGTTGCTCTTCGAGACCGAGACGGTTGGCCTCAATCCGTTGTTCAACGCCGACAATCCCATCGTATCTCAAGTAGACTATCTTTAGAACTTCCCGCGAAATGCGTATCCTGCGGCAATTTACCCATACAGATTGGTGACTAACAGTACACGTAGTACCGAACCACCAAGCTAAGTACTGTACAAAGTAAAGTTGAAACGGGGTCTCACAGTACTAGCGACTGAAAACTGCCACCCCACGCTTGTTAAACTGCACCTCGGCAACTCGTCACCAACTGGTTAGATTTCCTTTACCGGACAATAATACTGTGCCGTGCCCCTAATATCGGTTCATGGCTGCACTTTTCAATTATTCTGAATCAGAATCTCTGATAATCGTTCCAGCCAATCAAAGCGCTCATAGGTCCCACTTCAAGTTATGTCGCACGCACGCACCCAGCAAGGATCCCCACCCTCCACACTTAACAAGTTCCCTCGCGCGTGCCTCAAGCTCCTCCTCTTCCAGGTCCTCCCCCCTGTTCTTCGATGAGCGAGCAAGTGGCGCTCGGCTACACGGCGGCCGTCGTCGCCGTCTTCTTCTTCGGCACCTGCTACGTGCCAGCCAAGACGTACGCGACCTACGGTGCGTCAAATGCCGTGTCGTAGGTTCCATCTATTTGTGGCGGATCTAATTTTAGGCATGTGGTGTGGCGCACGCATTCTGAACTTGTGACAGATGGCATCATCTTCCAGTGGTTCATGGTACTGTAAAGATACTCCACAATTGCTAAAATGTAGCCATCTTGCATTACCGGCGGTTTAACTCGCGCTGTTCTGCTGCAGTGCTCCGGCATCTTGATGGTGGGCATTGTATGGGGGCTCCTCAGCAACAACTGGTCGCAGTTCTCCCAGTCAGGCATGTTCACCTTCCCCGAGGGGCTGCTGGGCGGCGCGCTGTTCGCCATCGCCAATCTGCTGATCCCCACTGTGGTCAACACGCTCGGCCTGGGCGTGGGCTTCATGCTCTGGAACGCCACCAACGTCACGCTGGGCTACTGCGTCTCGAGGCTGGGGCTGTTTGGTGTGTCGCCGACGATCCCGAGCATGCCGTGGGTCAGTTTGCTGGGTATCGGCTTTATGCTGGCGTCTATCGCCGTCTACGGCACCATCAAACCGACGCTCAAGGCGGCGAAGACCAGCAGGAGAGTCAGGAAGACCAAGTCGAAGAGCAACGGAGACACGGAAGGGAACGGGGAGGCCAAGGTCCACTGGGAGTCGGTGGGGAGCAACAACAGCCTGACCAGTTCTCTGGGCGAGACCTCGCCCTTGCTACCGCAGTTCGCAGCGGACGCAGAGCTGGCGAACGTGGCGCTGGTGCGTCGTGAATCGCTTCAGGAATCGCTGGTGCATCCAGAACTGCCGAATTTCGGCCCCTACATGATGCCCAACGAGCTGGGTGAACACGTGGAATTGACGGATGCGGGCGCGGAGAAGACACGGAAGGCTTTCGGTATGGCGATTGCACTCCTGGTAGGTGCCTTCCTCAGCTGCTGCCTCGTGCCGTTTGTCAACTGGAAGGACAGGTGCCGCCCGTCCGACCCCGCGCTCAGCAGCCCCATCGTCGAGACGTGCAACCCACTCAACTTCGTCTTCTCGCAGTGTCTGGGCGTCTACCTTACCAGCACCATTGTGTTCCTGCTGTACTCGCTTTTTCACCGGTTCGTGCTCAAGCGCTCGATGCCTCGAAGCGTCATGCGGCCTGCGTACATTTGCGGCGTCCTGTGGGGCATTGGACTCTGTGGCCAGCTCTACGCCATCGGCCAGCTTGGTTTCGACCAGATATTTCCTATCTGCTCCATCGGCCCGGCCATGGTGTCGATGCTCTGGTCTGCCGGATACTTCAAGGAGATCCAAGGCCAGAAGAATTTGTACACATTGGCGCTCGGCACAGTGCTCGTTCTCATTGGCACGGGCCTGCGTGTCATCTCCATGTAAGAAGACAAGTAAAGGACAAATCAAGGACAAGTATCGAGCTGTTTAACCAACCGCCTGGAATTCGGGCGAGACCCAATGAAGCTGACTATGGAACGGATTCCTCCCAGTATCCATTATTTATAGGGCCAGTACTGAGCGCAAGTCAAGCTGCGGTCGTTACGGAAAACGTCAAGAACGTCAACAAGAGGTAGCGTGTACGACGATAGCTCATTTTATTTTGGTGTATTGTGCTGCTTCTAACGTCAGTTCCTGGGCTATTTCCTGTCCTAGACGAGGCGAGTAGTAGGCCGACTGCAGCCAGCACAGCACATCGCAACCTCGACGACCAGCAGAGGATGGTGGCGGCCAGCTACTCGAGTAGCAAGAGCAAGTCGAGTGAAAAACACTCGTGGGTGCTGTCGTTGAGTCGGAAGTCCGTCGGTCGAGTTCACAGCCCCTTCAGCCTCCACACTCGCGTGGCGCACGTGTTGGCAGAGGACCGTCAAGATGCGTTCGACCCAGGCTCCAAGGCTGTCATGGTGTGGGACCACGTGCTGCTGCTGTGCCTTCTATTGGAGTTGTTCTTGCTACCGTACTTCCTGGCTTTCCAGTCCGAGGCGATGGAGATGGTCTCCAGTCTGTTCGTGCTGGTGTTCGCCTGTGAAGGCGTGTTTGCACTGGACTTGTACGTCCAGGCTCATACAGGCTACTACTCCAACGGGAACCTCATTCGAGACAAGAAACGCACCATTCGACGGTACGTGCACTCGGTGCAGTTTGTACTCGACGTCATCGCCGTTTTACCCACTGAGGCGCTTGTGGTTGGATACCCGAGTATTGTACCGAGACTGTTACTCCTCAAGTTGCTGCGATGCTCCCGACTGCCACACTTTGTGTCGAGTTTGGACGAGTTCTACGCGAAATATTTCGTTGGGCTCAAGCTCTTGAAGGTCCTGGCATCGACGGTGTACCTCGCGCATGTATTGGCCTGCGTCCGCTTCAGTTTAAATGGCGGCGAAGTGGAAAGCCTGATGGAGAGTGGCTCGCATCTCGAACAGTACTTAGGGTCGCTGTTCTGGAGTGTGGGCATCATGACGGGGCTGTTCGAGGGAGAGCTCCCTCATCGTAGTACTGAGCTCATGTTCACAATAGTAGTGGCGCTCTGTGGCTTCTCCATGTTCACGACTCTGGTCGCGACGATTTTCGTGATCTCCAAGTGCGAGAGTGGTCAGATGGAAGCCATGGAGGCGAGGATTAATCAACTTGTCCACATCTTCTCGTTCCATCGTGTACCGGAAAACCAGCAGACCCAAGCCATCGAGTACCTGAAAGTACGTATTTAACTATATTACTATGCTCATCTATTGGAAACTTACAGATAATGTTCTATGTTTTCCAGCGTTATTATACTGACACGGAGGCAAATGATCGCGAGACGGCGAAACTTTTGTGTCCGTCCATTGCAACGGACATCCAGGTAGACCTCCTAAAGCCGACAATCGCTCAGATCGCGATCTTCGATGGCTGCAGCGACCAGTTCATCGTGGCCTTGGCAAGTCAATTGGAGATGATTGCTTTGCCCGCACGGACTACGTTATTCTCGACGGGGGACTTTGGTGACGCCATGTACGTGGTTCACTCTGGAGTGCTGGCAATTGTGGTGAGGTCCATGACGGTACGGGAGATTCGGAAAGGCTCGTGGTTTGGTGAGTTGTCGGTCTTTTCCTCGATGCCACGCACTGCCACCGTCGTCTCGACGACGTACGTAATTCTGTACAAACTATCGAGGTTTCACTGTGAACGAGTGCTGGAAGGGTACCCAGCGTGCGCGAAGCTGGTAATTGACCACGTCCAAGAAGTACTGAACCAGCTGAACAAAGTTGACAGCCAGCCTAGCAGTAGTGTGGCGTCTACTCGTTCGGACACGCGGAGGACGAGCTCGTCCATGAGACGGGCGTCCATTGCAGCGGGGGTGGTAGCAGGAGCAGCGACGTTGGTGAAAGTATTGTCAAAAAGAGGAAAAGATACCATGACATCGTCTCGGAGGAGTATTCTACCTTGGAGAAGAAGTGTCATCAGTCCAGTCCCACAGGATGGAGCACAACCAAAAGCTGAGCCCAGTGTGATCAATGCAGTGCGACTAGAGATGGGCCAGTCCGCCTCGACTGATAGTTCGTTTCTCACATGGAATGCAGGCAGCAACCAGACCGTGGTGAACCCGTACGATCGCCACCATCACCCTCGATCAGCACTTCGCCAGGGTTTTGGCTTCTGGCGACTGATTCTATTCCGAAAGTGCATTGATCAGCACTCGAAAGCTCGCAAGTGGTGGCTGTTGCTGCTGTTGTCCAACCTGTGCTACGGCTGGATCATGGTCCCAGTTCAAGTGACTTTCCCATTGTGGCAGCGTCCGTCCTGGATAATCCAAGCAGTGGATACGATCTCGAATGTAGGTCTGTGGCTTGATTTGGTGCTGAATTTCAGTCTATCTTTCATGATCGACTCTGAGAAAATTATGGATCCGGAACGGAGCGCGCAGCGATACTTTAAGCACGGTTTCGTCTTCGATCTGCTCTGTGCCGTACCATTCGAGTATCTGAACGTGACAAGGTACGGCTTGCTGCGACTTCCTCGGTTGCTCCGTATTTTTCACTTAAAACGGCGTTTGAAGGAGATTGGGCACTTTTTCCCGTTCACCGGGCGACGGCAGCTTATGCTGCTTGGCGCGCTTTTGTTCATGCTATTCCACATTGTTACCTGCATCCACTTTGGAATCTCGTACCTCGAGGGATTCAACTCGCACGAAGAAGAAGCGTGGATTTCCCCAGTAAACGTTTGTTTGAAAAGGTTGAATGCAAGCCACTTGGAGAATTGCAGTGGCGAAATATTCAACGAAGCCACCGATCTGAGCGTGCTCCATGCTATCACCGCTCTGGAATATTCACGTTCACTATACTACGCGGTGGGGGTGCTGGCTTCTCCAGGGAGAAGTGTAGAGCCTGTCACTGACGTTCAGCTGATAGCAGCGTTGATTCTCATGCTCAGTGGCTTCCTCATCACGGCTGTCGTGGTGGACAACGTCCAGAAGCGGTTCACCGCCTCTGCCTTCGAGCAAAAAGAATTCTTCGCGACTAGCACGCGGATCCAGCTCTTCCTGCGTCGCCAGAACGCCCCGACTGTGATCCACCATCGGGTCAAGGCGTTTCTAGACTACTGGTGGTCTTCCCACCGAGGCGCTGTAATCGGAGAGTTACTTGCTGATCTCCCACGGCCGATTCGACTGGATTTACTGCGAAGTATTTGCTTGCCAGTACTACAGACGTTAGCCCTATTGCATGGCGTACGTCCTGTACTTGACAAGCTCGAAGAGGTTATGGTGGAGAATGCCAAGTTCATTCTGTACGGACAAGGCGAGATCGTCTATCGTCATGGAGATTCGGTGGTTGGGATGTTCTTCCTGCTGGAAGGGGAAGTTTGCCTGGTGGAGAAGGGCGAGACGTCCCGTGAAGTCCCCCGCGGAGGGTTCTTCGGCACAGCAGCTCTCACGCAGAACGAAAGATCGGAGGGTTATATGGAGCATGTGAGCGCCAACAGTGGCTGTATCTTGCTTTTGATTTCTCGGGAACAGATCCAAGCTATGGAGGCCATTTTCCCTGAGCTTGGTGAAGAAGCTCTCGCCCTTGAGCAGCGATTACTGGGTGTTAAGGTATCCAGCATGAAGTTACAGAGACAAAAGCGGTTAAACTCCAGCGGCGAAGAACGGACGTCGCGAGTTTTCCACAATATGATCTCGGAATTCGGAGAAGTTTTTTCAGCTGTACACGACCCAGACTCGTGGTTTGTTCTGGCGTGGGAGACGTGGGTGTTTGTAGCGATGACGCTGCAGTGGGCGCTGATCATGTTTCAAGCTTGTTATCCGCTAGGAGATGGATACGTCAATGCTGATGCGATGCTGATCTTTTTCGAGATTTCATTGATTCTGGACATGCAGATCCGATCGCGACTGGGGTACTACGAGTTTGGCAACAAGGTGATGGATTACCCGCGCATCAGACGCCAGTACTTGCGGTCGCGCACGTTCGTACTCGATATCGTGGCGTTGCTGCCTCTCTATATCGTAAACTGGTGTCTGCCTGTCAACAAGCGATGGGGTCTTCTAAACGTCAACAAACTGTTGAGGCTGTTCAAAGTGCCCCGACAATTCCACGCGTTGGAAACGAGATACGTCAAGCACACGACGGAGTTGCGGTTATTCAAGTTGCTCTACTATACTTTCATGCTGTCTCACTTTCTGGGCTGTATCTGGTTCAATTTCGCATCAAAAGAGGCGGCTCCCCGGTTTGCAAGCACTGGCGATACCAAAGAAACAGCTTTTGGGGGGAATCACTGGCTCCCATCCAAGCACTTGGAGCACGGACCACATATCCTCCAGTACATGGCCTCGTTGTACTGGTCTTTCGGCCTCATGTCGGCGTCAATGGAGCCGGAGTTCCCTAAAACCACAGCGCAGTGCATCTTCAGCGCTATCACCATGACCTCCGGCTTCTTCCTCTTCGCCTACGTGATCGGTAACTTCGCTGACATCATCGAGCTCAAGAGCTCCGAGACCAGAGAGTTCGACGCCCAAATGCGAGCGATTCGTCAAATGCTGACGCATTTCAAGATCCCGGACGCGCTTCAGCAGCGCGTGAAGACGTTTCTACTGTTCAAACGCTACCACACCATCACCCAAGAGGACCTCCTCGTGCACTGCCTCCCTCCCTCTTTGCTCACCGATATCCGACTCGTTCACCTGAACCCGATGATCGAGAAGGTGGAGTTCCTTCGGGGCATGGAAGGGTCCATCACGCGGACGCTCGTCTCTCAATTCACGCAGATTTTGATCTCACGAGGGGAATTTGTCTGCAAATTTGGAGAAAGTGGCAACGACATGTTCTTCATCTTCACTGGTTATGTGAACATCCTCGTGCCCGCGAGGATAGCCAATCGTCACTGCAGTACGTTGAAGTCTGTTGTAAGAAACCTGGTGGTCAAGCAGGGCAGTGGGGCAACGTCATCGAACAAAGCATTGTCGCCAAAGATCCTCGGAATTGGAGCAATTTCTGAGCAGCAGCAAAAAGGACAGGAACAACTACAGAAGGTGAATGAGCTCTACGCGGGCTGCTACTTTGGCGAGAACGAACTATTTACCAATGGTAAACGCAACGCGTCTGTACAAGCTCAGACGTCGTGTATTTTGTACAGATTGTCGCGTGAATCCATGGAGCTCGTGTTTGCCAGGTACCCAAAGTGGAAGCAAAAGGTGCTACGGATCGCCAACATCCGACGCGAGCAGGAGCGACTCGTACAGCTCTCGCGCGAGGAACAACGGCGCGGTCTTGCGACTATCACTGGTTTGATGCTATCTCGCGTAGATATTATGAATGAGAGGGCTGAGAGGTTGAAAGAAGAGCTGAACCACGCGCGACTCAAGCGCAGCAACAGCGCACGCTTCACAGCAATCAACCTCACCATCGGGAACTGGATAAAGCGGCGGATTCTACTACCGCTTACGAATATTTGCGACTGTCTGGTGCTTGGCGTCCCTGTTCAGAGCGATTTTCACCTCAGTTGGCTTCGGTTCATGGTGTTCTGTACCATGTTCACAGCAATCATCGTACCGTATCAACTGTCTATGGATGCGATGGATCGGATGACAATAATCCCGACTATCGTGAAAGCTTTGGGGTTACTCTGTGAAGTGGCTTTCGTGTTGGATGTGTGGTTCAACTGGCACGTGCAAGAATCTCCGGCAGCGCTGGAGCTCTATGAACAAAACTTACGCAGTGTCTACAAGAAGCAGCGCATGATGTTTGATATCATCGCAGCGATCCCCGTGTACGGCTTACTCATCGTGTTTAACGTCCATCCATGGCTCAAATTACTGCGCTGCGTCAAGATCTTCAACATCATGGGCTACCTGGATGAGCTGAATCGACGCAATGTGGCCAACGAGCTCACTCGCTTCATTCACGTGTGGGTGATGTATCTATTAGTCATCCACTGGGCCGCTTGTGCTTATCTCGCGGTCGCTATGGAGGTTGGTTTTGGTACGGAATGGGACGCGTGGCTGCCTAGCCAAGAGCTCGAGATCTCTGACCCCGAAGACCCGTCACCCTCTCAACTCGCGCGACGATTTCTGCGCGGCCTCTTCTTCGCGACAACCGCGTTCGTCAAGAAGGCCCGTAACATGGCGCCCGAGTCCGCGTCGTTGTACGCGTTCCAGATCACCATGTCGTTCACAGGCCTCATCACCATGTCGTTCGTGATCGGCGAGCTGGCAAGCCTCTTTATCTCGTACATCGGCCTTGAAGTAGGCTTTCGCAAGAACCACATTGCGGTCGAGCTCTTTCTGGCAAGATTACGTGTCAACGACCGACTTAAATCCCGGACGTACGCCTTCATGACGTCTCTGTGGTCCTCCCACGCTGGCGTGAATTATGAGGAGCTCCTGGAGGAGTTACCGCGTCCAATTCGCGCGGCTTGTGTGCTCCATGCGTCGAAAGAACCTCTTGACTGGTTTGTCATTAAAGTGTTCCGTCCGATCTGCTGGGAGGGAGACCAAAGTATCGCGGCATTTGCGCTCTCACTCGCTGAAAAGCTGAGGTTTGAGGGCTACCCACGGGACGAGAACGTCATCACGGAGGGAAGCATCGTGTGCGCCATGTACTTCGTCACCAAAGGGTTTTTGAACATGGAGAGCAAGTCGCTACTGGATCACCCTGTGGGGCTGCGGGACGGGAGCTACTTCGGAGAGCGCGGGTTGCTGAGCTGTACCATCAGCGCGTACACTGTGCGAAGTGTGAGAGCCTGTGACTTGTTTTCTCTTAGCTCGGAGGCGTTCGCCCAGGTGATGCAGCAGCACTCCTTCTCGAGGCTAGCTCTTCAGCTGTGCAACTGCGCGTACAAGCATTTGAAGGCCAAGCAGACTGTGAATTGCTCGAGGGGCGACATGGAGGAGCTCTGGGGCAAGGCGCTGCTGCTTGCCGTCCACGAGACCAGGAAGGAGCAGCCACTGCGTACTGCAACAGGTGAACTATCGGCGGAGAAAGTTGGGGAGGACGCTGCCACTACCACGGACGCTGCAGCAGGAGCAACACCCGAATTCACTGCCGCTGCGTCGACTTTTATCAGTGGCGTTGCACTAGCAGCTAGCAAGAGAAGCGAGCGCCAAAGCACATCCGAGCAAGGAGACATGCCGACCACGGATATGGAGCCGGCGCATCTGAGTGCCATGCTAAAGGCCCTGAACAGCAGTGAGAGCTGCTTCGAAGCATTTGCACCTCTGCTGCATATCAAGTTGGCGTCCGATCCATTGAATTGGACCACAACGTTAGCGTCTATTGCGGCATCGACTGCAGTCCCCGAAAGAAAGTTTACACCTGAGGAATAGAGCTGCAGCATTTTGATACACACTGATACCATTGTTACTCAAAAACGACACGTTTACAACTACAGTAATTAAACACTGGCGTAGCTCACAAATATTCCCAGTCGGCAATATCCGCTATGTCTGACTGGGAAACACTCGAATACTCGGACGATTCCACTGTACGCGCGTGGGAGGAGATGGAGCACGATTTGTACGCCCTGTACCCCGCCGCTTGATCCCTCGCCGCCTTCCTGGCGTCACAAAATGAAGCTCTGGTGATGCACGTCGTGCAGAAGGCGAGCTTGCGTCGACAGAGCTTCCCTCCAGGTGCAATAAAGCTGATCTTCCAATGGATCTTGCACGAGAAGCACACGGAGCCGTAGCACATTTTACACGTGCTTTTACCGATCCGTCCTCTGAGCCCCGAGCTCGTGTTCTTGTTGCACACAACGCAGTTCTTCTTGCGCTCTTGCTGCAGCCCCAGCGATCGCTGTTGCTGCAGCATCCACGACATTTTCTTCATCTGGCCGCAGTACACGAGGTTGTTGGTCGAAAGCAGCGTATCTGTAGCTGCTCGAACTGCAATAAACCGTCGGATATCTCCACCAGGGACCATACTGCTGATGCCGAACACGTCGATGACGTTGGGACTGATCTGGCGATAGAACCCGCAGTACGAGAGCTTGGCGCGGATGACGTTCAGACGTGGCTTGGTCTGCGGGAACTCGATCGAGTGCTTGAGGTGGTACCCGACCCGCTCCCCGTTGGCGAACTGCAAGATGCCAGTGGCCTCGATGTACACGAAGTCGCGCGTCTTGATGAGGTTCGTGGACTCGAACGGGTTGTCGAGCGTGAGCCACTTGACGATGACGGAGCGGAACGGATCCTGCTTGGTTGGCTCGACGATGGGGCACAGGATGGCGGCAGCGTGAACGTCGTGGACGTACGAAGCTCGGATGCGCATGATGTCCAGCGTGGGGTTGACGCAGCCGAACATGAGGTCGTCCAGGCGACCGAGAACCGTTCCGACGCGCAGCAGCACAGGCATGTCCGACCTGGTGGGGGCGGTGCCAGGGGCGTTGGCTGGGTTCCACGGCTCCATGTCCTGGTCGCTGGCCTGTCGACAGCGGTCTTCGTACACGTGCAGGTCGTTCTTGGACTTGAGGTGCTTCCAGCGCTGCTCGTCGACCTGGCGCGCGTCTTGGACCACAAAGTCCTCGTACTTTTCGAAATAGTCCTCCACGAACGCATTTACGAGGTTGTTGAGCTCGCGCTTTATATCCCGGGTCAGGTACAGGTCCGGGTACGGGTTCTGACCGATCCACTCCTTCTTCATCGTCGTTATACTGGTGGAGTGAATTGGCGAGTGAGCTCCTGGATGCGCTTGGGGTCTGGAACGGCGACTACTGTGCGGTAGTCATCTGTGCAGACGGTAAAGACTGACGCGAACCAAGCTGTAGACAGTCTTATCCTGTTTTTTAGGGGATTAGCAGGGTGCTCTAGATGTGGCAATGTGTGCAGAAAAAACACCGAGTGCCTCATTCAAGGTTCCGGAGGGTGCCTCAAAACGCTAGATGGGTACATTTGGACTTGAAGCATTTTTCGATAGAAAAAAACGTAGTACCCTAACGGTAAGGCATTACTTAGGACATAAATCTAATAGAATGCAATGCAAGGAATAAGACAACAGTTACATGGGCCAAACTGGTACAACACAAGCTAGTGACTTATATTGGCGCTGCCACAAAATCTTTGAGCGAAACAAAAGCTTCAACGTTGGTTGCAATCAAGGTTGTGCCACCTATCGTTGATACAGGCTGTGTGTTGTAGTTGAAATTATGCATTAGTGCAATGCATGGAAGAAGTAAGTGATTCATAGAAAATCTGCAGGCCGGTCGCCATGCCTGCAGCGGGATGCCAACAAGCGTGTGGCATGAATAATTAACGTGTACCACACCAAGCATATGCATCTGGTTGAGGCCATTTATCTTAGATTTGTATGAAAACCCTAGTGGTGCCTCAAATTGCGAAAAGTAATGCGCCTCAAAACTCCGGATTGTGGCAAAGAGGCATAAGTGCCTCAACTAGAGCACCCTGGGGATTATGGTGGAATGTATGGAGAAGTCGCACACCAGATGACACGAACAACGAGGCCACAAAGACAACAAGAGGCGCAGCTTGTGATCGATGAGTGCTAGCCACACTTCACAATGGTCAACAGTGGCTCGTGCCACGGCGTGTACAGTACTACGGCGCCGTAGCAGATATTGGTTCGACCACTGGAAAGACTACTCAATTGTTATTATTTGTATCAACGCAACCAGTGTTGATGCTCCGACACTCTGAGGTTTTGCGTTACAAGCGCACGACCCATGGTCATCTTGTCTCGTGGGCACCGGTACCCAGTAAGCGTATGTAGTTGTTGCCTTCGCACGGATTCCGCTAACTTCGGATGGGGGCGGGTGTCGCTGTTGGTTCGTCAGGCGTTGATATTTGTTGATCTGCTGAAGTTGATTTCTGCTCGGCGAGCGCAACGGGGAGCGAGGTGACAGTCGATCGTTGGGCGAGTTGGTGCTCGGTGACCGTATTTGTGTGACTGGCGTTGACGGGTACCGGTAAGTGCTCGGCAGTCGGATTGCAAGTCAAGCATGACCGGATGGGCCTGTACAGTACGCCCCCCGTCATATTATAATACGGTCAGTGACTGGTGTCCTCTATGCGTCGCAGTGGACCACGGCGGACGACAGTACGCGCCAGATTCCAGCCTTTTGCCACGACCACACGGGCAAAATACGACCTAAAATTCTTGCTTAGGCCGGGCGGATTGCAGTATGCTTTGTTCTAAAAGTCCAGAAATTGTCACGGACTTGACCGCCATTGATGAAGGTGCGCTACCTATCGTGAGGAGGAAGGTTACATTCAAATCGATCACCAGAACAGGGTCGGTGAGACAGCAATGCACCGCGCACTACTCAAGCACAAGTCTGATGTGACAGCATTCCTTCTCACCCTCAAAAACCAAGCTCTCTTACGAACAGCATCAGGCGGTTGTCTCCATTACGCAGCACGGTACTCCCCCCCCCCCCCACGAGCTCCAGAGATTGCTGGACTGGTGACGACAGATCGGAGTAACGGAGGAAGAGAACGGACTATTGAGATTGTTGAGCTGAGTCAACTCTGCCGGGCGTACTGCACCGCTCGTGGCTTCTACTTCAGCATCGCATTCGCCCGACTCACAGCATGAAGGCCACGCTATTCCTGGATGCAGGAGGGAAGTTGCTCGGTACCAGCCCGTTCCTGGTGGCGAAGGCATCGTCGACTGTGGTTCTTTCAAAGGAGGTGTGCCAATGCTTGAGTATGTGGTTGTCCGAGTGTGCGGAACATCATCTGTATGACATCGACAAGTTTTGTGTGGAGTACCTGATGACCGTCGGCTCACGCATTTTGCGTCCGGCTGGCATTGCAACTACGAAGCTCTGAGTGTTTTAGTATCGTCGTTGCACTCAGCAGACGTGATGCCATTGCTGCTCAGTCTACCGCTCGATTGCAGCTCATTGCCAAAGTTACTCGATCGGGCACTGCACCGAGAGCTTGTGGAGCACGGATGTCAAGAGAAAGATAGCACTTTGAATTTCAGTTAATAGTCGGGACGTCCGTCTTGTCAAAAGTCCTTAGCTAGCTCCGACTCGGCCATTACTTTAATCCGGTCCACGCGGCAACAAGCTCTTCGTACAATGCTATCATGAGCAGGTGGCTCTGCTGTCTGCAGAACAAACCGATGTGCTCCAACAACGCCAGCGACACTCTCCGATCAAATGGTAGTAATATCAGCAACGGCACTGTGTCGACAGTATAACCCGACGACAGCAACACTCCCAGCACTTCATGGCTCACCCCGAGCTGGGTATATTCCGACGCTGAGATGATCGCCAGGTACTTGATGCAGAACTTGGTAACATGTTGTAATGACGGCCCCGCACATTCTGTTAACCACAGACTCGAGCACTGCTGCACTTCCGTTGAGAGCACCAAGCTGGACGACAACTCGAGAAACGGACTGCGACCAAGCAGCTTCGCTCCAGCATCCAGGAGCAGCTCCGCCTTCGCGTTGCGATCGTCAAGTGAGTATGTTGTTGACGTGGCAGCTAGGAACAGAGCCGTACTGCCGGTCGAGTTCAGGTTGTTGAGTATCGCCATAGTTGTGTCTTCACACTCTTCGGCACCACCACCACCTCCGAGTGCCTTCTCATCATGCCATCGACGGTAACATGCAAGCGGCAACTGCAGCTCGTCAGGTGACGAATACCGTGCTGCGTAGTGGAAACACGACTCTCCATCCACTGTGTGCAGAGCAAATAGCTCGGTTTGTTCGTCAACCGCGCACAGCAGCTCAGCGACTTCAGGCTTCTGCTTCAAAAGTGCTCGATGCATGGCCGTCTCACCCTTGACGTTCTGATAGCCGTTTTCGACGTATCCTTCCTCCAGCAGAAACTCCACGACCGAGAGTGCGCCTTCGTCGACAGCAGTCATAAGAACTGACCCGGCAAAGTCCTCCCCTTGGGGCGTCGGTACGAGCTGGTGGTGATTCAGCATGACTTGCAGAATGTTGACGTCCTCGGTGCGTATCATGAGCTCAAGTGGGGTAACACCGGCATTGTCTGGAAGATGAAGCTGCGCACCGTGGTGTAAGAGTAGATTCGCGACCTGAAGACTCGACGACTGGATGCAGTGGTGTAGAGGCGACTGTCCTTCCTGTTGGTGAATACAAACCGACAATGGTTAGAACGGGGCTCAGAGAGAAGAAAGCTCAAATACGAGCACGTACCTCGTCCTTCGCGTCGATATCTGACCCGTTCTCGACAAGTAGTTTAGCCACCTCGTACGTCTCGTCCGTAGTTGCATGGTGCAGCGCCGTCTTGCCGCCTTGGCACCGTTTGTTCGGATCAGCGCCGAAGCGCAGAAGGAGCTGGGTACGACTGAGTGTAGACTGCAATCGCTCTGCGTCCTCTTCCCGACACTGAAAGGATCATAAAATAATGGTTAGTCGGAGCTCTGAGATCTACTGTACAAACATACGGGGACGTACATCGAGCACTAGGTTGCGCTGGATCGCCACTCTGCCGCGGAAGATGCAGCGAGTCGCCTGCAGGTTATGGCGCATGACCGCGAGCATCACAGCAGTCATGCCCGAGTCGTCTGCCGAGTCGGGGTCCTGCCCTTCTTCGAGCAGATACTGCATGATCTTCTCGTCTCCTTGCCACGTCGCTGTATGCAGCGCTGAGGCCCCAATGATGCTCAAGTGGAAGCCGTCCCAGCTGCAAAAATTCGAGGTCCTTAACAGTTCATCTCCATCAGCCGATTCCGCCGAGCTAACACCGATCTTCTGTTAAACAGCACATTCGATACTGAGTCCAGATGACAGATAGGCGCGTATAGAACGATAACGCACCCGCTTGAGGTCCAGCCGCTCGGGGTGTTGCTCGCGTAGAATCTTCATTCGATCGACATCTCCATTACTTGCTGCGTGCAGCCACTCCCGCTCCACGTGAACTGCGCTCACCGACGCGCATTGTTTCTCTTGTCCAGCCATAGGAACGAGATTGCAGTCTCTTTCACAGCAACGGAGCAACTAATACTAGTACGATACTTTCGAAGTGATCGAGAGCCGAAGTTTGTAGAAATGAGCATCCAAATCGTACGATCAGCTGAATGTTAGTGGGAAGGTCGACCACCTCTTTTAAGAGGTAGTCGGCCTTAAAAGGCAACTAAAGGGGTCTCGCGCACTAAATGTCGGGAGCCTCGTACAGCGCACGGATCACCAAAATCTTTGAAGTACTCCGCAGACGAGACCAAATCTTTGCGCTGCACTACATTTCGGTGTGGAAAGCCTACCGTTGCCAGCCCTCCCGTGTGATGAGCGTCCGGCTTTGGGATCGCCAGGGGGACAGCCGATGATATCCAATGTGTGGCCAACAGAGCTGCCGAGCGTTCCAGCTTATTGTTGCAAGTAGGATAGTATTTCGAGCAAAACATATCCGTTCCAGCCGCGGCACCTTGATCTTGGCTCAGAATTCATCACGCTTCAGTGGCCCGTCAAGGCTAGGTATTTGTTAATCCAATAGGGTAATACTTGCACTTCTGAGTGTGTGGGACGTTCATGTCTTCTGGTGATCGAGTACTGTACACATACAGGTAGTAAGACGTTGAGAGACAGGTCCACTGGATGCGTCGGGAAGTTCTTCTCTTTGCACCAACTGCGGCTTCCCCGAGATCTAATGTCGTTTCAGGACCGTCGCCGATTGCGTGCGTAGTCCATAGCACAGCCGTAGAATGAATACACTCTAACCAAAACATTATCTTGTAGTTTCCCACTGCTGGCCAGACGCCATCAAGACCACGAAGAGGATGCCTGTCGTACCAGTCGTACACTACTGCAAGCTTTCCTCGCCTCGAGTCGTACCACAAGATCTCTCGTGGCCGTCAACAAAACGGCCAAGTGAATCCGAAATTTCAGTTGACGGCTGCTCCTCACTGGAACAGTTTTCTGCAAACTTGTGATTGGTCTTTTTGAACATGTCGTTTGTCGTTGCTTGGGGGGACAACTCTGCTGCTTCTTTTCTTCCGAAAAAGGTTCAGCTCATCATGACGCCAAGTGAAGCCACCAAGCCGTCTCACTCACGGCCACAGCAGCCGCTCTTGAGCTGTGCAGGGCAGTCGAGAGGCTGATGGCAAATCGTGGCGTGGGCGTCCTCTAAAATCCGGGCAAGAGAAGTCTAACGGCGTGAAGTAAACTGCGTCGAAATTCTATTTCCCATCTTGAATATGCCAAGCTTCACAAATCAGAATGTTCACAGAGCGCTGAGCACTCGGGACGCTGTCGTGACTGCTAGCAAGTCCAGTCGTAACATCTCGTTTGCGAGAGGTCCACGCTGTCCACCAAAGTACTGTACAAACTTCCTCGGTGCAAAGTTCGCTCTGCTCGAAAACGTTGGCACGCAATTTCCTGCTCGACGCTGTAAAGAGCCGAGGAGTATTGGATAAATTCAGGCCAATCATGCCACCCAATAGCTAGCACGCCATCCACCCCACCCAATCCATTCCTTTGTCCCACTTTAGACCAATCCATTCCATGCCGGTCTGCATACGGGAACGTCCCTGCATCGCCATGGCTGCGACATATAGCCAAAGTGCAAACAGTCGAGTACAAACTAGAACCACAGTACTTAAGTAGTGCGCACCAGACCGCGCTTGCCATCGCGAATCTCCAGCGCAAAATGAATTTTGCACTCATGTTCCACTTCGATTGCCCCTCAAGGACAAGTGTAAGCCCAAGAACGCCTTTCAGCATTGTGTGGCCATACCATTGAATGCGACGATAGAGCGGAGAACTGGCATCTGGAGCAGCTGAAATAAGCATCAAGCGCGCGGCATTTACTCAGCGACAGCGTTGAGCTTGATCATCTTGAGCCGCAGCCTCTCAGAGGCTATAAAGCAGCAGCGGAGACGGCGATGGACAGCAGTGAACACTTATTGAGGCTTTTATCTGTTCACGTAGTCCTCGAGGGCTTGCATGAGTGCTGTCGATGGCGGCGTCCATCCGCTACTCCAGGAATAAAATGTTACTAGTATTATACCTTAAAAACAGGTACATCTCTTGTTTGCTATAAAATAATTTATTTCGTTTACAAAAGGTACATCGAGAAAGATATTTTTACCAACCGCGTTCGTGCGGTTTTAGAATCCTGCCAGGCAACAGATTGAGCAAAACAAACGAACTCCTACTTACAGCACTATAAATCAGGGTATTTCGCGCAATCTTCAGCCTTCGTGGACACTTTATACCAGACTGCAAACCAATCATCCCGACGACACTAACTTGGGAAAGTGTGAAAAAATGGTATATATAGTACTTCCTGTAAGTACTCTCAATCGGCTCAAAAAATTCTACAATTAAATTCCTGATTTGCTTGGAACTCGCCGAGTTTCGCTGCGATTAATCCCTAAAAGTTGTAGACGAATGCTGAAGATGAACTTAGGACACGTTCGAATCGGCAGCAGCGATGATGCTATCTAAGAAGGCAGCCATGTCCTCCCTCCCACTTGAACGTGCCAAGTCCGCTGCATTTTCGCCATTTTCGTTCGTGATATACAGCGCAATAGACGGAAGAAAGCACACAAGAACCTCAGCCGCTTCCTGCAGGCCCAGCCACGCTGCGATATGCAACGGAGTGTTCCCGTGTACGTCGGCGTAGTCCACAAAGTCCGGGTGCTTCTTGCACAAATACTGAATGCTATCAACGTCGTTCCGCAGACACGCGTACGCCAATGGCATGCGCTCTTCCGCATCCGTTGCCAGCAGATCAGCCTCAGACTGCTCACCCAGGAACGAAAGCGTCTCCACATTCGGTGCTACGTGGGCGCAAGTCAAGTGCGTGTGGTTTCTATCGTCTACTTTCACGCACCCACTCTCCAGTAACAAGGCAATCACCGCGATATTCCCACTGGTAGTAGCAGCGTGAAGAACGGTATCGCCGTACAAATCGGTTCCAATCGTTGGTTGCTGCTCATTTTGAGTCGATAGCATAGTTTGCACGAGGTAACGCACACATTCGAGCTGACCAGCGTAACACGCGTAGAAGAGTGGTGTACGGCCGTCTTCATCGCGCCAATCTAAGTAGTCGCTGGCGGTATATCCCCCTCCATCTCCATTTTGCAGCGAGGTTAGCAGAGCGTCTAAGCACTTCACGTGGCCACTCAGCGCAGCAGCGTGTAGCGCAGTAGTTAACGATGTGTAATAACACTCTTCGCACGCTGACGCAGCCGCAACATTGCTCGAGTAGTAGTTGTAGAATTCTGCAAACGATGTTAGTGAAAACCCCAGAGGGCCCGAGTCTTCAGTCAACGGCAGCGTAACACGGAAAGACCGGTAGCATTGATCCTCTGCGATCCACCGATTGATATCGAGGTGTACCGGGGATCCGTCAGCTCGTGAGGCCTGAATATGATTAACCACCTCTGAAAGAGTCGACACACTCAAATTTACCGTCAACCCCCCGCATCCGGCTAATATGTCGCCATTGACGAGTCCAGCCTGGCCCGCAAATGACCCCTCAATGATATCGTACACCACTAGCGCGTTTGCACCATCGTCAGCGCTAGCTGAATCGTCTGTTGATACAATTGCCAGTTCATTTTCACTTGTTGGCTGTGGTAATACTTCCTCGTCGGCCCATTTATAAGGACTGAGCTGACAGCCCAGAAGCCCTTTGCCCTTCCACTTCCGCGGGCACAACGACACTCGCAATTCCTCAAAATTATCATCCTGATCTTTCACCGGGCGAAGCAGAACGACAAGAATATTGTTGTTCACGTTTTTCTGGACGCACTCAGCCATCGATATCAGGCACTTTGGAGTGCTACTGACGATGCCCCCAAACTCGACCAACAAATCTCCACTTTGAAGTGTTGCCTCCATTGCAGGCGAGCTCTGCGTCACACTGAGAACCTGAGCAAAAGGTACGAAGCCCTTCTCGCGAGATGCAGAAATACTCCAAACTGGTTTTGGCTCCTGTTCTTTCTCGTCCTCGACGAGTTGTTCCTTTGATGTACAATCCTTTGGTGTACAATCGACAGCTTCGTTTTCTTCTGTACTTGAATTTCTCTTCGATTCACTGCCAGCGTCGTTGACTTCATTTGTGCTTTGAATATTCGCATCGGGGGTATCAGCCACCTCAAAGGTTGTTTCTTCCGGCAACGGTGTGGTCTGCTGAGCTTCGGCTTGGATTTCGCTAGAAGGGGGATCTACCACCAATGCTTGGCCCTCGTCTTCTCTCAATGCTTCAGAAGCTTCAGAGGGCCTCTCTACCGACGGCTCTGCTTGGTCTTCACCACTGGCAGCTAGCTCTATAGATTCTGCACCAGCTTCAGCAGATTCAGTTGACTCTACACTCACCTCGTCTGCGTCACCTTCCTTTGTGTCGCTAACAGTATCCGGGGGCACCGAAGATAAGAGAGCTGGTTCATCCGCTGAAACGGGGACATCTTTCTCTGAGGTTGGTAGTGTCGCCTCATCTTGTGCGTTGACTTCCTCTCTTTTCATGGGATTCTCCTGGACTTGTCGATTCTGGAGTTCCTTCCGTTCAGCCTGTTGAGCAGCTCGCTCCTTCTGCAACTTGTGAATCTGTATCCGTCGTTGCTTGTCCTGTTCATACTGTTGCGCCATTGCGGCACGTCTCAATTGTGTAGCTTCTCGCTGCTTTTCCTCCTCCCTCTGCTGGAACAAACGCCATTCTTCCTGCTCTGCAGCGATCTGGCGCTGCCGTTCGCGCTCCGCAATCCACTCCTGCTGCATGGCGTGGCCCAGTACGTCTTCTACCTGCATGTGCGCATTCTCCGCTTCGATTAAATGTTTCTCACGCTCAATTCGAGCCTCTTCTTCGATAGCGTGCTGTCGTGCAGCAAACTCTGCTCTCGCCTTGGCATCCGCCGCCTCCTTGAGCGCTTTCATCTTCTTCTCCATCTCCGCCTTCCTCGCCGCTTCCTTCTCCTTCGCTTCTCGTTCTTGTTGCTCTCGCTGAGCTCTGATCTTGGCTAAGTACTGCTCTTTGACTCGCCTCTCTTCTTCCAACTCTTTCTCTCGCTGCAACTTGCGCGCAGTCTCTTTCTCCGCCTCCACAAGTCTCAGGACCAGCAACTCCTCTTCCCGCATACGAGACCTCTCTTCCTGCCGTTGCAGTCTCTCTTGTCCCTCCGGGGTCCCTATGTAGTCCTCCTTCGCCATCAACGCCAGCTCCAGCCGCCGTTGCTGCTCCGCAGCCATACGCTGTCGATGATTCACCACCGCCGACGCTTCATCTCCCCCATTGGTCGTTTGGCTCACAGTCACAGGCGCTGCTGCTGCATTTACTTGCCGCATCATCATGAGGCGATCGAAGCCCACGCCCACGTAGCCCACGGAACCTCCCGTGGGAGGCCGAGAGAGCTCATTGACCGCGCCATTTCCAACCGGTGTACGATGCGAAGGACTCTTGGGCGGGGGTGGCTGGGAGCGATTCACGCTGGACGATGAAGGAGCAGCGTCCACAGTCAAAGGAAACACACGCCGGCTAGCCATGACGCACAAGAAGAGGCGCGTACGTCGGAGAGACTAGGAGTGGTCGTATTTTTAGTGAAGTTGAAGTGTCCATCATTCTCGAAAAACTTCAACTAATGGACCAACACTCTGTGTGATGCAGAAAACGTAATAGCTGAGACTGGGATTAGCCGGCCGATACTCAGGCTGCTACGGGTAGTGTAAGAAGGTCAGCTACGGTTCGTACGGGAAGGCGTCCATGTACTCGACCCTCTCGGCCCAGCGGAAGTGGTTGTCGTCGAGAACTGCGTGGCGACGCGAGCGCCGAACTCCAGTCCAGACACCCACGATCAGCAGGAGCGTCACGCACGAGATCGACGTCAGCATAGAGAGCTTCATCGTCCAGAGCTGCTCGTCGGTTGTTTGCCAATGGTGTGGCACGAACATCGGATGGTCGAAGCCCGGCTGGGCGATCGCTGTTGCGCCTGCACTGCGAAACACAGGTTTCGGCTCGGGTTCTGGTGCTTCCTCCGCCCACGCAGCTTGAGCAATATTCTCCTCCGCGGCAGGTGCATCCTCACGTTGTTGCAGTGCATTTTCCTGTGGAGAGTTTTCTTCCAGACGCGGGTCTTCAGGTAGTTTCAATGTGACCTTGGTGTCAGGTGCGTTAGTCTGGATCGCGGCAACGTCTTCAATAAAGTCCCTCATGACGATGTCCCCCAATGCATCCGCCGCTTCTTCCACAATTTCATCTTCCAGTTCCTGCTTCTCATCTTCCGTAAGCCGTGGACCAGTTCCAGTCGACGCTGGGATGAAGATGATAAACTGATCGTCAGCGACATCCTGCTGGTTCTCATCGTCCGACTCGCTTACCACAATGTCAATCTCCACTGACCCGCCGGAGCTGGGCAGCGTATCCAGCGCCGTCTTGAGCTCTTCCTTCATCTGCTCCAGCTCCTCCTCAGCCTCCGCTTCCTCTTCGAACAGCCTCGCGACCTTCTCGACCAGCGCAGCGTCCGGCTCCGGCTGCTGCTCCACGTCCGGAGCGAGCACTGCCTGGTCCACGATCATTCCATCCAGCACCTCAGCCACTTCGCTCTCGATCTCGCCCTTGATCTCGTCCTTCTCAGCCTCCGAAAGCTTGGGCCCAGATCCAGCGGGGATGACCACGACGATCTCGTCGTCGATCCACATACCCGAGCCGCTCTGTGTGCCGTCCGACTCACCAACCACCACGTCGATCTCCAGGGACCCACTGGAGCTGGATAATCCATTCAACGCATTGTCCAGCTGGTTATCGAGTTCGATCAATGTATTGATAACTTGAGCTTCGGCCTGGATGAAGGCTTCGGCGTCGTCCAGACTGCCACTGGCTTGGAACGCGCCGACTGCAACGCCATTCACATCGATCTCAGTTGCGCTGACGGATGAGGAGGCAAGGCTGGAGAGCAGCAACAGGATGAGCAGCATGGCTGTCATGCTGGCCTTTTGGTCGACTTGATTTAGGCAGTATATCTGTCCATCCAAGATATTTGCGACCTTTCGAGCAAAAGATATGTAGCCATATGTGTCACTAAGTACGAATTGTCAGACTAAGTACGGATCTTGTTGAAGTGAGTTGCTCGAGGCTGTCATGATCACTTGTCGTGATCGTCAGAGAGAGCGTCACGCTTGTCCTTGCCGTAGGTGAAACGCTTTTATCTGATTGATCTCAACTGGATGAGCTATTAGCCGCTTGGATGGCTACGCTTGCTCCTCCTGGTAGTGGTAGTCATTTGGCTGCAGCGATGTCGAAGCCGGGTGACCAGTCAAATGTCGATGATATCCAAGGAGGACAAAAGTGCGGTGGCGATGGCATGGACGTAGACAGCTGTGCTACCTGCAGCAGTAGCCGTTCAAGCATCACTTGTATGCTGGTGGTCTCCCTGGAGTATTCGGGTAATGAATGGACCTCCTAGAGCACGGTAGATCTCACCTGATGCATGCACCCCTCTCGAGCTCCATGCACCCCTAGATTCCAATGGTGAGGGATCTCCTCCTAACTTACACGTAGGATGATCTGACGCTTACAAATCTCGATGCAGTGTTTCGACACGTGTGGTGACGAGCCTCAAAGGGCTCACAGTGTTGCACCGCCTGGACGCAATCGGCTGCTTACCGCCGCACCCGGGGTCGATTCGGATTCTGTTTCCTTTTTTGCTGTTAGAATGGATTGTAGAGCGCCTTCGTATCAGCTCGTAAACGATGTCGCCCCAATTTTCTTGAAGTTGATGGAGCTGCCTTGTTGAGTATTGGATCCTCTTTCCTTGAAGCTGCCCTCGCGGTCGTTTCGCGGTCTAATACTGCGCGTCGACCACAAAGATCTGCTGCCAAAATCGCTAGTGCTATGTGCACGTCCCACAATCCGTGGTTGCCTGCCTTGTGGGTATGTAGGCAGCGATAGTTAACCCTCAACATTAAGCGAGAGACGCACCAAGTGAAAGTGAGCTGCAAAACGGGCTATTCAAGCCGCGCCGACCAACGGGTGGACCGCGAAATATTGGATCTTTGTGTATTATTTCTCGGTGGGGAAGGCGGTTTTGCCGTGAATCCAGTCCTCATTCGCATGCTAGATCGCCAGCGGTGGTTCAACTAACACCCAGGGCGTGTCTTCGCTAGACTGACAATCTCGGAGGAGCAGGAGACCGCCACTGCTGATGAGTGACACCTTCTGGGTCGACCCACTTGAACGCCCCGCAGTCATCCGGTTGTCATCTCCGTCGCCGTAAACTTGCGTTTCCTCCGGTTTCAGCGCGTGGGAGTCGCGCAGCGCTCCCCCCTTCCTCTGACTCCCCCGAAACGGGATCACTTCGTGTTATTTCGGCTCCGTTTCTGCCGTGGCTTCTTTTTCACGGCCGCCGCAACTCCCAGTGCTTAGTACTCGCCCGTATGCGGCCCGATCCATAGGTTCGTTCGACTGAGGGCTTGAAGGTGCGCGCGCGGGGCTTCGACCCAATCGGATTTTCCACGTCGAGATGGAAGCGAAGACCGCGTCTACCGAGCTGCCGTCGACGCCGAGTATGGCGGACGTTCACGCGGCGTGGCTGGCTGCCGGCGCCAACGGAGACGTCGGTGCCATGCGCGAATTGTGGAACCAGTTCCCGAAGTGGCTCGACTTCAACCGGGTAAAGGAGCATTAGACTTGACAATCGACAATCGGCAGCGACCACCAACTAACTTGGTAGATTTGTTCAGCAAGTCGGCCACGCCAAGTCGGACTCGCTGTCCCAACGACAGGCAAGGTTCTGCAGCTGGGGGGACTTCCACCTGCGTACTATCGGCGCCTCAGCACTCCACACGGCCTCTTGGGGAGGGAACCTCGGCATTATCGAGTTCCTGCTGGAATCAGGACAGGATCCAAATGCTGCGGACGACAGTGGCATGACGGCGATCATGGTGGCGATCCTACGCCTCAACCTCATGACCATGCGCTGTGTGTACCGCGATGGTGAGGCTGTACGCCGCAACACCGTTGTCGACGTAAGTGGAGCGACTACTAAGCGGGGCTTGAGCTATTGGCAGCACTAATTGGGAGGCTGTGCAGTGTCGTCAAGAGCAAGACGAGCAAGTGCAGCGCGTGCTTGGAGTCATAACGTTGCTGCTTCGCTTTGGCGCTGAAGTGGGTGCACGAAGCCAGGTACGACCACCTAAAACGGCCCTTCACATCCATTCAGCAACTAACACAATCTCATCTCGTTGTGCTCTTGGTTTGCAGGACGGCAAGACGGCGCTGCACTGCTCCACCAGTGACGACGCGTACGATGTGACCAAGTTCCTGCTGGATGCTGGTGCCGACATAGACGCGCTGGACGAGGTAGGCAAGGAGAAAATCGAATCGGCACGTCTGGAGCTGATGATTTGTTGTCCTTATCTGCAGAACGGGAAGACGCCGCTGCATTACTGTGTTCAGGAAGGAGGGCTCCTCGTGACGGATCTTTTGCTCTCCCGTGGTGCGAGCATCGACGTAGAGGACAAGGACGGCACTTCGCCGCTAGCGCTTGTGCTACAGCGGGGCAATGTGAACGTGTTGCAGCTCTTCCTGAATCACCACCACTGTGTGGTGACAGCGAAGCGCCAGGATTTCAGCCGTGCAGTCTTGTTGGAGGCTGTTGCAAACAGAGCCGAGGAGGCGGCTCGCTACGTTGTGGAGAACGACTACACGTCCGTCGCGGTCTGCAACACACGGGGCGAGACGCCGATGCACCTGGCTATCAAGCAGCAGAACCTGTCGCTGATGGAGCTGTTGAACGACTTGGATCCAGCAGGGGACAATCTGTCGGCGGCCACTGTAGAGTCCGAGACAACGGCGCATTACGCTGCTCGATACGGGTCGGATCGTGAGGTGGAGATGCTACTGCGATGTCTGACAAGTACGTTCGGAGACCTTCAGGAACTCGGAACAGAGAATCCTCTCAACGATGTCAACAGCAAGGGCGTGACTCCTCTCTACATCGCGGGAACGACACCGTATTCCTACAAGAGCGTCCGCTTCCAAGACGAGTTAGACAGCAACAAGGCGGTTGGCAAAAGTATCCGCAATGCGAAGGTGCAGTTGTTGATGGAGCATGGCGCGCCGTTATTCCCAGCGAGTTTTCTGGTGGGCGAGCTGACACCAGCAGCTTGTCAGTCAGCGTCGCGCTTGGTCCTTCCGCTTCAGGTACAGCAGTGTCTGCGCGATTGGGTCGTAGAGATGAGGAGTCGAATCGACGAGCCTGAAGACGAAGAGGCTGTGCACGCAGCAGACGAGGATGATCTGGTTGAGGCGGTAGCGGAGCTTTGCATGCAATGGATGGCGAGTGTGGCGTGCGTCGGCTCGTGGGCGTCCTTACTCCCGATCGTCATCTGTGCGGGGTACGCTCACGATGTGGTGCCGCTGCTGGTGGAGCTCCCTCTGCAGCGCTGGGCGCTACCAGCTCTCCTGCGTCAGCTTGAGAAGTTTGAAGTAATTGAAGGGCACTTTCTGAAGCCAGGATCATGTACACAGGTGTAGGTCGTTTTCCTGCGGAGAGATGAAACAGTTATGGATCGTGATGGCCGTAAGCAATGTACCTCTGGGATACGGCAGTTCGTCAGTTGCTAGGTATCGCACGCTACCTCCCGAGCCACGGCGCAGCGTTCGCCCTCGACAGCTGCCTCACGAGCTTGCCTGCCGTGATGAGATAACCAAGCTGCTACCATTCTATGCAAATCATTTTGAGTAGAGGAAGCAGATTGCTTACAGAACCGATAGCGCTGCTGAAATACATGTATCTTATATTCAAACTATTGCCCTTCCTGCAGCCATTTCTTGCCAAGCCTCCAGCAACTCCTTGTGGAGCTGCAGAACCAGCGAGTGACGTGGTGGTGCGCAAACTTCTCATGCGCACCACCGACTCCGTCACTCGCTGGTTCTGTTTTGATCCACCAACTCATCATGCGGCGAAGCAATATTCTGGACTGAAGCACTCTTGAATCGAGAGTCTCGACGAGCATCCCTCGTTTCGCTTTCCGTCCGATTGCTGTAGCCACCTGGAAATCTTGAAGCTGGTGCCATGCATTTCGTGGAAGGTGTTTGTGCCGGGGCAGTTTCGACCACAGAGATCGGCTCACTACAGTAGTAAGGCATCGTATGCCGTTCAAGACGCACTGTTGTTGTTGTTGATTCTCATGAATGATACCCTTTGTCGCATGTGCATCCAAGACGAGAGCGCTGGCGTAGAGCAGGTTGCACCCATGCCGAGGGCGTTCGGATCAATGTGATCGAGCCTCTCTAAGCATAATGAACCCAGTCGACGCACGATGAACGCTGTCGCGACGTGTTGAAGTTTGTGGAGACGACCTCTTCGTGTAGGTTTAGATAGATCCAGCGCACTCTATGGATTTGACTTCATATTATTCGTGGCTGCTTCCTCGCCTCGCCGCAACCTGGACCAGGTCCTGGTCTCTGTGCCGCCGCCGTGGTACCGAGCCGTATGCGGTTGAGTCGACCGTCGAGTCAATCAGATCTTCCTTCACAATCCAATTCACGCGGAGAAATCTAAGGCGGGCGCCGCCCCGATAACATCAAAACCATGTCAAGTAAAGCCGAAGTTTACAGCGCGTGGCTTGCGGCAGGCGCCAGGGGTGACGCCGCCACGATGCGCAAGCTCTGGAGCCAGTTCCCGCAGTGGCTTGAGTTCAACCAGGTAAAACCTCACTTGGCCATTACGTTGTGATAGCGGAGACCATCAACCACACTGACCGATCCACTTGAATCCAGCAAGTTGGCGACGCTGCGTTGGACTCGGAGTCCCAGCGGCAGGCGAGGTTCTGCAGCTGGGGGGACTTCCACTTGCACACCATCGGAGCGTCAGCGCTCCACACTGCCGCATGGGGCGGGAAGCTCGACATCGTGCAGTTCCTTCTGGATTCGGGCCAGGATCCGAACGCGGCCGACGACAGCGGCATGACGGCTATGATGGTAGCCATCCTGCACCTCAACCTGCTGACCATGCGCTGCGTGTTCCGCGATGGTGAGGCTGTGCGCCGCAACACAGTCGTGGATGTAAGATAGATCCAACAACTTCTTCCTTCACCAGTTGCTGTGGAAATCTAATTGTGTATATCTTCTTCTCGTTAGTGTCGAGAAGAGCAAGAGGAGAGAGTGCAACTCGTGCTAGCGGTGATCAAGTTACTGCTCCAGTATGGGGCCGATGTGGACGCTCGCAGCAAGGTAGACGCATGCGCTGCTAACTCTCAATTTTCGTGCCGATAGCTAACCAAGAACACGCGTGCTCACACTTGATAGGATGGCAAGACCGCGTTGCACTGTTCCACTAGCGACGACGCGTACGAAGTAGCCAAGCTGCTGCTGGACGCTGGCACAAATATCAACTCACTCGATGAAGTACGTCCTGTGTGCGTATTGTGAAGCTCGCTCCTGCTGACTCATGTGCTGTCACCAGCACGGCAAGACGCCGCTGCACTACTGTGTGCAAGAAGGAGGGCTTCTTGTGACGGAGCTGCTGCTGTCTCGTGGCGCCGACATCGACGTGAAAGACAAGGAAGGCATCTCTTCTCTCACGCTCGTGCTGAAGCAGAGCAACCTGAACGTGCTGCAGCTTTTCCTGAACCACCACCACTGGGTGTCGACGCCGTTGCGGCTCGACTTCGCCGGAGCCGTACTATTCGACGCTGTCGAGCATCGCGACGAAGCGGTCGTGCGATACATCGTGGACAACGAGTACGCGTCCGTGTTGGTGCGGAACACAGCGGGCGAGACGCCGCTCCATCGAGCAATCTTGCGACGGAGTCCCTCGATGATGGAGGTGCTGGCCGACTTGGATCCGGCTGGTGACTGCTTGACGGCGGCTACTACGACAGAGGCCAAGACACCGGCTCACTACGCGGCTCAGTATGGTTCGCACCGAGAGGTGGAGATGTTGCTGCGCTGCCTCACGAGTTCGCTTGGCGGCCTCCGAGAGCTTGGACTGGCAAGTTCTCTCAATAATGCTGACTGGAGAGGGATGACGAGTCTGCTCACGGTTGGGATGTCGACGCAGTGTGGCGAATCTGAAGCAGATACTGGTCTTGCAAATCCCGAAGCACGAGACGCGAAAGCCCGGCTGTTGGTGCACCATGGAGCGCAGTTATTCCCTCCGTCCTTCCTGCTGCACAAGCTGGCGCCTGCAAATTCGAGCGTCAACCGGGATGCATCCCGTATCATTCTGCCTGTCCAAGTGCAGCGCTGCCTACGGAGCTGGCTCGTGGAAGATGGAGTTCCTGCTGATGAACCCGAGAACGAAGAGTCCCCGAATGTCATTGGTGGTGAAACACCGGTCGACGCGTTGGCGGAGCTGTGCATCCAGTGGATGGCCAGCGTGGAGTGTGCCGGCTCGTGGGTATCGCTGGTCCCTATCCTCATATGCGCGGGCTACGCGCACGAGATCGTGCCGCTGCTCGTGGAGCTCCCTCTGCAGCGCAAGGCACTGCCGACCGTACTACGCCAGCTTGAGAAGTTTACGCGGTACCAGCTCCGTCACCCTCTCCTTCTCCAGCTCCACAATGAACTCCAGGAAACCTACCGAGTGATAGCTCCATCCAGTAGCTAGGAACACTGCATGTAATGTATGCTTCACGCTGCCATTCATTGGCTATGTCGACCATATGAGCGCTCTGCTCTGACCGACATGCGCTTCAACAATACACACGTAAGAGGTCAGACAGCCTGACTTCTGACTCAGGCAGAGTGTACAAAGTTGCACCAGATTTCACTAGAATGTGCACGTAAACAGCAGGGATGGGATTTTGGAGGCGCTGGCAACGCGTAGTCGGTCGTGAATCGCTCGGGGTCGCCGCAAGGAGCGCCAAAAGCCTACCAACAGTCTTGGGCTTGCACTACATACACGTAGCTTCTAGCTGGGGGATCTTGAAGCTTTTTGCGTTGGGGGCTGCTGACGCAACCGCGGACTGTGCATGTAGTTTGTCGGACATTGTCGGAACGCGCGCAACCACTGGTGTGTACAGTAGACCTGGACCGTGCCAGACGACAGATTGTATGGACAAGAATTCAACGTCGCCCGTCACCCTACCGTTGTTCCCACAAGGACAAAAAGATAGCCGTGAATTCATGGCGCAGCGCACTATTCCCACCCAGGTTTGGGCTCAAGTGTCGACGGTCGTATTGCATGGCGTGTCGTTCAAGAACCCCAGGAAAGTTGTCCCATTTCGTAAGAAGGTATAATATCTTACATCATAATAGATGTACCGCTCGGCCGCGTTCTTTAGCACACAAAGCAAACCAGGTTCCTTCAAGCATGCAACACAGCTCCAGAGGTGCACAGCAGTCCATGGAGGACTTGGTGAACTCGAACTACAATTGGTTGGCTGCAGGTTAGGAGAGCCAAGCAAACAATCTCATCACTTTCCAGGTCAACGTTGTCACAATCGTGATCTGGGTATCATATTACCGAATAGTTTGTCAGCGATCACTTCAACTTTTCCTCCGCACAAACACCTCAGCAGTCGCCTCCCAAGCTGCGCGTAGCTCATCATGCAGTTGAAGTAGAAGAGAAGACCGAGACCCATGTCTAGCCAACTTTGCCAATCGACGCAAAAACTCGCTAAATCCTCCAGGACACAACGGCAAATCCAGCAGCAGGGGCAGCACATCGTATCCATAACCCGCGTTCACCATAACCATAAGAATCATCATCGAAACTCCACCGTCGACAACAGCATTTGCAGCCCAGTGCACGAAAAACTCCGTCGACGCTTCTGATTCACAATTTTCTTCATCATGAGGCCCAACGGGGTAATTTTCCAGTCCTCGGCCAATCTCCAGCAACCACATCTCCATGCAAAGCTTAATTTCAGGCGTCAAGAGGACGATCCGCGAACCAGTAGCCGTCAATGTCTGCGTCAAAATGGATAAAGGGAACACTTGACCTCCATGATCCAACAGCAGTCGCACTTTTTCGTCACGATCTCCAATACTGCGTTCGAAACCCCCATCCTCGGTCAAAATCGAAGCTGTGCCCGTGATGTACAGGCTCGTCCTGTCGCTCCCGTCACCAACGTTGAGAGGGTTCGCCGCGCCAAGTTCCACGAGCTCCTCTAGATCACCGAGTGCTCTTGTCAAACACAGCAATAACGTCTCCACTTCTCGAGCAGAACCGTAATGGGCCGCGTAGTGAGCCGGCATCTCCATCTTCGCAGTTACCGCCGTCAGGCTATCCCCCTCAGGATCCAGATCAGCCAGCAGCTCCATGACGGACGGGCTGCGCTGCACAATGGCTCGGTGCAGAGGCGTCTCACCCGCCGCGTTGCGCGCCGTTACGGAAGCATACTCGTTGTCCACGATATAGCGCACCACCTCCTCCACTTCGCAGTCCACAGCCTGGAACAGCACCGACGCAGAGAAGGCTTCCCCCTGTGGCGTGGCGACTAGCTGGTGGTGGTTGAGGAACAGCTGCAGCACATTCAGGTCGGCGCGCTGTAGCACGCGCTTGACGGGAGTGCTGCCGTCGGAGTCCTCCAGATTGATATCCGCGCCGCGAGCCAGCAGCAAGTCCGTCACGAGCAGTCCGCCTTCTTGGACGCAGTAGTGCAGCGGCGTCTTGCCGGTCTACGGCAGCAGTAGTAGCAGCAGAGAGATCAAGACGATGAGTCGCAGTGCCAGCGGATACAGTAGCACATCCATTCGAAAATACCCTGTCCATCGCTGCAAAACGACGCACCTCGTCCTGTGTGTTTACGTTCGCGCCGGAATCCAGCAGCAACTTGGCCACTTCGTACGCGTCGTCGCTGGTGGAGCAGTGCAACGCCGTCTTGCCCTCCTGCTGGTCAGCATTTGCTTCGCGGCGGCGGAAGATGGTCCCATTCTTCTAGATACTACGTTGTAGATCCCGCTTCCCGCTCACGTTGTACCACGTACCTGTCTTCGAGCGTTCACATCAGCGCCGAAATGGAGCAGTAACGCGATGACCGCTTGAGCCTGCTGTAGTTGCTCGCATAATTCTTTGCGGCACTTCCAATAAACACAACCGAAAAAACAACAACAGCCAGTCGGACGCAGAAATATCATCTTCATCGCACACTTACTTACATCCATGACGAGGTTGCGGCGTACAGGCTGTCCGTCGCGACGCGACGGACAGCCTGTGCATAGTTATCAGATTGAGGCGCATTATGACCAACATCATAGGCGTAACACCGCTGTCATCCGCGGAATCGGGGCTTTGAGATTCTTCGAGTAGGAACTGGATGATGCCGAGGCTGCCGTCCCAGACTGCGGCGTGCAGCGCTGATGCGCCAATTGTATGGAGATGAAACTCGTTCCAGCTGCAAAATCGAGCTTGGCCATGTGAAGACGAGTCCGACGTAATTGGGCTCGTGTTCTGCAACAGTTTAACACGTCAAAGGCCTAACCTTGTCGTGGCACAACGTGGTTCGGCTGGTGCCTTCCTTACCCGCTGCAAGTCGAGGAACTCGGGGAACTGACTCCTCAACTGCTTCATGGCCGCCGCGTCTCCGTTTGCCCCGGCAGTTAACCACGCTGCGTGCACTTCGGTCATTCCAGGATGCGGAGACAACTCTTCTTGGCCCTGATCGCGGTCTGCCATTCGTGTGTTCGGTCCACCGCCGAAGTCGTTTTGGGCGTTTGACGGCAGCCACTTCACTTCACAGCGGGACTTTGCTGTTGAATGCTTCTGGAAGTTTGGACGAGGCGATAAATATGTACGGAGGACCTCGGAGGATCTTGACAATTTTACAGCTGGCCTGATTTGTACAACTATATGGACCCTGCCCAGTTAATAAATTTCAGAAATGAAAATGTAATTTCGGTTTCTCAACATGCTATTTGGGGATCATATTGCGAAATTATACATAGATTACCTACAAGTGACAGTAATGACACTCAAAATATTGCCATGGAGGCAGAAAGACGACGGTTTTGGAAAATTCGACACGATTGGTTTGGATAGTCCGATGCATTTCCTCCGTATTGCGACCTGCTTTCAGCCATGTACGCTCCCAGTCCACAGAAAGGCATACTGCAGGCAGCCACGAACACTTGGCCGCGGCTGACTCAGCAATCCCTTGGGTCAGTAGGATGGATTAAAGAGACCCTTGAGCTATCCAAATGGACCTTAGTCCGTGGAATGTGCGCGTTCGGCACTGCAGTGGTTACACCAAGGACGTTCGGGAAATTATCGAAATTGCCTCGCTACAAGCAAACGGTGTAGTGTGCCGTTTTTGACGATATAAAGTTAGTACACGTAATATATTGCCGTCTCGTTGCTGTTATTGTTGTCTCCACGTTTGTCAATGAATTGGTGCTGCCCGTACAGCTTCTACTATATTTCACGCTCTAGCCTCGCTGGAATGACTGCATTGCGCGATGCGTGCTCCAACGAAAGCGTATGTGTACGGGGCGGCAACAGTGCCAATAAAAAAAACTTAAAGTGAATTAGTTTTAAAATGTTGCGTTTGGACCGGTCTCGGACCGTTCCATCCTGATTTATCGTGATCTCGCTTGTCGTAGAGTCGCGGCCTGGGTTCACAGAGAGGCAGGACCGTTAGATTAGCAGTCAGTTCGGAATACGCCAAGGAATAGACATTCTTCTCCGTTCTCACCTCGGTCCCGCAGTTCTCCAGGCGTGGAAACAGGTCAAAGATATCTTTGTTCTGACTCCACGCTCAGGGACAGCAGCAAGACCGAGGTGAGAACGAATGGAATCTCTATTCCAAGGTAAAATAAAACATGTGTCCGTTATTTTTAAATGTTCCGCTACACCAAGTTTATTTTTCCCATCCATAAAGGACATTGTCACGCACACAATTTCACATATGTTTGTTGAATCATGCATATTCAAAGGGTTCCAATCGGTAGCTGGGTTTAACCAGGATTGTAGAAACTATAGAACAAGCTGATAATACTATCGTACTGTAGACTAATACAACAGTTTGTTGTTTTGATTCGGGAACGAACCTCGGAGCACCTCCGAGCCTTCCTACTCCGTGAGTCTTCCGAAATACAGCAACCTTCGCAGCTCTCTATGCGACGAAAACGACCGTTCGGGATGAAGCGCGCATATCTTTTTCGAGTGGCTTTCCACACGTTTAGTACACCGCTCCGTCGGATCCCACAAACCTGTCAACGTAAAATTAGCTCGCCCCGTCGCTGGCGTCCATCGCAGGCCAATCCAAGCACACGGTAGCGCCGCGCGTTTTTAGTATTCGGCCAGCCAGAGCCCCCTCCCTCCTATCGACGCTCGTCAGTGTAACGCTCCTGCGTTACTGTGCCTTGGTGGTCTTAGTGTTCTTTCCGCTCCGCGCCACGCACACTTGTTTGCTGCAGGGATACATGGCTCCTGCCAACAACAGAAATGAAGAAAGCGGCGTCGACAGTCAGGCTCCACCAGTAGCGGAGCTGCCACTTTCGGCCTCCATGGCCGACGTCCACGCGGCGTGGCTGGCTGCCGGCGCACGAGGTGACGTGGCCGCCATGCATCAGCACCGAAGTCGGTTCCCCGCGTGGCTCGACTTGCATCGGGTACGGCGCCATCGTCTCGCTCTTGTCTTCTCTTGTCACGTGACCCCTTGTCGGTACTGGAGGCCGCATCACACGCACGCACACATCGCAATGCAACGCGGCGCAAGTGTCCATGACGTGCAGAGACCAGCTGGCTGGCTAGCTCACTGCGAGGGGACCATTATTGCACGCGTACTCACAGTCTCGCTAACGTGTGTGCACATGACTGAAGCCTGTAGGCCCGTCGGACTCGACGCCGCGTCAAGCGCGGTTCTGCAGCTGGGACGGCTTCCACCTGCCTACGGTCGGCGCGTCGGCCCTGCACACGGCTGCGTGGAGAGGAGAACTCGCGGTCGTGCAGTTTTTGCTGGAGTGCGGCCAGGACCCCGACTCGGGCGACAACAGCGGCTTGACGCCCGCGATGGTGGTCATTCTGCGCCTCAACCTGTTGGTCACGCGCTGTGTCTTCCGGGACGGCCAGGCCGTGCGCCGCAGTCTCGTCGTGGACGTAAGTGTGCTGTGAATATGGTAACTCGGCAGCGAGGTGCAATAGCTCGTGGCCAAGATACTGTACCACTATGTTCGACTGACGGTGGTTGTGCCATGCTTGCAAGTGTCGCGACGAGTTCAGAGAACACTTGGGGCAGGTGATGGAGATTTTGACGCTGCTGCTCCGATTCGGTGCCGATGTGAATGCCCAGAGCCAGGTAGGTCGATCGGTAGATTGGTGTAAACAACTGATGGGCCACGAGCGGCGGACGGTATCCTGTTTGCAAGGCGACTACGACCGACTTCCGCCGCCGCGAAGCAAATGCTGACCAGCCCACGAAATCCCATTGGCAGGAGGGCAAGACGGCGTTGCACTGCTCCACCAGCGACGACGCGTACGAAGTGGCCAAGTTGCTGCTGGATTCCGGCGCGAACGTAAACACACAGGACGAGGTGCGTCGTTTTGCAGCGATGGACAGGGTATTTTCGAATGGATGTGCTACTGTATCCGCTGGCACTGCGACTCATCGTCTTGATCTCTCTGCTGCTACTACTGCTGCCGTAGACCGGCAAGACGCCGCTGCACTACTGCGTCCAAGAAGGCGGACTGCTCGTGACGGGCTTGCTGCTGGCTCGCGGCGCGGATATCAATCTGGAGGACTCCGACGGCAGCACTCCCGTCAAGCGCGTGCTACAGCGCGCCGACCTGAATGTGCTGCAGCTGTTCCTCAACCACCACCAGCTAGTCGCCACGCCACAGGGGGAAGCCTTCTCTGCGTCGGTGCTGTTCCAGGCTGTGGACTGCGAAGTGGAGGAGGTGGTGCGCTATATCGTGGACAACGAGTATGCTTCCGTAACGGCGCGCAACGCGGCGGGTGAGACGCCTCTGCACCGAGCCATTGTGCAGCGCAGCCCGTCCGTCATGGAGCTGCTGGCTGATCTGGATCCTGAGGGGGATAGCCTGACGGCGGTAACTGCGAAGATGGAGATGCCGGCTCACTACGCGGCCCATTACGGTTCTGCTCGAGAAGTGGAGACGTTATTGCTGTGTTTGACAAGAGCATTCGGTGATCTAGAGGAGCTCGTGGAACTTGGCGCGGCGAACCCTCTCAACGTTGGTGACGGGAGCGACAGGACGAGTCTGTACATCGCGGGTACATCTGCCGTCTCGACTGACAGGGCTGCAGTCGGCATTGGTATTGGTGAAGGTGGGTCAAGCTCCGACAGCGTGGAAGTCCGTGACGCGAAAGTGCGGCTGTTGTTGGACCACGGAGGTCGTCTCTTTCCTCCCGGGTATTTGGTGTGGGCGTTGGCCTCAGTGTCACGTTCGCAGCACCTGGTTCTGCCCGCACCAGTGCAGCAATGCTTAAGCATTTGGCTCGTGGAAAGTGTTGCCGCTATGGCGCAGCCCGAAGATGAAGAAGGCATCCCCAGTGGCAGTTGTTTCCCTCCGACAGCAGCGCTGACGGAGCTGTGCATGCAATGGATCGCGTGCATCTCGTGTCCTGGATCGGCGATGACTTTGATCACGGTCGTGACTTGCGCCAATTATGCTCACGAGGTGCTCCCGCTTCTGCTCAGTTTGCCTGTGCTTCGCGCAAGCTTTCGTTCGCTGCTGCGTTGGCTACGTAAGTTTGCGGTGCACGGTGAGCCAGGCCACGCTCTGTTGTTGCAGCTGCACCATGAGTTGTCGGAAGCCTGGCAAGAGGTGGAGGCATAGCTGTAGACAGAGCTGGCTCCATGCATTGCTGCTTGGGTCAAATTTAGAGGTTTCTCTTGCTTTAGTGCGTCATTTTTGTGTTTGGCGTAGCAAATCCGAGTGAAGTGACAGCGTCTTAACATTTCGGTGTTCGGCCGCGAAAGCTTGGCCAGCTGAGCTGGTTCATGTTTGCCAGTCGTAAAATTGTAAAACGCGAACGCATTTCTTGGCTTATCCGCAGCCGTATCCGACTTATATTGACCGGTATACCAGCGTTGTCTGAAAGCAACAGTTGAACGCCCTCCAATCGACAGCTACGACATTCACCGTATACTTAGCTGCCAATACTGTGCTGTAGCAAACTTGCCAATATTTTCTGACCAGCTTTCGCGGCCGAACACCGAAATGTTAAGACGCTGTCACTTCACTCGGATTTGCTACGCCAAACACAAAAATGACGCACTAAAGCAAGAGAAACCTCTAAATTTGACCCAAGCAGGAATGCATGGAGCCAGCTCTGTCTACAGCTATGCCTCCACCTCTTGCCAGGCTTCCGACAACTCATGGTGCAGCTGCAACAACAGAGCGTGGCCTGGCTCACCGTGCACCGCAAACTTACGTAGCCAACGCAGCAGCGAACGAAAGCTTGCGCGAAGCACAGGCAAACTGAGCAGAAGCGGGAGCACCTCGTGAGCATAATTGGCGCAAGTCACGACCGTGATCAAAGTCATCGCCGATCCAGGACACGAGATGCACGCGATCCATTGCATGCACAGCTCCGTCAGCGCTGCTGTCGGAGGGAAACAACTGCCACTGGGGATGCCTTCTTCATCTTCGGGCTGCGCCATAGCGGCAACACTTTCCACGAGCCAAATGCTTAAGCATTGCTGCACTGGTGCGGGCAGAACCAGGTGCTGCGAACGTGACACTGAGGCCAACGCCCACACCAAATACCCGGGAGGAAAGAGACGACCTCCGTGGTCCAACAACAGCCGCACTTTCGCGTCACGGACTTCCACGCTGTCGGAGCTTGACCCACCTTCACCAATACCAATGCCGACTGCAGCCCTGTCAGTCGAGACGGCAGATGTACCCGCGATGTACAGACTCGTCCTGTCGCTCCCGTCACCAACGTTGAGAGGGTTCGCCGCGCCAAGTTCCACGAGCTCCTCTAGATCACCGAATGCTCTTGTCAAACACAGCAATAACGTCTCCACTTCTCGAGCAGAACCGTAATGGGCCGCGTAGTGAGCCGGCATCTCCATCTTCGCAGTTACCGCCGTCAGGCTATCCCCCTCAGGATCCAGATCAGCCAGCAGCTCCATGACGGACGGGCTGCGCTGCACAATGGCTCGGTGCAGAGGCGTCTCACCCGCCGCGTTGCGCGCCGTTACGGAAGCATACTCGTTGTCCACGATATAGCGCACCACCTCCTCCACTTCGCAGTCCACAGCCTGGAACAGCACCGACGCAGAGAAGGCTTCCCCCTGTGGCGTGGCGACTAGCTGGTGGTGGTTGAGGAACAGCTGCAGCACATTCAGGTCGGCGCGCTGTAGCACGCGCTTGACGGGAGTGCTGCCGTCGGAGTCCTCCAGATTGATATCCGCGCCGCGAGCCAGCAGCAAGTCCGTCACGAGCAGTCCGCCTTCTTGGACGCAGTAGTGCAGCGGCGTCTTGCCGGTCTACGGCAGCAGTAGTAGCAGCAGAGAGATCAAGACGATGAGTCGCAGTGCCAGCGGATACAGTAGCACATCCATTCGAAAATACCCTGTCCATCGCTGCAAAACGACGCACCTCGTCCTGTGTGTTTACGTTCGCGCCGGAATCCAGCAGCAACTTGGCCACTTCGTACGCGTCGTCGCTGGTGGAGCAGTGCAACGCCGTCTTGCCCTCCTGCCAATGGGATTTCGTGGGCTGGTCAGCATTTGCTTCGCGGCGGCGGAAGTCGGTCGTAGTCGCCTTGCAAACAGGATACCGTCCGCCGCTCGTGGCCCATCAGTTGTTTACACCAATCTACCGATCGACCTACCTGGCTCTGGGCATTCACATCGGCACCGAATCGGAGCAGCAGCGTCAAAATCTCCATCACCTGCCCCAAGTGTTCTCTGAACTCGTCGCGACACTTGCAAGCATGGCACAACCACCGTCAGTCGAACATAGTGGTACAGTATCTTGGCCACGAGCTATTGCACCTCGCTGCCGAGTTACCATATTCACAGCACACTTACGTCCACGACGAGACTGCGGCGCACGGCCTGGCCGTCCCGGAAGACACAGCGCGTGACCAACAGGTTGAGGCGCAGAATGACCACCATCGCGGGCGTCAAGCCGCTGTTGTCGCCCGAGTCGGGGTCCTGGCCGCACTCCAGCAAAAACTGCACGACCGCGAGTTCTCCTCTCCACGCAGCCGTGTGCAGGGCCGACGCGCCGACCGTAGGCAGGTGGAAGCCGTCCCAGCTGCAGAACCGCGCTTGACGCGGCGTCGAGTCCGACGGGCCTACAGGCTTCAGTCATGTGCACACACGTTAGCGAGACTGTGAGTACGCGTGCAATAATGGTCCCCTCGCAGTGAGCTAGCCAGCCAGCTGGTCTCTGCACGTCATGGACACTTGCGCCGCGTTGCATTGCGATGTGTGCGTGCGTGTGATGCGGCCTCCAGTACCGACAAGGGGTCACGTGACAAGAGAAGACAAGAGCGAGACGATGGCGCCGTACCCGATGCAAGTCGAGCCACGCGGGGAACCGACTTCGGTGCTGATGCATGGCGGCCACGTCACCTCGTGCGCCGGCAGCCAGCCACGCCGCGTGGACGTCGGCCATGGAGGCCGAAAGTGGCAGCTCCGCTACTGGTGGAGCCTGACTGTCGACGCCGCTTTCTTCATTTCTGTTGTTGGCAGGAGCCATGTATCCCTGCAGCAAACAAGTGTGCGTGGCGCGGAGCGGAAAGAACACTAAGACCACCAAGGCACAGTAACGCAGGAGCGTTACACTGACGAGCGTCGATAGGAGGGAGGGGGCTCTGGCTGGCCGAATACTAAAAACGCGCGGCGCTACCGTGTGCTTGGATTGGCCTGCGATGGACGCCAGCGACGGGGCGAGCTAATTTTACGTTGACAGGTTTGTGGGATCCGACGGAGCGGTGTACTAAACGTACTAAAAGTCATATTTAGTACAGCAGAACTAGTGGAAAGCCACTCGAAAAAGATATGCGCGCTTCATCCCGAAACGGTCGTTTTCGTCCCATAGAGAGATGCGAAGGTTGCTGTATTTCGGATTTCAGAAATACTCGCTCGTAAAAGATACGCCGCCTTCATCCCGGAAACGGCCATTGATCAAGAACGACTGCTTCGGGATGAAGTAAGCGCCGATATCGAGTGGAATGCGGAGCGACTCGCGCTGAAAAAGACCTGAGCCAAAGCTTGAAAATAGCAGAGCATTCTTTAATAAGGTACCCCATTTCGGATCTGAGCGGAGACTTCTCATCAAAAGTCTCACGTTGAAGTGAGCCTGACACATGCCAGCTCAATGGGCTTTCGCTCCGGGGTGCGGATTAAAATCTAGTATGAAAAGGCTGAAGTCCTAGTGCGGACCACACCTTCTACGAGCCCTGGGGAGAGCCGGGCTCCTGGGCTCTTGGGTGAACCCAAAAAGTCGCGAGCTCGGGCTCCTGAGCTCTTGAGTTCAATAGGTTAAGTGAAAGGAGCCCTCCAGAACTGTGAGCCCTCGTTAAGGGCTCCCCCCTCAGGCTCTGCCCCAACGCGATATAAATGGAGGCAGTTTCAGACGGGTGCGCTGCTGGTTACTAGCTAGCATTCGTCTCAGATCAACCACGACATCTCTGCGGCAAGTTGAGGAGGACGCACATGTACAGTTACATCGGGACTGATTGCCAAAAATTACAATGGCAAAAATCCACAAAAAAGATCCGCTGTGAATACTTTTCCCGAATATTTGGAGCCGCTGGTTGCTCGATTCGAAGGTCGCTGGATGGCAGTCTCACCACTTCCCTCGACCATCCCACAGTGGAAAACGCGGAGGAGAGCACACCCGCTGTTCAGATGAATTCAACCGAGCGCGGCAACTTGTCCATGGAACAAGTGCACGCGGCGTGGCTCGCGGCCGGCGCGCGGGGCGATGTGGACACTATGCGGCGTCTGCGCGAGCAACATCCCCAATGGCTCGGCCTGCAGCGGGTGCGTACCTGACATGGACCCTTTTTATCGCAAGCTCAGTGTATTCCTGTTGACCGCCAGTCAACTACGCATTGCTCGCATAAGTTGCTCGACATGAGTCGTTCCTCATGCAGCTAATAGTTTTTGGTGTGTCGTTGTGAAGCGCGTGGGGACAGCGGCGGACGCTGCCGCGTCGGACCCAGCACGTCCGCAACGACAGCAATTCTGCGGCTGGAACGGCTTCCACTTGTCCTCCATCGGAGCCTCCACGCTGCACACTGCGACGTGGGAAGGCAGTCTCGGAATTGTGGAGCTGCTGCTACAAGCGGGCCAGGACCCAGACACGCGCGACGCAGCAGGACTCACGCCAATCATGGTGGCGCTGCTGCGCTACAACGTTGTGGTCATGCGCTGCGTCTTTCGCAACGCCAAGGCTGTCCGTCGGAACATTGTGGTGGATGTGCGTTTGCCTGCGACTTGAGGAACTGGACCGGGAAGGAATGGGATTGACGATTTGTGCGGCACTCGCTGTCTGTGTCATGGTGCTGCTGTAGTGTAGACCCGAGGACAGCGAGCTCGTGCAATACATCATGGACGTTATCAAGCTGATGCTGCGGTTTGGAGCTGACATGAACGCACGAAACCAGGTACGATCGTAACGAGTAAAGAGCTGGTAATCTCGCTAATACGTTTCTGACACCTGCTCCTGTTGATGGTTGCAGGACGGGTACAGTGCGCTTCACTATGCTGCGAACGGAGATGCACTCGACGTTGCCAGGTTTCTACTAGACGCTGGTGCCGATATGAATGCTCAGGACCGGGTAAGTAAGAACCGTGGGCCATGGTATTCGCTCTGGACATTTATTCAGTTCATTTCTCATTGTTGCATGCCATCGCAGAACGGCAAGACGCCACTCCATCATTGCATCCAGGAGGGCAGTCTTCTACTGGTCAACTTGCTCGTATCTCGCGGAGCGGACATCGATCTAAGGGATGAAAACGGCGAGACCCCGCTCACACTCTGCTTGCGGCGCCGCAGCATGAACATGCTGCAGATCATGTTGAACCACCACCACATGGTGGCCACAGCGCACCGAAGAGATTTTGCGGCCGACGTCCTGTTCAGCGCTGTGGACTACGAGATTGAAGAAGCCGTGCGTCTCATTGTGGAGGGAGGATACTCTCCTGTAACAGTGAGCAATGTAGCGGGCGAGACGCCACTGCACCACGCGATTGTAAAGCGCAGTCCGCAGTTGATGGAGCTGCTGGTGGATCTGGATCCTGCAGGTGGGAGCTTGACGGCTGTCACGGCAATGGGCGAGTCGCCTGCGCATTACGCAGCTCAGCACGGCTCTGTCAGCGTGATGGAAACGCTGCTACGACAACTCGCAGTCGTATTTGGAGACTTGCAGGAGCTGGACGAAGCGACGAATCCGCTGAACGCCACGAATAACGCGGGTGTGACGAGCTTGTATGTTGCTGGCACAACGGAAGCGAGCACGAGTCGTCGGCTAGTCGAACGTGATGCCATCGCCGAAATGTTTCAGCGCCATGGTGCGCGGTTGTTTCCTCGAGACCGCGTGGTACTTCGTTCTCCACGCTCAGAGCTGCTGCTGCTACTGCACGAGCACGTTCGGCGAGGAATTGTGCATTGGCTTCGGGAAGCACATGATCGACACCACGAGGTCGACCACGACGACGACGTAGCTGATGACGACGCAGAAGAAAGTCGGATCAGCGGTGTCTTGCTGACGGAGCTGTGTGCGGAGTGGGTTGCCAGCGTCGATGTCTTGCCGGTATCTTCTCCACGTAGAGTCGACTTGGCTGATGCGTTGCTCGTCGCGATCTCGGCTGGATACGCGTATGAGTTCGTGCCGCTGTTGGTGGAGCTGCCGCTGCTCCGTTCGGCGATGCCTCGGGTGCTCGATCGCCTGGAGCGCTTTGCACGAGTGCCTCGTGAGCATTTGTTGCTGCTTCAACTGCATGGTGAAGTGTCGACGGCTCTGTCGGAGCTCGTGGAGACCTGAGCAACGGTTCATTGACGAAGAAGTGAGTGAAAATGTCGATATCAGGGCCGAAATCCTAGTACCCTTGCCTATCGGGATTTCCTCGTACGTACCGGGGATGGGTCTCTCTACTTGATCTTTGGAAGACACCGGAGGAGACCTTGGCCACTGCACTTCATTGAAGTCGGTTATCGGGAGGTGTTCGTATTAACCCTCATCCTATGGTTCGTTGCCGCTAGTTGTGGCGGAAGAACTTGAGACTGACCCAGTTGGCGTAGCAGGCCAAGATGGTCACGGGGATCGTGAGCGGCACCAGGTAGCAGTAGTACACGTCTCTCTCCAGAGCCAGCAACAGACTGGGGCTCTGCTCTGTGGTTGGTGCTTCGCTGTGACGTTCAACTGCAGCTTCAGCCTCGTGGCCGTCTTCGAGCAGCAGCAGCAGCTTGGAGAAGACCATGACGTACCTGTGAGCATATTTGAAGTGGCGTTTATTATGAGGGGGGGGCGATTGAAGAGCAATGGCCAAACAGTTAAAGCTGCAGTATTACATGGATGTAATGAACGCCAAGGCCGCCGCCAAGACGATCACGTAGCCCCACACGTGGCTCGTGGAGCCTGCTCGCCGCGTCGTCGCCGCCGCCATCTCGAGCAGCTACGATACACAAGTAACGTTAGGTCTCATGTACCCTTCGAGTGGTACATAGGTTATACATAGGTTATGTGCACTACACAAAATCTACCTTCTTGGCTTGAAGTTGTTCACTCACTGCCTTGCTGCCTCTATAGGAAAATGACCACAGGGTGAAATCTATGTAGCTACCACAGTCACCTTGCTTCAATTGTGCGCCGATTGCTGAATTACAAAACGATGCAGATCTCAATCAGCGATGCTACACAGGCATCGCTTCAAAAAAGTTATGTAATTCGTAGTTGTTGTCATATTTTTAAACGGCTCGAGCAATCATAGACTGTAATTTACCGTTGTAGTGAAAACTACATGCCATGCCAGGTGAGGTGATCTCCCTGCATCCACTTCACCTCTCCGCAAGTTCCAGTCGAATCAAAGTTGCAAGCGTGCAGCAGCAACTACTGAAGTGCACCAAGTATAACCCGGGGGATTAACACCAGCAAGCTCCTACCGTCAAGACGGAAGAAGGCGAAAAGTAAAGTGCTGCCAGACCTTTCGCTTGTGGATAGAAACGGCATCTACATCAAGAACGTGGACCTCGTTCGACTCGTGATCATCATCATGGCGGGCTGTAGCTACCGCGTGCGTGCAGCAACATCCGCCGCCGACTGCTTGCGCTCTCTCTAGCTCGGCGGATTCGGCAAGTTTCGGAGAGAGCAGAAAAGTTGTGGGCAAAAATACATATTTCAAGGCGCTGTTTCGCCGTCTCGGAGCAGCACGGAAGGAAGGCTATCATCGCAGCTCACGAACCGGGCCATATTGTCGAAGCTTTCGTCAAAGCTGCCGCTGTGGAGATCAGCGACCACGCAGTATTGTATTTCACGGGCTGGTATCGTGTTCAAATCTTTTGTTGCGGGGCCGTGAGTTTGCAGAAATAATTATTCAACACGTCGAGGGTCTGGCCGCTTGCGGATGATGTTACCGCTGGAGATCCTGTCTCACGGTGGTACTGAGAGCCGCCAAGGCTCATGTCGAGCCAACAAGCTGCGGATTAAGAATGCAAGATCGAACTGCAGATTGTGCGCACGTGTATCATCAGCGAAGCGAAAGGATACCCCTCTCCCCGAAACTCTATTGGTGCTGCTAAGCTTTCAAAGCTGGACTGGTTGTTCCCTCCTGTAAAAATGAGGCGAAGGTTATCACGAAGCCTGTGACGTGGTCCAGCCGGTGTACCAAGATTGTTGCAATTTGAGACGTGGCGCCGGAGATACGAGTCGACTAGAGCAATGAAAACTGAAGTTGGTTCTCAATGCGGGGCGAATGACGAGTGGTGAAGAACGTGGTTCAGGTGTTACATCTCTTAAACAGTCAAGAAAATCATCGCGGCAATAAATAGTGGCCCTCCGCTTGGTCAAGGGACATGTAGCTGCTGCTCCTGTGCGTCCGTGAACGGCTCGTGCTCTCCAACGCCTCCAATCGGCATGACCCCCGCTTCCTGTAACAAGTCGGTGACCCGCTTCAGGTGTGATCCCAGCTGCTCCATGGCCGCAAGACTGCGCGCGGTGACTTCGATCTGCTCCTCCAGCGTGCGCATGACGCGCTTCATGCGCTGGATCTCCTGCATCAGCTCGACCCGACGCGCGGAGTGGACGTTGGTGAGCACAGCTCGGGCTGCCAGGAAGTGCCGCGCTCTGTACGCGAGCAGCAGCAGTCTTCTGGCGGTCGAAGGGTCGGGTCTGTTGCTGACTTCGGGCTGTGGCGCTTGCTCGACGGGCAGCGTGAGCACACGCTGACCCTGGGGCGTCCACGACTCGCGCTCAAGCGGCCGCAACTGGCGATGACCAGGCGCGCGCACCACGAGCACCGCGTGCCTTCTTCGACTGCGACTGCGCTCCGGTATCATCGGTGAGCGAAGCGCCAGCAGACACACAAACACACACACGAGCTGATCAATTGAGACGCGTGTGTGTGCGCTGGAGGAGGCAAGATCGAATGTGGCGGAATGCGCTGAGCTGAGGTGGCCGGCGATGGCGTAACGAGATTTCGTCTGACCTTATCGGGAGGTGTCCGTATCGCCAAGTGGGTGGAGATGAGACGGGGTACAACAGCATTCACCTATACGAACGCACGTCACTATCGACGAGGCACACTTGTCCCTATACGAACGTAGATCACTTGAAGCTCGTCCCGCGACGTCGACCTGCCCGGGACCTCCCGCGGCCATGAACGCTCCAAGGTGGCACCATCACCGCCCCTTCTTGCCAGAAAGAGAGAGAGAGAGAGAGAGAGGAAGTTGGAGACAGCAACACACGCATGCGCATGTTGCGTACGTATTGCAGAGCGGATCGTCAAGTGCCTGCAAGCGTTCGTGGTGCTGGCATCGCGCTGGCGCCCAGCTCACGAGCGAGCGGATACGAACCGCCGCTAAATTATTGACTTGGTGGCGCAGCAGAAACACGCACCGCGCCTTTCCGGAAGAGGTGTCCTCTAGATGGCTACACGGTGGAGCAGCGCATCCACTGCCTGAGCCGTTCTACGGCTGCTGCTACAGCTACTGCTGCTGCTGGACCATCGTGTGGCTCTCGTGCGGTGCTGAGCAACGGCGCCAACGGCGACAAGCTGACGCGGGCAGACACGCGCGGATACCGGCGCCAAAGACGCGCAACGGCTGACGTCAACGTGGAAGGAGCGATACAGTACTGTGCAGCGAGTGACAGTCTCACCGGGGACATCTCACGATCGTCGGCGCTGCTTCCGCTGCTTGCCGGGGCTTGCAGGCCCTGTGTCGCGTTCGCCACGCTGTCGCTGTCAAGCGCGACGGGCTAGTGATTTTACTACTGGCGAACGGGACTCTCGTCGACCAGTTCTGGCCCAGAATTTCTGGGCTGCTGTCATCGAGTCCGGCCGACGTGGCCGTCCGACCGACATCAAAAGTGCTTGTGTATGAACCGAATATGCCGCGACAGCGAAAACCACACATGAACGCTAAGGCTATAATGCATGGAGTACAGTCGCTGGTCAAGGATTGCTGAAGGACGAGCTTGCCGACGTGCTGGCGCCGTCGCTCGACTCGTGCAGACCGCTCGTGATGCGCTGCAGCTGGACGATGAGGTTCTCCATGGTCTCGACGTTATGGGCCGTGACCTCGATTCGGCTCTGCAGCGTCTGAATGGTCTTTTTCATCTGCTCGATCTCCTCTAAAACGTCTTGGTGGTGTGTGCGGCGGAGGGCCTCCACCGTCGAGCGATTCGACAGTACGTGTCGAGCCCGCTGCGCATGAGCGACCAGGAGACGTTGCGTGGTGGCCAGCGACGTCGAGGCCGGAGTAGTCGGTGGTGGTGGCGGCGGAGCTGGAGCTGGCCTATTATTCGACTCTTGTCCTTGGGCATGCTCTACTCGAGGTGGCAACTCCGCAGGCAGCACCACCACGGGTTGCGCTTGTGGCGTCTCCGAGAGAAGCCGTTGGTGCCCCTGGCGCGTGGGCGAGCGAATGACCCGCAAGGCGCGGTGGCTGTATCGACGTCGTCGTGATCGATCCAGAATCATGACGAGCAGACCGGAGTCTTGCGAAGGCGACGACTTGTGAAATGAGGGAGGGCAGCCTTCGGCCGCTGCACGACCGCGGTCCTAGCACCTGCCGCTGACGAGCTTGCTTGCCTTCTTGCTCCAGTGAACCGTTCGTTTGCGTTCGGCCGTGTTCGCCCAAGCAGCCCCGTGTCTTTGCATCGCGATTCCCAACAAAAGCATTTCTCGACGACGCAGCAAGTTGAGCCCGGCCGCGGTTAGCCGACGACTCCTCTGTCCGGCGTCTAACGTCGTTCGCTAACCACCGATGCAGCCCAGCGTTGCAATTACCCCATAAACCGCTATGCACTTACCTGAAAGAGGGCGTCGGAGCTGGGTCACGATTGTTTGGTTTTCGACTTGGTGGCGCACGTGACTCACCAGGATGTGATTTCCAACACCAATGTTCATATCCGCCGCCTGCCTGCGCGGGCAAGTCCCACTCGCACGATGGAACCTGCAACTCGATGGGCTTCTGTTGTCGTCCAGTGCATGTGCATGGGGATATTCAGCTAGTTGGGTCGTGCATGCACTTGCGTTACAACGAGTATCAATGTGGCAGCGCCGCCAACGCTTCGCTCTGCAAAAGCGAAGTTTCACGGGCTACGTCGGCGAAAGCAGCTTTAAAGCATTGTAAGTCAGGAACAGCACAATGCGGCTGTACGCGATGGCTGGCTTTTGTTACCCTCGGCGCTCGAGGACTGTACCAGCAAGCAGGAATGGGGTTTCCCGTACGCGTTCAACACCAACGAGTTCCACCAAGCCGGGCGACCGCAAGTATTACTACCACAAGTACACTTTAGACAAAGCGACAGACACTACTCAAATCCACCGCCTTCCGCACTCGACTGCACAGCACCCCGTAGTGTTACCGGGCCATGATCGGAAGCACCGCCCCCACCAGGCACGAAGTCGCGCGTGAGTCGCTCCAGGTGAAATGCGAGCCGCTCCATGCTCTCGACGCACCGAGTCGTGACTTCGATCTCGCCCTGCAGCCGCCGCATCTCCTCCTTCAGGCGCTGGATCTCGCTCAGCATCTCGCTGCGGCGCGAGCGACTCAAGCTGTCCGCCACCGCGCGATGCGACAGGAAGCGCCGTGCTCTGTGTGCGTACGCGAGCAGGCGTCGCTGGGTCTCTGTAGCGACGGGGGAAGGCGCCGCAGCAGCCAGCGGCGATGTCGATGTCGATGCTGTTGCTGTTGGCCGAGCAGCTCTGGCGGCTCGGAGCTCCTCGGGCGACGCCATGACCACGATCTGCCGCGAGTCCCCGGCTTGTCGCTGCATCTGAACGCGCTGTTGGTCCTCCAGCAACGCATCGCCGAGTCCCTGGTGCGTGGGCGAGCGCACCACAACCATGGCGAGCCTCGTTCGCTTGCGGCTGCGGTCGATGGCCATGTATTCTTTCGTCGGTCGTCTGTCTGTCTGTGGCGTGGCTCGACAATTGCGAAGTGAGACGTGTGCTGAAAAAAAGTGAGCCAGGGTAATAGAATATGTACCCAGCAAATCCGGTGCATACAAAGATCAAGTCAGAGCGACAGGGCAGAGCGATGCACGGAAATAAGTTTGAAGTTAGCGTCACATAGAGGTACACTGTACCGGTTTTCCGGTGACTACAACTTGCCATCTTCAACCAGCGTCTGAGTCGGGGGTGGCCGGCCGAACGCAGCAGTGGCCGAACGCCCATGCCATCTCCACAGAACTCCACGAAGCTTAGAGCTTAGAGCAGCATGTGCTCCACCTCATTTGGTGGTGACTTGGATGACTGCGCGGCAGCATTCTGCTCCTGGTTCTCGTCCTCATCCCCAGCTTCGTCTGCCTTACCGCAGCCTGCGTGGTTGAACGCGCCGTGGGCCGAAACTTGGCCATGCACGCGCCGATCTCGCCGCCATGCGTTTCGTTAGCGGTTGACCGTACGCCTCTGAGTTGAACGACGTCGGGAGTGAGCGCATCGGGCTACTCAAGTGGGCAAGCTCGCTATCACACAGGATGCCGCGATGATACTTGTACGCCACGGGCTCCCAGCCAGGCTTGCATGCAGTTCGGGAGTGAAGACGAGGCATTAAAGGTCGATCATACTGTGCTTGTTGTTGCGGTTGGTGACGCTCACAGCCAGTAAGTGATTCGGTATGGTCTGTGGCATTGCCAACAGTGGCAATACGCTGTGCTCCTGGATAGAACACATGCTGCTCTAAGCTCTAAGCTTCGTGGAGTTCTGTGGAGATGGCATGGGCGTTCGGCCACTGCTGCGTTCGGCCGGCCACCCCCGACTCAGACGCTGGTTGAAGATGGCAAGTTGTAGTCACCGGAAAACCGGTACAGTGTACCTCTATGTGACGCTAACTTCAAACTTATTTCCGTGCATCGCTCTGCCCTGTCGCTCTGACTTGATCTTTGTATGCACCGGATTTGCTGGGTACATATTCTATTACCCTGGCTCACTTTTTTTCAGCACACGTCTCACTTCGCAATTGTCGAGCCACGCCACAGACAGACAGACGACCGACGAAAGAATACATGGCCATCGACCGCAGCCGCAAGCGAACGAGGCTCGCCATGGTTGTGGTGCGCTCGCCCACGCACCAGGGACTCGGCGATGCGTTGCTGGAGGACCAACAGCGCGTTCAGATGCAGCGACAAGCCGGGGACTCGCGGCAGATCGTGGTCATGGCGTCGCCCGAGGAGCTCCGAGCCGCCAGAGCTGCTCGGCCAACAGCAACAGCATCGACATCGACATCGCCGCTGGCTGCTGCGGCGCCTTCCCCCGTCGCTACAGAGACCCAGCGACGCCTGCTCGCGTACGCACACAGAGCACGGCGCTTCCTGTCGCATCGCGCGGTGGCGGACAGCTTGAGTCGCTCGCGCCGCAGCGAGATGCTGAGCGAGATCCAGCGCCTGAAGGAGGAGATGCGGCGGCTGCAGGGCGAGATCGAAGTCACGACTCGGTGCGTCGAGAGCATGGAGCGGCTCGCATTTCACCTGGAGCGACTCACGCGCGACTTCGTGCCTGGTGGGGGCGGTGCTTCCGATCATGGCCCGGTAACACTACGGGGTGCTGTGCAGTCGAGTGCGGAAGGCGGTGGATTTGAGTAGTGTCTGTCGCTTTGTCTAAAGTGTACTTGTGGTAGTAATACTTGCGGTCGCCCGGCTTGGTGGAACTCGTTGGTGTTGAACGCGTACGGGAAACCCCATTCCTGCTTGCTGGTACAGTCCTCGAGCGCCGAGGGTAACAAAAGCCAGCCATCGCGTACAGCCGCATTGTGCTGTTCCTGACTTACAATGCTTTAAAGCTGCTTTCGCCGACGTAGCCCGTGAAACTTCGCTTTTGCAGAGCGAAGCGTTGGCGGCGCTGCCACATTGATACTCGTTGTAACGCAAGTGCATGCACGACCCAACTAGCTGAATATCCCCATGCACATGCACTGGACGACAACAGAAGCCCATCGAGTTGCAGGTTCCATCGTGCGAGTGGGACTTGCCCGCGCAGGCAGGCGGCGGATATGAACATTGGTGTTGGAAATCACATCCTGGTGAGTCACGTGCGCCACCAAGTCGAAAACCAAACAATCGTGACCCAGCTCCGACGCCCTCTTTCAGGTAAGTGCATAGCGGTTTATGGGGTAATTGCAACGCTGGGCTGCATCGGTGGTTAGCGAACGACGTTAGACGCCGGACAGAGGAGTCGTCGGCTAACCGCGGCCGGGCTCAACTTGCTGCGTCGTCGAGAAATGCTTTTGTTGGGAATCGCGATGCAAAGACACGGGGCTGCTTGGGCGAACACGGCCGAACGCAAACGAACGGTTCACTGGAGCAAGAAGGCAAGCAAGCTCGTCAGCGGCAGGTGCTAGGACCGCGGTCGTGCAGCGGCCGAAGGCTGCCCTCCCTCATTTCACAAGTCGTCGCCTTCGCAAGACTCCGGTCTGCTCGTCATGATTCTGGATCGATCACGACGACGTCGATACAGCCACCGCGCCTTGCGGGTCATTCGCTCGCCCACGCGCCAGGGGCACCAACGGCTTCTCTCGGAGACGCCACAAGCGCAACCCGTGGTGGTGCTGCCTGCGGAGTTGCCACCTCGAGTAGAGCATGCCCAAGGACAAGAGTCGAATAATAGGCCAGCTCCAGCTCCGCCGCCACCACCACCGACTACTCCGGCCTCGACGTCGCTGGCCACCACGCAACGTCTCCTGGTCGCTCATGCGCAGCGGGCTCGACACGTACTGTCGAATCGCTCGACGGTGGAGGCCCTCCGCCGCACACACCACCAAGACGTTTTAGAGGAGATCGAGCAGATGAAAAAGACCATTCAGACGCTGCAGAGCCGAATCGAGGTCACGGCCCATAACGTCGAGACCATGGAGAACCTCATCGTCCAGCTGCAGCGCATCACGAGCGGTCTGCACGAGTCGAGCGACGGCGCCAGCACGTCGGCAAGCTCGTCCTTCAGCAATCCTTGACCAGCGACTGTACTCCATGCATTATAGCCTTAGCGTTCATGTGTGGTTTTCGCTGTCGCGGCATATTCGGTTCATACACAAGCACTTTTGATGTCGGTCGGACGGCCACGTCGGCCGGACTCGATGACAGCAGCCCAGAAATTCTGGGCCAGAACTGGTCGACGAGAGTCCCGTTCGCCAGTAGTAAAATCACTAGCCCGTCGCGCTTGACAGCGACAGCGTGGCGAACGCGACACAGGGCCTGCAAGCCCCGGCAAGCAGCGGAAGCAGCGCCGACGATCGTGAGATGTCCCCGGTGAGACTGTCACTCGCTGCACAGTACTGTATCGCTCCTTCCACGTTGACGTCAGCCGTTGCGCGTCTTTGGCGCCGGTATCCGCGCGTGTCTGCCCGCGTCAGCTTGTCGCCGTTGGCGCCGTTGCTCAGCACCGCACGAGAGCCACACGATGGTCCAGCAGCAGCAGTAGCTGTAGCAGCAGCCGTAGAACGGCTCAGGCAGTGGATGCGCTGCTCCACCGTGTAGCCATCTAGAGGACACCTCTTCCGGAAAGGCGCGGTGCGTGTTTCTGCTGCGCCACCAAGTCAATAATTTAGCGGCGGTTCGTATCCGCTCGCTCGTGAGCTGGGCGCCAGCGCGATGCCAGCACCACGAACGCTTGCAGGCACTTGACGATCCGCTCTGCAATACGTACGCAACATGCGCATGCGTGTGTTGCTGTCTCCAACTTCCTCTCTCTCTCTCTCTCTTTCTGGCAAGAAGGGGCGGTGATGGTGCCACCTTGGAGCGTTCATGGCCGCGGGAGGTCCCGGGCAGGTCGACGTCGCGGGACGAGCTTCAAGTGATCTACGTTCGTATAGGGACAAGTGTGCCTCGTCGATAGTGACGTGCGTTCGTATAGGTGAATGCTGTTGTACCCCGTCTCATCTCCACCCACTTGGCGATACGGACACCTCCCGATAAGGTCAGACGAAATCTCGTTACGCCATCGCCGGCCACCTCAGCTCAGCGCATTCCGCCACATTCGATCTTGCCTCCTCCAGCGCACACACACGCGTCTCAATTGATCAGCTCGTGTGTGTGTTTGTGTGTCTGCTGGCGCTTCGCTCACCGATGATACCGGAGCGCAGTCGCAGTCGAAGAAGGCACGCGGTGCTCGTGGTGCGCGCGCCTGGTCATCGCCAGTTGCGGCCGCTTGAGCGCGAGTCGTGGACGCCCCAGGGTCAGCGTGTGCTCACGCTGCCCGCCGAGCAAGCGCCACAGCCCGAAGTCAGCAACAGACCCGACCCTTCGACCGCCAGAAGACTGCTGCTGCTCGCGTACAGAGCGCGGCACTTCCTGGCAGCCCGAGCTGTGCTCACCAACGTCCACTCCGCGCGTCGGGTCGAGCTGATGCAGGAGATCCAGCGCATGAAGCGCGTCATGCGCACGCTGGAGGAGCAGATCGAAGTCACCGCGCGCAGTCTTGCGGCCATGGAGCAGCTGGGATCACACCTGAAGCGGGTCACCGACTTGTTACAGGAAGCGGGGGTCATGCCGATTGGAGGCGTTGGAGAGCACGAGCCGTTCACGGACGCACAGGAGCAGCAGCTACATGTCCCTTGACCAAGCGGAGGGCCACTATTTATTGCCGCGATGATTTTCTTGACTGTTTAAGAGATGTAACACCTGAACCACGTTCTTCACCACTCGTCATTCGCCCCGCATTGAGAACCAACTTCAGTTTTCATTGCTCTAGTCGACTCGTATCTCCGGCGCCACGTCTCAAATTGCAACAATCTTGGTACACCGGCTGGACCACGTCACAGGCTTCGTGATAACCTTCGCCTCATTTTTACAGGAGGGAACAACCAGTCCAGCTTTGAAAGCTTAGCAGCACCAATAGAGTTTCGGGGAGAGGGGTATCCTTTCGCTTCGCTGATGATACACGTGCGCACAATCTGCAGTTCGATCTTGCATTCTTAATCCGCAGCTTGTTGGCTCGACATGAGCCTTGGCGGCTCTCAGTACCACCGTGAGACAGGATCTCCAGCGGTAACATCATCCGCAAGCGGCCAGACCCTCGACGTGTTGAATAATTATTTCTGCAAACTCACGGCCCCGCAACAAAAGATTTGAACACGATACCAGCCCGTGAAATACAATACTGCGTGGTCGCTGATCTCCACAGCGGCAGCTTTGACGAAAGCTTCGACAATATGGCCCGGTTCGTGAGCTGCGATGATAGCCTTCCTTCCGTGCTGCTCCGAGACGGCGAAACAGCGCCTTGAAATATGTATTTTTGCCCACAACTTTTCTGCTCTCTCCGAAACTTGCCGAATCCGCCGAGCTAGAGAGAGCGCAAGCAGTCGGCGGCGGATGTTGCTGCACGCACGCGGTAGCTACAGCCCGCCATGATGATGATCACGAGTCGAACGAGGTCCACGTTCTTGATGTAGATGCCGTTTCTATCCACAAGCGAAAGGTCTGGCAGCACTTTACTTTTCGCCTTCTTCCGTCTTGACGGTAGGAGCTTGCTGGTGTTAATCCCCCGGGTTATACTTGGTGCACTTCAGTAGTTGCTGCTGCACGCTTGCAACTTTGATTCGACTGGAACTTGCGGAGAGGTGAAGTGGATGCAGGGAGATCACCTCACCTGGCATGGCATGTAGTTTTCACTACAACGGTAAATTACAGTCTATGATTGCTCGAGCCGTTTAAAAATATGACAACAACTACGAATTACATAACTTTTTTGAAGCGATGCCTGTGTAGCATCGCTGATTGAGATCTGCATCGTTTTGTAATTCAGCAATCGGCGCACAATTGAAGCAAGGTGACTGTGGTAGCTACATAGATTTCACCCTGTGGTCATTTTCCTATAGAGGCAGCAAGGCAGTGAGTGAACAACTTCAAGCCAAGAAGGTAGATTTTGTGTAGTGCACATAACCTATGTATAACCTATGTACCACTCGAAGGGTACATGAGACCTAACGTTACTTGTGTATCGTAGCTGCTCGAGATGGCGGCGGCGACGACGCGGCGAGCAGGCTCCACGAGCCACGTGTGGGGCTACGTGATCGTCTTGGCGGCGGCCTTGGCGTTCATTACATCCATGTAATACTGCAGCTTTAACTGTTTGGCCATTGCTCTTCAATCGCCCCCCCCTCATAATAAACGCCACTTCAAATATGCTCACAGGTACGTCATGGTCTTCTCCAAGCTGCTGCTGCTGCTCGAAGACGGCCACGAGGCTGAAGCTGCAGTTGAACGTCACAGCGAAGCACCAACCACAGAGCAGAGCCCCAGTCTGTTGCTGGCTCTGGAGAGAGACGTGTACTACTGCTACCTGGTGCCGCTCACGATCCCCGTGACCATCTTGGCCTGCTACGCCAACTGGGTCAGTCTCAAGTTCTTCCGCCACAACTAGCGGCAACGAACCATAGGAGGAGGGTTAATACAGTCCCACGTGAACAGTGTCAGTCGACTGTAGAGAAATAGTTTACCGCAAAAATTACGCTCCAGCCTTGGACGGCTGACGCTCTGGAGGTGGAGTCTGCGCCGCCTTCTGCTGCTGGTTCTCGCGCACCTTGCGCGCCAGTAGCTTGAGAAACGCGGCCTGCTTCGGGTTCGCGCGCACGCTCGCCAGGCTCCAGCCGCCCTTGTTGCTCACGGTCGACAGCAGCTTCGTCTGCCTCACCGCAGCCTGCGAGAGCTTCACGTAGCGGTTGAAGGCGCCGCTGTGCTCCGGGAACTTGGCCACGCACGCGCCGATCTCGCTCGGGAACAGGTTGAAGCCCACCACCACGCGCTTCACTGGCAGCGGACTCGGAGCCTGAACCTGGCTGGAAGGCGACACCGACGTCGGGAGGGAGCGCACCCGCCCGCTGAAGTGCGCGAGCTCGCCGTCGCACAGGATGCCGCGACGATACTTGTACGCCACGCGCTCCCAGCCCGGCTCGCTCGCACTGAGCTCCTCCAGCTCGTCCGTCGTCAGTCGGTGCGGCTGCTTGCGGGTCTTGTAGCCGTACTTGTCGTAGTGCGCCAGCCCCGTGAGGTTCACGTGGAAGCCGCCGCCATCGAACGAGCTCGTCTCGCGGCCCTGGTTGGGCGTCGCGCCATCATCTTTCGCGCCACTATCGCCTTGGTTGTGCAGCGGGCTCACGTGCAGCGTGGCGCCGTAGATGGGCGGGAACACGACGTTCGTCTCGTAGCGGACCTGCTCGGCGTAGTCCAGGTGGTACTCGGTCTCGTCGTCGCAGTCCGAGGCGATGACCCAGACGGCCACGCCGTGGGTGCGCTGCCAGTCCTGCTCGGAGATCCGCTGGCCTGCGTCCTTCTGCGCCAGAAACTCCTGCACCGTCCTGCGTGCCAGCGCGTGGCGATAGGCATCTGGGTCCTCAGCCTCGTCTTGCTCCAGCTCCGGCGTCTCCAGCGGCTTTTCACCTGTTGAGAAGTCCTGCAACTGCAGCTCGCTCACGGGCACGTAGACGCCCCAGACCGTCGCCTTGACGGCGCTGGCGTACAGCAGGTCGGCCGTGCGCTCACTCACGGCGCCGTCCACCACCGCGAACGCCCCCGGGTGGTCTCGAGGGAAATCGCGCACGATTTTCCCCGGCCGCCCGTTGCACCCCGAGGGCGTGAAGCCGTCGTCCCAAGGGCTCAGGTGGATGCGGTCGGGGACAGCAGCAGCCTCGTCATCAGACAGGTGGTGGTCCAGCAGCCAGCGAGGCAGCAGCTCCTGAGGCCCAGCCATGATAAGATTAGTCGGACTGGAGCAGAGTGAACGTGTGGCCAGGAATGGGTCCGCTGTCGGAGGTTGATCCGAGCCTGCAGTCACTAGTTGGAGCTCGTGGAGACTGCCGTGGAATCACAGGACGATCGCGCGCTCTTCAGATGCCGAGTGCAGGAAGGCCGGCCGTTTGAAGCGCTGCTGCGTGTCTAAATGGAGATAAAGTATGGACGCCCCGAGGTCTCTCACAAATGATGGTGAGCAACAAACGCGCCATGACCAAATTTCTCGTTTCCTTTACATCAGTCGGCACAGTGACGTTGGGGCAAATCTGCAACTTTATTGAGGTGGCGGCTAGCAGCGCCGGCCGCAGCCTTGTCCAAGTTGGACGTGGCTGAGCCCCCCCCAAGTAAGGCGGTCGCTGGGGCCGTCACTGGAGAGTTGTTGCAGATTTCGCCCCACTTACCATGCTTGCGGCTAGACGAGATACCGATTCCCGGCAGAGCCGAGTGTATATCTTGAAGGTTTCCAATGCCCAACGGTCATGAAACTTGATGGTCAGAGCGTCCACGCCGGCGCGGTACATGTGTGTGGCCCCTCCCGACCGGAGTGAGTGTGTGCTGTACTCGCGTGGGTCGCATCCGATGCGTCTTGCCGCGTCCTGGACTGGGTTCGCCACCTGCCGCGCCGATATTGAGCTGGGCGCCCCCGAGCGGGGACATTTACATGGCCGCCGACAGTTCGGCTGGCAGGGATCGCCGCGATCGTAGGAGAAGGAGCGCCCCTAGGACCGGACACAGGAAGCGATGACCTGAGCGTCGTAGCATGCGAGTTGTCGCTTGCCCTGCCTGGTTGGTTTTGGATCCGCGGAGCCTGATGTGCACTGTTGTTGCTGCGCTCGCGTCCAGGGTAGCGTTGCCAGCTCGGTCGAAGACGGCCACGTCCTGAGCTTTCAGCGCAAACCAGCGGAATTTGCCTCCGCTGATGGACGTTATCTCCGACCTCCGAAGCAAGAAAAAGAACGCCAGACACAGAACCCCCCATAAGGCTTGGTCCGAGAAGGAAGCAAGGTTGAGGGACGCGAAGCACGCCTCCATCAGCTGGATCGACACGGGAGCCTTGCGCTCCGGTGGGCTATCCAGGCGGCTGATGCCTTTGAGGAGCATGCGGATCTGTGGATGGTCAACTCGGAAGTGTCGTCCCGACGCCTGGAAAAAGTGGCGGACTCCCATCAAGTTGTTCGCGATCGTCGCGCTACGGACCGGCCGGCCCGAGCCATAGCCCTGCTGGAACCCCATGAGGATGAAATCGGATACGTGCTGGACTTGCGCCGCCACTGGGACGCCGCTGAGCCACGGGTTCACCCCGCGGCGGGTGATGAATGTGCCGAACGCTCGTTCATATTTCCGGTAGGTTGAGTCTGCCACCGAATGCTCGCGGAGATATCTTGCCAGATCCGTTCCAGACCATTGATGTCTGTCGTAGGCTGAGTCTGTGACCAGGCATATGTAAGGTTAGTAAAGGTGGTGTGGGCACGGTGGTCTTTCGAAAGCCGAGAGCCAGCATCCGCTATGACGTTATCGGCGCCGGGTATGTGCGAAGATGAAAATCTCAGGCCAAAGTGCATTTCCCAGTAGCTCAGTAGACGTATGATCGTTTGCGCTCGAGTGTTCGAGGAGGACATTTTGTTTTGCCACACCACCGCAGACGTGTTATCGATGCGAAAGTGCACGTGGGTGGGGGCCGTGTGCGGGGTCTCCATTCTCTTGACTCGCCACGCCGGTGCCCATGCATGTACGGCGAAGGCACACGAGAGTAGCTCGCGATAGTTGATGTCAAACTCGTTGCATGCGTCGGCGTTAAAGACTCGGATGAGGTCTAGTTCGGTCTCGGAGAACCGGTAAGTGAGTACCCGGCAGTGAGCACGGTCAAGGGCGCATAGGCCCGTGTCGGATGCATCCATTTCAATTGTGAAGTCGGAAGGAGGGCTGTGGAATAGCACCCCACGATATGTCGCGCCAGAGGACGGGTGACGGGAAGTGCCGGGAAAGATGGCAACCGACGAGACGGATGGAATACGACGCGTCGGGATGGCCAGAGAGGTTAACGGGATGATGGGCCTTGTGACACGCATACCGGCGGCGGAATCAGGCTAATTCTGGCTGATTCGACGAGCCGGTTCATGCGCCCGGTCATGCAAACCCCGTCGACCCCAAAAAAACCGTCAACCCTAAACCCCGTCGAGAAAACCCCGTCGAGAAAATCCCGTCGAAGGAATCCCGTCGAGCTCAAGTTGTGATTACGCCACGCAAATCGGGTTGAAGGACGGTAGTGCAAGCACGACAGAAGTAAGGATAGGTACAGAGCGGTAGACTTAGCAAACAGTTTTACAGAGTAGCCAGTAGCAAGGACATAGGATAGGGTAAGGACTCATTCCCGAAATTTCTCTGAACCACTCAGACCTCTCCCCTCCGGAAGATCGCCAGGTTCTCGAAAACCACCAAGCGTCGGAAAGCAGAGCCGCAAGAAACACGCGGCCCCCCGTCGCTCGCTGGCTCGGGCACTCACCCCCCCCCCCCCTCAAACCCCGTGCTGGAAACGAAGGCACGTAAAACGTATACCGGTTAGGAGGCGCCCGATAACGCGCAGCCTAGACGAAGGACTGCACGGCCTGATAACCGCTGTGCACAAGACCCCGCGTCGGCCCGATAACGCCACGCAACAAGCCCCAGGAAACGCCGGCCCGATAACGCCGCACGCCCGAAGAGATCTCCGAGGAAACGCCGGCCCGATAAGTCCGCACGCCCAAGGAACAACCGACGCCCTAAGACAAGGAACAAGCGTCCACTCAACCCCCTAACTCTGAAGCTTGCGAAGACGTGGGCTCTATATTCGAAGATACGCTACTCAAGGGAAATTGCCCGTCGCGACCGCAGATTGGACGCGTCGGGTTTGTGCGAGGACGAACTCCGCGATTTCTGTGAGGCCGCTACTCAACAATGGTGCCGCGCCCGGGATTACTACTTCGAATGACGGGCCAACGATCCAAGAGGCATCGGAGGCAGGTGCGCAGTCGGCTGGAAGGTCGCCGACCGCAAGAGAGCACAGTGAGAGACCTGTCGCGTCGTGGAGCTCTGAGGGAACCTTCACGACAGGCCACGGGGCCAGCGACGACCTGGAGGGCTACGAAGAACCGTTTGCCGTTCCCGATGTGGCTCCCGACGAGGGAGCCGCGAAGGGCCGCGACGCGAGTCGCGGTCCTACCGGTCGGAAGCCTGCAAAGGCTGGCGACCAACAACAACCCACCGCCAAGGCAGCCACGAAGCGCAAGTCGCCCAAGAGGAAGAAGAAAAGTTGCACGCGCCGGACTCGGCGGAGGAGTCGATATCCAAGCCGCAAGGCAAGGACACGGGACGTCAGTACACCGTCGAGGAGGTACGGTACGTCGTGGCGCGTGCGGAGCTCTTTCGTCTGCTAGAGCAAGACCCAATCTTAGTCTTCCCCAAGCCCATGTTGATGAGCAACTGCACAGGCCCCTTCGTGGCGCCGGACTTCGATAGCCTCACCAGCGTCGTCCACGCCGCGCTGACTCTCTTTCAGATGCTGCGTGACTCGGGGTTCGTGTTGGGAGCTTTCGAGATGGAGAGGCTGTGCGATTGGGACCTCAAGTCTTGGCTACGCGCGATTAGCGTCGTGCAGGAGCCCTTGACGATTCTCGCCGGATCCGTTAAACAAGGCGCCGCGAGTTCCGCGACGGGCCAAGGCGCGCCGAGTCCCTCGGCGGGCGCAGCCCGGACTTCAACGACCACGCCCTCGCCGCCGCCTCGATACCAATCGAGCGTGGACTCCGACAGCAGTTTCGAGTCGCCCAAGCGCATGCCCATGAACCGACCACCGCGCGTTATGCAGCTTTCTGCTGCGCCGGCACGCGCCGAGGTTGCGAAACCGGCCGAGGGCGCGATCCCCAAGGCTTTGGAGGAGTCTATAATCAAGTTGATGCAAGCAACGATGATGCGCACCCCACGCGCCGAGACGCCGGCGGTCCCGGTGGAGTCGAAGCAGCCGACACACCCTGCGGCAGCAACTATACGTCCCCAAGAGACAGCCGATGTGGCGATGGAGTCCGTGAGCTCGCGTCCCTCGTCGAGGTCCGGACCTTGACGCGACGTGGACGAGGACCCCCACGATCGGTTTGACGTGGACGTCGGGACGCCGAGAGCCGCGGCCGCGGTCTCAACCGCGACAGCCGGTGTCGGGCTTACGAGAGTTCGCCTCTCGGCTTCATCGGAGCTGAAGGAGTTCTCGGGACGAGATGCCGGCGAAGAGAAGGCTAGGCTGTGGCTCAATCGTCTGAAGTCCGCTGCGCGTCGCGACGGGATGACCGGGGAGGAAGTGTGCGGGCTGTTCAGCGATCTGATGAGCCGCCCTGCACGCCAATGGTATCTTCAGCTGCCCAAGAAGGTCAAGAAATCATGGACCGAGCTGATGGAGCAATTCCGCGTTCAGTACTGCGGCAAGGGCGTGTCAATGGCCAGCCGCTACTACCATGCGGCTCAACGCCCCGATGAGACCCCTCTGGATTACTTGTACCGACTCAATGTCGCGGGCTTGAGGGTCAACATCCCATACGCCGATGGTACGACTGAATCGCGAACACGTCGAGCATTTCATCCGGACGCTGAACACGCAGGAGGCCGAACTCGCCTCGCGTCTCACGCTGATGGAGGTCGCTGACTCTGAGGCGCTGGAGAAGAAGCTGCGCGCCCGACAACGTGGATTGGCTCACCAGAAGAAGACCCTCTTCGGCTCGAACAAGTTCCGCCAAAAGGCGCCGACTCCGCCGACTCAGCCGGCGCGCACCGTACATGCGATTCCCGTTGCGTCAGACGAGTACGACTCGGAACGCGAAAGTCGCGACACGATCGCCAGTACGACCAAGACGAGGAGGACGAAGAACGCGCCAGGTTGTTCGTCGCGGGGCAGGCCCCGCCGGGAGAGCCGGCGCGTCGCAACTTCGATCCTGACGACTCGGGACGCGACCGCCCGCGGTGCCGCCACTGTGGTTCACGTCGCCATCCCGAAGGAGACTGCTGGAAGTTGTTGACGTGTCAGAAGTGTGATGGCCAGCACCCGACGGAGCGATGCTTGAGGGTGTGCAAGGCCTGCGGTGACGTGCACGAAGCCGGAGAATGCCCGATGGAGGAGTTCTTCAACCAATTGCGCCAGTGGTTTGACCCGAATAAACACGCGGGAATGCTGCCGCCGGCCGCCGAGAAGATGTTAAATTAGGACGCTCGCTGGCTTGGAAACCAGTACGAGACGAGCGACCTGTTTCCGTCTATGCATATGTGACGAAGTAGTCGCGAGAGGTGGTTAGTGAGAGCCCGACTTCCCTGAATGATAATACATGTGAATCCAACCCGGAACGTACCACGCAAGAACGCGCGCCGCGAATCTCGGCGGTCCGACGTACGACGGACGACGAGTTTGCACGTGAACCACCCCTGGACGAGATCGACTTGCAACCAGGAGAGCGACGCGGATACTGGAAACATTACGCGCCGCACAAGTGGTACAAGCAGGCCAAGATTCATGGAAAGCTGAACAACCGCCGTGCTGTGTTATTGCTCGACACAGGCGCCGAGGTGTCCATCCTGGACACCATGAGGTAGGCTGCCTGATCGACACAGAGATCACGCAAGAGTGTGTGGGAATTCGTGATGAGACATGGGGAGAACCAGAGTCAAGATTACCTTGGCTGGGAACTTGGTGTACTACATGCACCTGTGGGTCGGCGACTTGGTCGGCCAACACGCAATCCTGGGAATGAACTTCATGGTGCCCGCTGGAGTGCGCATCGACACTGCGGACGGCACGGCGTGCCTCCCCGACGAGGTGCATATCCAGATGATCGGACGAAGACCGCTATACGGCGCACGGACGCACCCGGTCAACGTCAAGACACCTGTGAGACTCGAACCAGGAGACACGCATGAAGTCTTGCTGAGGCCGGATCGAAACGCGCCGTTCCTGTGGATGACACGGGCAGAGTCGTGGGTGACTACCTTGGTCAAAGGGAGAGTCGGAAGGAAGACGTACCTACGTGTCACGAACATCGGAGACGCAGCGATAACCCTCGACGCGCATGAAACGCTTGGGTGGTGGACGCCGTCAGACGGCCAACCTCGGAACCGTGGATTCGTCCGACTGGGCTCCTCCCGGTACCAGCAGTGGCAGAATCTGGCGTACGGCGCGACGTGCGACGCGGAGGAGAACTGGATCCCAGCCGAGCTCGACGGGCCGATGACGAATCGCCCCTCATACCCGACGCCTAAAGCCATTTTGCGCCCGGAGCCGAGACAACTCGGGACGCGACGCGCCGTGACCCCAGTGTTTGGCGGCTGTCGCGAGAGCGCCGAAGGGAAGCGGGGTAGAGGTGCCGCCCGACGACCACAAGCAGAAAACGGGCGAGGAGGCGGTGGAAGTGGAACCCGATGGGCCTCCGACAGTGGCTGGAAGCGCTGCGATGAAGGAATCGCCTGAGTCAAAACTCGCCGAGCCAAAACTCGCCGGACCAGAACCCGCCGAGCCGGAACGCGACGAGGCAAAACCGGATGAGCAGGAGGAAGACGATGCAGTCCTCATCCACGAGGGATCTGACCTCTTCGCCGAGGAGCTCGAGTCCGAGATGGCAGTGCTGCCAGACCTCTCGCTGACCGCCGAGGTGAAGATCGAAGACCTGAAGGTGGGCGTGCCGACGGGACTCCCGCCCGAGGAAGCCGCGAGACAAGAAACGCGGCTACGCCAAATCATCTGGAAGCGACGGAAGTGGTTGATCGGCAAGGGTAACGCCTTGCCACCAGCGGCCCTGGGAGTGGTCTGCGACATCGACGTGGGCGACGCAAAACCCGTCGCGCAACGCGTCCGAAAAATCCCGCCAGAGTTCCGAGAGAAGGTCGCCGACTTGATCAAGGGACTGCTGAGCGCGAGGATGATCTAGAAGTCGAAGTCACCGTGGGCGTCGCCCATTGTCGTGATTATAAAGAAGAACGGCGTCGATATCCGGCTCTGCATTGACTACAGGCTCATCAACGCCCTGACGCAGTTGATGGTTTACCCCATGCCGCTCGTCAACGACTTGCTCGAAGACTTGGACAAGTATCTGTGGTACTGCTCCCTCGACATGGCGAGCGGCTTCTGGGTCGTCCCCATAACAGACCGGGCCCGGCTCATCTCGGCCTTCATCACGCCGATGGGACTGTACGAATGGCTACGTATGCCATTCGGCCGGTGCAACGCGCCGCAGATTTACCAACGCTTGATCGTCAACGCGCTCTACGGGTTCATGAAGCTGTCCCCGGATGGCAGCACTCGGGACGTCTTTGAAGACGGCGAACCGGTGAAACCAGGTATTCACTCCGTTCTGGGACGGAGGTCGTACATCGACGACATCCTCATCGGGGGCACGTCGTGGGACGGTATGTGCGAGAAGGTCGAACGCTTGCTGGATGTCTGCGAGCAGTGGCACTTTCCATCGGTGTCGAGAAGAGCGAGTGGGGCATGTCCAAGGTCGACTACCTGGGCCACCGAGTTTCAGGACTCGGTCTCGAGGCGAAGCCGAAGAATCTGGAGTCGCTGACGTCGCTCGAGTTCCTGCGCACGCTCAAGGGCCTGCAATCGTTCTTGGGTAGCCTCAATTACTACCACCGCTTCATTGCAGACTTTGCGGTATATGCAACCGCGCTGTATTCGCTGACGGAGACCGACTTCAACGAGTACGCCACGCGTCCAGAAGTCCGCGGACATGAGAAGTGGACGCACGCGACGCGCGCCTTCGACGCGCTCAAGGCAAAACGCGCCGAGACCCCAATGTTGAAGCACTTCGCTGCGAACCGAGAATACGTCGTGATCGTATACGCCAGCGTCTGGGCCATCTCAGGGGTGCTCACGCAAGTCCACGACGATGTGTACATGCCTGTGAAGTTCACCAGCCGTGCGCTGAAGCCCAACGAGCTGAACTACGACATCGTCGAAAAGGAGATCTTGGCCCTGTTGCGCGTCTTGAACGAGTGCTACACGATGCTACCGGTCCGCGTCTTGACACGTCCCACGACGCTCGCCTGGTTGTTCCGGTCCAAAGGACTACAGGGGCGGCTGTCACAGTGGGCCGCGATCCTCTCGCCGTGGAAGCTGGAAGTCTGCCGATCCATGAAGGGAGAAGAAGAACTCCTCGGCGCGCTGGACGCGAGCATTACACCGCGAGCCTTCGTCGACGCAGCGCTAGAAGAGATCGCCCCCCGGAAACGGGCGTCCAGGATTGTAGTCATTCCAGTCCCCGACGTGGAGCGCGACGAGGTCTTGCACGTCTTGAGCTCCGACGGATCGGCTAAGGCGAAGTGAGAGGGCGGAGCATACAGTGCCGTCATTTGGCAGCTGCCGAACTGGGAGATCATGCGCGCCGCGTCGGGATATGCGACGGACCTCACGGTCAACGAGGCGGAATACCGCGGGCTGCTGCTCGGATGTTCTCTTTTAGAGGAACTCGACGACGTCACCCGACTCGTCGTGTGCGGAGACTCCAACCTGGTCATCAGGCAGATGCGGGACGAGATGGACTGCAAGTCCCCGGGGCTGAAGCTGCTGCGACGAAAGACGCGAAACGCACTCCAGGCATGGCCGCGCCACGAACTCTTCCACGTACGACGAGACTGGAACGCGAGTGCCGACATGCTGGCTGGACAAGCTCTGCAGCGTCAAGGAGGCCGCAACGCGCACAGCCCCGAGCAGATTCAAGATCTGAAGACGCTGAATCGTTTGGAAGAAGTCATCCGACCACGGGCATCGAGTCCCGAAATGGCGTCTCCAGCCAGTCTCGACGCGGAAAATCTCGACGCGAAAACGAGCGGCGCAGATAACCCCGTCGGGAAGGCCATGGACGCGGGACGCGGGACAGCACAAGTCCTCGCGGTGGCGACGCGCTCGGCTGCCGCACGCACGACAACACGTAGGGGCCGACCTCCAGAAGTCCTGGAGGAGCTAGTGGTGCAACGACTGCGCCTGGACCGCATCCGCGTCGCCCAGGACGAAGAGGTCTGGATCGTCAACCTCAAGAAGTATCTCCGCGGCGACGTCGGAGACCTATCTCGGCGCGAGGTGAAGAACTGCCAAAAGCTTGCGCCTCAGTACGAAGAGGGCGAAGGCGGGCTGCTCTACTACCAGCCGAGAAGCGACAATTCCGCCGAGGATCGCGATGTGATGATGAAGCTGGTGATCCCGGAGACTCTTCGGGAGGATGTACTCCACCACTATCACGCGAGCCTGGAAGGCGGACACCAGGGTATTGTCCGCACGTACCAACGCGTGAGGCGCCACTTCCATTGGCCAGGGATCTTCAGAAGCGTCCGGCGCTACGTCGGCGAATGCACCGACTGTGAGACGGGAAAGGGTCGGCCGACCATCCATGGCGAGTCGCCGGGCAACATCGTCGCGACGTACCCGTTCCAGGTCATCGCCATGGACCATATTCCGTCGTTGCCGGCATCCTACAAAGGCAACACAGAGCTGTTAGTCTGGGGCGACCTCTTCACGAGGTTCGTCGTGGTAAAAGCGAACGCGTCACGAACCGCGCAGACGGTGGCCGAGGCGTACGAGGAGGCGGTGTTCAGGCGCTTCGGCGCGAGCGAGGCTATCCGCCACGACCGCGAGCCGGGCTTCATGTCCGACTTCTTCAAGGCGTTCAGCAAACTCATGGGTCAGAGACAGCGATCGACGCTCGCATATCGTCCCCAAGCCAACGGTGCTGCAGAACGGATGGTGCAGACGGTTACAAGAGCGATCAAGATGTACATCGCGGACGTCGACCAACGGGACTGGGACGAATACGCCGAGCGTCTTACCTTCGCGCTAAATACGTCGCACGACCGGACGAGGAACGAAACCCCGTTCTTCTTAGTGCATGGCTGGGATCCTCGGTCGACCCTGGAAAAAAGCGACACTGGCCGTCGGGAACACGTCGACCCGGGACGCCGAGGCGAGGCGGTGGAGGCTCCGTATCCAGCGACACTACAAGGTGGCAAGGGCACAAGCGTTGGAGTTAGTCCGAGAGGCCGTCGAAGAGAGAGCGCGTCGACAAACTGAAAACGCGACGCAACATGAGATCGCGACGGGCTCGCAAGTTTGGCTGTACCTGGATCGGGTGAAGCCGGGGTATGCGAAGCTCGCCCACATGTGGCACGGACCCTTCCGCGTCGCCGAGCTGGTCAGCGCGTTCGCAGTGCGCCTCGAGACGGCGGGTACGCCCTATCAGCTGTACCCCGTCGTCCACATCTCCAGGCTGAAGCCCGTCCGGGAATTCCCGTCGCGACCCGCGACGCAGCTGGCGGTGCCGACCGAGGAGCGCTTCGACTTCGACGTGGAGCTCTTGCCGGAGGATAGCTGGGAAGTCACGCGCGAGCTGGAGGACGACGTCTTCGAGGTCGAGAAGATAGTGAACGTGCGCGAAGGGTGGGCTACCCGGTATGGGCGCACGCGACGCGAGTTCGAAGTCAAATGGAAGGGCTACCCGGACACGACGTGAGTCGACGAGCTCGATCTGAATTGCGGCGGGTTGCTGTACGACTTCCTGCGCCGGCGCACGGGACGCAACCGGTTCGAGGCGATGCAGTCGCACGAGAACTCGGAGGCGGCGGAGCCTGGTGGGTGAGCGCCCACGGGTGCGACTAAGTCGCAAGGGGGCTGCCGACGGGAGGACAGGTGGGAAGCCTCGACTCTGGGAATGGCCGGAGCGAGGGATTGGATGAGGGAAGTGAGGAGGACCGGCCTGTTGCTGAAGATGGGACGGCGGAGGGCCGTCTCATAAAAGATGTGAAAAAGAGAAAGAAAAGAGGGAAGGTGTCAAGGGGATGCATTGAAGTTACGGCTGCGAGCTGCACCAAAGTAACGGGCTACGCTCAAACCTGCTGGACGAACTTGCCTGCAAGGCGAGGCACGAGGTAAGCGTGGTGGGCACGCGTCACGCGACAACGCATGCTGGCATCCATCTGCTCGACGGTGAGCGGCGTTCGGTGGAAGCGACGCCAAGGCGCCTGGGCGTCAACGTCGTCGAGCGCTTCCTGCAGCGTCGTGTGCTGAAGGCCCGGAAACCACCGTCCGATTCGTGAGTGCGCCGGTGGAAAGTGAAGAACCGCGGGGTCCAGAAGCAAGTCCATGTCGGCGAGCCCACGGCGAAACAAGTCGACCACCAGCTGGAGGAACTGTTCAGGTGGTCGCCTGCGTGCGACCGACGGGAGTTGCGAGACGAACGTCACGACCGCCACGCAGTGCCAGGCACATGGAGCTCGTGAGTAGACCCCCAGTACGCCTGTGCCCAGCGCTCGACGGTCGCATGAACGGCTGGAACGCGGCGTCGTCCGACGCGAACAGCACCGACTCCACTTCCTGAGCCAAGTAGCGCCATGGCCGCGTGGCGTACAACGCGTCGACGTTGGCGCGTGTCACCAAGGCTCGGTTCCAGTTCGCCGGTTCGGGGACAGGCGCGCGGGGGCAGATCCAACCCCGCGGCGGCAAGAAGCGTGCTCGCAATTCGCGAGCCGTGATGGTGTGGAGCCGAAGACGACGTACGGACTTGGGCCACGGAAAGTAGCCGCGCTGTGTCCAACCCGAAGGCGTGCCAGCCGGGGGATTACCGGAACGAAGAAGGGCACCACTGGGGCAGCTCCCTCCGAGCCACTTGACACGGAACTGGAAGACGAAGGGCGGGCAGAGGACGGCGAGGACGAATCAGTCATCAGGCCCGCCGGAGTGAATCGCCGAACCAGTCTGAGACGGTCGCCGACCTCGCGTGGGAGAACTTCGCGTGGGAGAACGTGCCGACCGCGAAGGTGACGCCGGCCGACGCGAGCGGGTCGAGTGAGCGGAAACAGCCGACCCCGCGGAGCTCGCCGAGCCGACGGAGTGATCCGACGAGCGCGACGAGGAACGCGACGATGAACGCGAAGCCGAGCGGGAAGGCGACGCCGAACGCGACGCCGAGGGCGAACGGGAGCGCGGACGCGAAGTCGATCGAGAACGTGAACGCGGCGAAGAACGCGAGCGGGAAGAAGGGCTCCGCAAACGGCGGCGTTTTGGCTGAGGAGAGAGCGCCCCAGCGTCACTCTCCGAGGACTCCGAACCGAAGAGAGACGCGTCTGCACGAGCACGCGCCGCAGCCGCAGCCACAGCCGCTGCCGGCGACGATGTGACAGAGGAAGCTTGTGCGGCCGCGCTGTTCGAGGCTGCTGTGTCAGCCCTTGTAGAAGCCCGCTGACTTCGACGCCGTGGCGAAGAATTCGACGTGGAGGTCGCCGGGAGCCCTGCGCAGCTCGAAGAAGGGCGCCTAGAGCCTGAAGGCCTGGCTCCACTGGATCGATGTCGACGTGTACTCGACAATGATGAAGCCGAGGAAGACCCCGGAACCTGAAGAGGGGCCAGAGTACCGACAGAGGAGGACAGCCGCTGAGCCGAAACACTCGGCGAAGGCACGGTGCCAGAGCTGGGGGCTGATGCGGACGACCCAGCGACCACAACAGGAGGCGACGCGACGGACACAGCCACAGGCGTGGCCCTGGCGAGATCGGCAGGAGGAAGGGGGATGGCAGCGTCCACTTCCGCTGCGTAGGTAGCCTCGAGGCGGCGGATCAAGTCGGCGGTGTCGATGGTACCGCCTACCGACGAAACGGAGTTGGCCAGCTTGCCAGCCAGGTCGTCGCGCACGCGCTGAGCCAACTCTCGGCCCCGGCGCGCGTCTCGAAGCATGCGCCTCCAGGCCACCGCACGCTCGTCACGCTCCCGGACCGCTAGATCGCGTTCGTCATCCAGGTCTGCAACGCGGACGCTCAGACGGCGGATGTGCGCGCCGGCCGCATCTCTTCGCTGCAGCGACCGACGCCACATGGCCAACCAGCCGGTGCGATACTGCCCGGATCGCGAGGCAGCCTGCAGCTCATTTGCCTGGGCCCGGGCCGTCTCTGCCTCGGCGACCACGCGTGCAGTCGAGGCAGCCGCGGCGGTCTCCTCCAGCTCGCGTATGCGATCCGTCTCGCGCTGGAGCGCCTCGGCGTGGGTAACCAGCAACGCATTCACGCGCCGGACGTCGGCTTGCAGCGGGTCGTTCAGGGGCAGACTCAGTCTCAGCTCGACTTTGAGCAAGCGAGTTACGAGCGACGCGCAGATCCTCAACCAGAGCGTCGCGCTGCTGTTCAACTCCCGCCTGAGCTTGACGTGCTTGGTCGCGCTCACGGACTGCAGCGTCACGACCTTGCTCCAGAGTGAGGGGCACCTGCCGAGCCTGATCGCGCTCCCCGACGACTGCGTCACGCTCCTGCTCGAGCGCAACGAGATCCCGACGTGCTTGGTCACGTTCGGCGAGGGCGCCGTCACGTTGTCGCTCTCGACGGGCGACAGACTGTCGCGCCCGATCTCGCTGCGTTACGGCAGCGTCGAGCTGGGTCTGGACAGGGACTAGGGCGGCCTCCGCAGCAGCCAGCCGAGTGCGCAGGTCGTCGCGCTCAGCACGCGCGTCGTCCCGCTCACCGAGCGCGGCGAACAACCGCGCCATAGAAACCGTAGACGTCGAGGGAGGGGCCGGCACCGGAGGGACCGCGGCGAGCCGCGCGGACAGGTCAGCTACCTCCGCTTGAGAGGCGGCGAGCTGGTCCTGGAGGGCGTGGTAATCCTCAACCGACGAAGCCTTGAACACCCGGAGCTGGGTCTCAGCCGCATCCACGCGTCCGGCCTGGTCGCGGAGGCCGCGTACGCGGTCTTCGAGGTCGACGTTAGCCTGCTCCGTGCGCGCGCGAGACAAGAGCGCCTGCTCAAGCATCACCATACCCGCCTGGTAACCTTCGCGGGTGCGGTGAAGGAGAGCGAGGTTCCGATCGTGGAACACGGAGGCGTGAGCAGCCAAGCCGGTATTGTTCACCGACACAAGCTCATACTGAGCCCGGGGCGCCCGATTCTCCTGGGCGAGGGCATGTGCGTCGGCGACGAGAGCCGCCACCGAGGGAACGGGCGTACCAGGTGCTGGAAGCGTGACGGGAAAACGTGCAGGAGGACGAGGGCGGTGTGCCCCCACTCGCGCAGACGGCACAGCCGGCAGCTTCGAGGTCTTCGGTGTCGAGTTCGTCGTCGACCACCTCTATGTCGGCAGCACGTACGTCTTCCCGACGAACCATGGACTTGAGAGGAGCGACGGCGATGCACGGCGACAGGAGAGGCTTCAGCAGGACGGGGCGCGACGGGCGCGAGACGAGTTCTGCAACGGCACACCCACCTGGGGAGTGCGCGTGCGTGGCAGCGGGACGGATGTGGAATAGCACCCCACGATATGTCGCGCCAGAGGACGGGTGACGGGAAGTGCCGGGAAAGATGGCAACCGACGAGACGGATGGAATACGACGCGTCGGGATGGCCAGAGAGGTTAACGGGATGATGGGCCTTGTGACACGCATACCGGCGGCGGAATCAGGCTAATTCTGGCTGATTCGACGAGCCGGTTCATGCGCCCGGTCACGCAAACCCCGTCGACCCCAAAAAAACCGTCAACCCTAAACCCCGTCGAGAAAATCCCGTCGAAGGAATCCCGTCGAGCTCAAGTTGTGATTACGCCACGCAAATCGGGTTGAAGGACGGTAGTGCAAGCACGACAGAAGTAAGGATAGGTACAGAGCGGTAGACTTAGCAAACAGTTTTACAGAGTAGCCAGTAGCAAGGACATAGGATAGGGTAAGGACTCAGTCCCGAAATTTCTCTGAACCACTCAGACCTCTCCCCTCCGGAAGATCGCCAGGTTCTCGAAAACCACCAAGCGTCGGAAAGCAGAGCCGCAAGGAACACGCGGCCCCCCGTCGCTCGCTGGCTCGGGCACTCACCCCCCCCCCCCTCAAACCCCGTGCTGGAAACGAAGGCACGTAAAACGTATACCGGTTAGGAGGCGCCCGATAACGCGCAGCCTAGACGAAGGACTGCATGGCCTTATAACCGCTGTGCACAAGACCCCGCGTCGGCCCGATAACGCCGCACGCCCGAAGGGATCTCCGAGGAAACGCCGGCCCGATAAGTCCGCGCGCCCAAGGAACAACCGACGCCCTAAGACAAGGAACAAGCGTCCACTCAACCCCCCCCCAACTCTGAAGCTTGCGAAGACTTGGGCTCTATATTCGAAGATACGCTACTCAAGGGAAATTGCCCGTCGCGACCGCAGATTGGACGCGTCGGGTTTGTGCGAGGACGAACTCCGCGATTTCTGTGAGGCCGCTACTCCACAGAAGTATTCTAGGGGGCGCCATTGAGGGTGGGTGAGTTGAGGATGATTCTCCACCAAGCAAGGTCCTCTCGCATGTGGGGTGTCATAGGGACAGAAGTCCATCGGTGTAGTTTGGATTCTGCCGCGCATAGGCGTTGGAGAAACGCCTTGGCCGGTCGGACGCAAGTCGCGACGTGACGGAGGGAGCCTAGGAGAGATCGATACTGCTTGCGGCTTAGAGCGCGCAAATTGTAGGCGTCGGTGACGAGGGCGCGGGCTTTGACGATCTTGTCAGCTGGAATCGACACTGTACCAGCGATGGTGTTCCGGGCCCAGGATGAGGGTCATGGCTGATCGAAGTGACTGCTCCACGTCTGTGCAGTTTGACCAGACGTCTGCAGCAATGCAGACGTGGTCATCGACCCAGTGATAGTTGAAAAACCCGTTTGGGTAATACGCGTTTGAGGTTGTGCCGTGGATGTGGGCGATCGCATCGCCGATGACTCCGTAGAATCCCGGTGATCCTGTCCAGCCGAAACAGGCCGAGAGGTCGATGACGAGGGCGTCGTCTTCGGGGATCGTCCCGGCAAAGAGGTGAGCTGAATGGCTGTGCGTGCCAAGGTTACGGAAGGCGGCTGCCACATCCTCTAGTAGAATTTTGATGCTGCGCCCGGGAAAGCGTTCTTTCTGGGCGAGAATCTCCCGAGCGATAGCTGCGCAGTGCTTGTACTCGGCGGTGGGCACTGACTCGGCGTCGGTGTGATCGTTGACGGACGCCCCCTCTGGGAAGGATAGGTCGTGGATGACCCGGCCGGCTACGTCGGGGTCACCGTTGCCCTTGTCGATCACCCCGAAGGGACTCAAGAACAGCTGGGGCTAGAATTGGGCGACGGCACGGTCGACGACGATGCAGCGGCCGAGGTCCTGCTCCTTCCGGATGTTCATGCGGAGGACTTTAAGGCTCTCGGTGGCGGACGGTTGGTTTCGTGGAGGGCTGGTTTGGCGGGGCATTGGTGACGTTAGAGTCACAGTAATCCCTTCCTGCACAATGGGCAGCAGGGTATGTAGTTTGGGGTACGTTCTGCAGCTTTGCTGTATGACGGCAGGAACGATATCCTTATTGGGACGGTAGTCGGACGTCGTCTGCCCGCGTAGCAGCTCGATTAGGGTGGGAAGTGAGCACTGGGTGCGGCGCACGTATTCAGATACCACACTCTGTAGTGGCTTGTGTAGATGGAACTGCTGGCGGCCGCCGGCCCATTCCGCCGTTGGGAAGTCCCTGTTAGGTAGTGATAGGTGGACTGCGCTGAACGCCGTCGCCGCGGCCTTGCCCCGTATACTTGCCCATATATTGGAACTCCTCCGTCCCCGGGACAGGAACTGCTGCACTTGGAGTGCGCTAGGTGGGGCACGGAGCGGTTGAGATATGGGTGACCCGCAGCTTGTGCTGTTTATTTAGCTGCGCTAGGAGGTAGCCTAGCGGATGTGGATGCGGCAATGCGCGCGCCATGATGGGATGCGTGCGTGACCTGATGATTGCGCGGTTCGAGTGAGGCCGCATAGGACGTTGGATTGGGTGCAGGGTATCGAGATAGCAGATCTGCCGTTATGTGTTGTTGGCCGGGGTTGACGGTGAGGTTGGATACGATCTGAGGCATCGCGGTTTCATGGTGCGTTCTAGAAGGGGAGGTGTCTTTGGTTTGACTACCGGTATGGTGAGTCGGCGTATGTAGGTGCACGGTGGTGCCACTGTGTGGTGGGTTTAGTACGTTACGTGGGTGCGTAAGCAGATCCACGGGCTCAGAAGTAGAGGGGATAAACAATGCGGCGTTTGTATTAGCGTCAGTGGTATCAAGTGTTGGGGTCCGAAGCGCCTGTGAGCCGGTAGCGCCTCGGCACCCTCAGGGGCGGCGAGGGCCGTGATGGCCGCGGCGGGTGGTGCCGTACTGCCTGGTAATGTACGATACTAGGTCTCTGGGAAGAGGGCCGTCCCACGTGTGCGTGCGGAATGAGTACGCGCAGCGGTCTCGGGTACCTCCGGTGCACATGCCGCCGCCGAAGAAGCGCAGGCATGGCTCCGTACCGTCTGAACGACGAGGCACCAGGGCTCGGATGTTGTCCGGCATAGCCTGGGGGCGGCTGTTTTGCGCGCGCCGTGGTTGCCCGGCCTGTGGAGGCGCGCGCAGTGGAGCAGGTTGAGATTGGGCTGTGGCTGTGAGACTCTGCAGAGCGAGCAGCCATTCAACCGACCTGTACTCGATTGCCTCGGTGTCGGCGCAGAAATCCCTCCGAGTCTTCCGACAGGTGAGCGACAGCGCGACCGAGATAGACGTTCGCATACTGCAGCGTGCGTGTCACGCGTTCCGAGGTGTTAGCCGGGTCGGCCCTCTGATTGTCGAAGACAAATCGACGGAGTTGATCCAGCAGCCGATTCATGTGCGGGTACCAGTGAGTAGCACCGAAGGAGCTGAGCCCGCTGAGTGCAAGTAGAATATCGTCGTAAGTTGTGCACTCGGCGGGCTGTGGCGGTTGAGCTGCTGAACTAAAGTCCAGCGAGAAGTTGGTGTTGTTCGAACTGCGCTTGAGCCTCTCGTCGTCCGACAGATGGCGGAAGTGGGAAAGGGACAGGCCTTGAGAACCAATGCGCACGCCGTAGAGACCAGACGCGGTAGCAATACTCGAGTCGAAAGGGATGCTGGCGAGGCGACGAGTCCACAGGAGCGTGTCGGTAGGGGGGTGAACGCACCGTCGGAGCGAGACAGGTTTGCGATACTTCTATAGGCGGCAAGGATGTGCGTGACGTGCGGTACAAACTCGCTGCGGCTCCGCTGATTGAGCGACGGGAAGCTAGTAGATCGCAGCTTGCGTAACTGCGCCGGTGGTAATTCATTCGTGTGGAGCGCAGGTACAGTCCAAGAGACGGTGCGAGTCCCGTCAACCATGATTGGCTGTAGCTATGGGCGGGCCGGCGGCGCCAGAGTCATAGTCGGGTTGGCTTCGGCAGCGTCCAGACGCCTGCTCATGTCAATGACCAGGGCGCTGAGAGAGCCTACTTGAGCTGCAAGACGTTCAATGGCGTTGTCACCCGCGGCTCCGCCTGGGAATCCACTGGGGGCGGCCCCGCTGGCTGCCTGTGGGCCCGAAAGAAATGAGGCTAAGTCAAAGTTGTCGCTGGTGTCGATCTCGCGAGATCCCGAGAGAGCTGTCTGTGCACTGGCTCGTCCTTCCGCTGGCGGCGCAGACGACCCAAATGGCGACGGCCCTGCTGATGGTGACCGCGCAGCATGTTCGCCGGCATCGCCCGGTGAAGGTGGACTGTCGAGGTAGATGATTGAGTGCCTTTTGTGTTGGTGCTTGGAGGAGGTACCGGGCTGCACCGCTGGGGCAGCGCCGGCCGCGCCAGAGTCCGCGGCGCGCTTCGAACCCCCGCGCTGGACTGCCTGCACACCTCGGGCAAGTTTCGCTGCTCGAGCGGCGGTGCCAGTTTTTGCTTGCCAGCCGCTTTTGCCCGTGGCGCGGTAGCCGATGTAGGCGAAGGTGACGGCGACGCCAGCAGATCGTCGGGACCGCAAGGCGCCGGTCGCGCGAGTTTCTTCTTCCGCTCCGCCGAGCGTGCGGCACCCTCTGCTTTCCGCTTCTGAATTCTGCGGCTCGCGCGAGGAGTTGTCGAAGTCGAGGACGGGGTCGGCCGAGTGCCATCCGCCTCAGCGGGCTCCGATCCCGGTGGTGGTGAAGCTGGAGCTGGTGTTTCCGTCACGACCGTAGCCGGGCCGGTGCTCATGGCCCGGGATGGGGATGGATGAGCGGACGATATTGCCAGCTGGTGCGTGGGTGAGCTGGGGGGCGACATCGGCACTAGGTCGAGGCTGGAGCTGGGAGGAGATAGAGGTGAGGAGGAAGGACTACTTGCGAGGCTTAAGGCGAAAGGCCGAATGAGCAGTAGCGTTCGGCAGCTCCACAGCTTCTCGCTCTCGGCCGCACACCGTCCTCAGACGCCGAGCACTGTTCTGAGCGGGGTTTCTTAACCGCTGCGCCTCCCCCCACCAAGAAACACTTTTTCGTGCCTGCGTCACGAAACCACCATGCGTGTCAACTGTGAACGATGGCCCCTTAAATCAAGGCTTGATCTTCAAGCAGGTCCTCGCGCGATAAATTGATGGTGTCTCCTTGACCGGCCCTCGCACTGCAGTTCAACTTTGGTGCCGGTGGTCCCCTGGGTGCTGCGTATCAAGACCCGACTTCAACGAAGTGCAGCGGCCATGATGTCCAGAGATCTACTCCGATGTCCGATGTCTTCCAAAGATCAAGCGTCGAACGAAGTTACAGACCCATCTCCGGTGCGTACGAGTGGTGAGGTTGAGAACCCGATACAGTACTTGCGATTGCGACTCTCACCTCAACATTTTCACTCACTTCTTCGTCAATGAACCGTTGCTCAGGTCTCCACGAGCTCCGACAGAGCCGTCGACACTTCACCATGCAGTTGAAGCAGCAACAAATGAGCACGAGTCACTCGTGCAAAGCGCTCCAGTCGATCGAGCACCCGAGGCATCGCCGAACGGAGCAGCGGCAGCTCCACCAACAGCGGCACGAACTCATACGCGTATCCAGCCGAGATCGCGACGAGCAACGCATCAGCCAAGTCGACTCTACGTGGAGAAGATACCGGCAAGACATCGACGCTGGCAACCCACTCCGCACACAGCTCCGTCAGCAAGACACCGCTGATCCGACTTTCTTCTGCGTCGTCATCAGCTACGTCGTCGTCGTGGTCGACCTCGAGGTTTTGATCATGTGCTTCCCGAAGCCAATGCAAGATGTCTCGTCGAACGTGCTCGTGCAGCAGCAGCAGCTCTGAGCGTGGAGAACGAAGCACCATGCGGCCTCGTGGAAATAAACGTGCACCATGACGCTGAAGGCTTTCGACGATGGCATCGCGTTCGACTAGCCGACGACTCGTGCTCGCTTCCGTTATTCCAGCAACATACAAACTCGTCTTCCCGCGTTGTTCATGGCGTTCAGCGGATTCGTCGCTTCATCCAGCTCCTGCAAGTCTCCAAATACGACTGCGAGTTGTCGTAGCAGCGTTTCCATCACGCTGACAGAGCCGTGCTGAGCTGCGTAATGCGCAGGCGACTCGCCCATTGCCGTGACAGCCGTCAAGCTCCCACCTGCAGGATCCAGATCCACCAGCAGCTCCATCAACTGCGGACTGCGCTTTACAATCGCGTGGTGCAGTGGCGTCTCCCCTGCAGTATTGCTCACTGTTACCGAGGAGTACCCTCCCTCCACAATGAGACGCACGGCTCCTTCGATCTCAATGTCCACAGCGCTGGACAGGACGTCGGCCGCAAAATCTCTTCGGTGCGCTGTGGCCACCATGTGGTGGTGGTTCAACATGATCTGCAGCATGTTCATGCTGCGGCGCCATAAGCAGTGTATGAGTGGGGACTCGCCGTTTTCATCGCTTAGATCGATGTCGGCTCCGCGAGATACAAGTAAATTGGCCACGAGAAGACTGCCTTCCTGGATGCAGTGATGAAGGGCTGTTTTGCCGTTCTATTATTGTTGTCCATGTTTTCAATTGCAAAAACAAAATAAAAACGTTAGAATCATTAATGCGATGAATTGACTACATCACAGATCAACTCTTACCTCGTCTCGAGCGTCGACGTCAGCGCCAGCATCCAGAAAAAGCTTGGCAACGTCAAGCACATCGCCATTCGCAGCGTAGTGGAGTGCACAATACCCGTCCTTACTAAGCCGTGCTAAAGCACGGAGAAGCTCTGGATTTTATCATGTAGTTTTGATTCTAGGTTTGATTCTAAGTTAATTTATCTTAAATGTGCCTAGCAGTTCTGCCCGAGGTTCTTTGGTTAGAGCGAAGTATCCTTAAATTTCAGCAGTTGGTGCTTTGTCTTTATTCGGGTTTGCTACCAAGTTCCGAAACCATGAAAGTATGCACTGCCAACTATCTCAAGCCCTTACGCAAGCATGTACTGGTCACTCGCTATGCCTTAGCTATGTTGCAATAATATGCAGCCAACGTCAAGACTTGAATGCGGCGGTAACGGTACGTATGCACGTGCAGAATGGTTGAAACGAGCACGTGCAGAATCGTTGAAACGAGACCAGCATCGTTTGAAGACTTCAACGACACCCACGACTTTAAATTGTGTTCGTGGGTGTCGTTCCATGACTTGAACGTGGCGACACCGATGTAACATCGTTGAACATACATGTACTGCAAACACATGTTTGGAGTCATGGTCGAGCGACATCCGATCGATCGTGTCACGCGAATGTCGACCCTAAAAGACTCAAGCAACACGCCGCTGGATAATATATTATCCAAGCGTTTATTAAAGTTAACGGGTACGTTCCGATACGTTAATGATTCGTTCGTTTATAACCGATAGCGGAGCATGCATTTTTATAGTGATTTGCACCTGCAGTAGTATCGCCCTAACAAATCTGGATAAAATCCAGAGAACAAGCACGATAAAAACGCACCACAGCTGATGTCAAAGAGACATGCATCGCAATATAGCACACCCAGCATAATTTGTAACCAAAGCGTACCTGACTTCGAGCACTTGCATCAGCTCCAAACCGCAGCAGCACCTTAGTCACTGCCACATTATCTCGCGCAAGATCACTATCCTCGTGTCGACACTGCACAATTCCAACGAGAGAACTACCGTCAGCCACAACACAGTTCATTCCTTCGGGCAAGCGGTGCCGTCCACGTACATCCTCCACGATGTTCCGACGAACAGCCTGGTTGTTGCGGAAGCCGCAGCGCATGACCACGACGTTGTAGCGCAGCAGCGCCACCATGCTGGGCGTGCGTCCTCCGTGGTTACGGGTGTCGGGGTCTTGGCCCGCTTCAAGCAGCATCTCCACGACGTCGAGACTGTGTCCCCACGCAGCCGTGAGCAATGTGGAGGCTCCACTCGTGGACAAGTGGAAGCTCTCCCAACTGCAGAACTGTCGTCGCGTCGGTGCTCCAGAGGCGGGCGTATTCACGAGCTACGGCAGGATTCGATATACCGAAAGGTAATTAGTCAAAATCTCGTTTGTCAGTTGATGCTTTGTTAAGTAAAGTCATCATCCGTTGCTAGACAGATCTGATCACGTGAAAAGTGTACGAGAACGGACCCGCTGCAGGTCGAGCCACTGCGGGTGTAGGCGGCGCAGTCGCCGCATGGTCTCCACATCTCCCTGCGCACCGGCCGCCAGCCACGCTGCGTGCACTTGCTCCATGGAAGTAGCTGAGGAGCTGTCGCCCGAGTCCGAGTTGGCTGGTGTCATGATGGTTTTATCGTGTTTTTTAAAAACTGTGGGACGCGTGGAGAGCGGGGAGGACCGGGTGGAGGTAATTGCATCACAACGATACGAGCATCTGCAGCTGAGTTTCCAGCTGCCGTGTCTTCATAAATGAGAATTTCTCGGTGGAATCCTTCGCAGTCGAAGAGATCATCATTTGGCTCCAGAAATTGTTGGTCTGGCAACAATACCTAATAATTTCCCTAGCCATAATTGGTCCAAAAGATATAAAACTGTCGACCCCGAACAGCCCGTAACAACCGGAGTCGTGAAGCAGCCAAGCGAGAACCATCAGCGTATCCAAACTTCATGCCGACTAATAGTGTAAAACGCTCACGGGTGTACGCAGACACAGAACGTGTTCTTCAGTTGCAGAGGTGGCTCCGTTCATACACCCGGCCTTCACCGTCCGTTTGCTTGCATCGTCCTGTTCGCCCCCAATCTCGCGCAGTTTTACAGTATCCACTCAACGACAGCACTGCTGAATCGCTCGGCTTGAATGTGGCGGCGAGCTCCTGAAGCAGACCAGCCAACTTGCGCTGCATCTTGAAAACAGTGCTAAACCAGGCTCTGATGAGGTGTACCGCAGTCTCTTCATCTGTGGGTGTGTGCGCGTCTCATCCAACACGTTAACGCTTGTTCTGCAGAAACCCAGCCACTCTTGAGCGTATCTTCTTGCTGTCTTGTACGCAGGATCATGCCACAATTGTTTTGAGCGGTAACGTAGTACACTTTGATAACTGTCACCGTGCGCCTCGGGGTTCGTGTATTTTGCAATACTCTCAAAGCGGGGCAGGATCGCCCAAATCTTCTTGCCTCCGTGCGCAACGCAATCCACCAGACCAGGAGTCGCACTGGTTAAGCCCAATTACATCAGGCAGCAGAGTTCCCGCCGAGTACACATGGGTAATCGACAGATCATTGAGTCCGCACCAATTCAACAGGGTCTGCAAGACGCTCGCCCGACAAGCCCCGCGAGATCCCTCTGCACACGGCAGTGTAGCGATGTTTACTTCAATATTGTTTCTTGGTCGGGCTGTCGCTGTGGAGTCAAGAGTCCGACCTCTCTCTCTTCAGTGCACCCACACGCGCAGCCGAAGTGATGAGCCAACTGGGATGCTCGCAGCTACTGTGCCGCTATCGACAAGGGAAGATGGCCCGTAGCCCACGTTTAGCGCAGGCAGGCAGGCACCTTCGACGGCAGTCGAACCAGCCACAGATGACGACGAAGACGCTTGCACTTGCTTGCCAGTTAGGTCGTCGTCACGGAGATCAGTTGACAGTACTGTCGTAGCTTTCTTCTGAAGTGAGTGGTATAGCGCAGGCCAGATGAGTGGTCGAGTAAGGTGCGAGTAAGGTGATGAAGGCCGTCTCCACGAATAGCTGAAGTTGTGAAGCAGTCAAGAAACCGCAGCGAGAACCAAAAAATATTTTTTTCCTGCTAATGTGATTGGCTGGCACATGGCCAAATTATGCTGCCGCGAAAATAGTTTTGTCCGTGCTGACAAACTGCGCACACTTGCCACTTGTTATGATTTGACTATGGCTGTCGCCAGTGGCACAACACGTTGTCGCCTGGTTGTCGGACTATCAAAACAGCTACCCCCTGCTTCTTCGAGTATGACCTCGAGAAGATGCGGAACTTCTCCAGCTATCAATGCTTCCTGAGATGGCGGCAACTGCTCTTCCGGTCCGGGATTCCTAGAATAGCATTGCCTGTTACAATGAACAAAGCCGTGCATTCACCCGGTATTTTTTATGGGCAATAATTGCATTTCTCGATAGTAATTAATGGTGCTCATACTTCAATCTATCAATAGTACTCGGCCACGTGCCAATACTATCAGCATCAGATAGCTTGCTGTCACTTGTGACACGGAGCCTGCCTCGCCCGCCCCGTTGGCTCGGTTGGATCAAGGAGGAAAGTCAAGACGATCCACCACGACGCTTAAAAGGTTTGCGCATAATGTATTTCATCGTGTTCTGAGCGTCATGGAGAAGTGATCAGACTAGCACACTGTGTGGTAGTCTGACTAGGGAATATCAGTATTTTGAATATCAGTACTTTACTTAAGTATTCAAAATACTGACATTTCCTAGTAGTGTTCGCACAAACGCTGTTTATTAAACACGAGCGTTGTAAAGTGTTTGTCAATGTATAGCGACTATCTAGCAAAATGTAAAAAAAACTAAAAGGAAAATGCAATTGCAGTTTGTAGAGTTCAGTTTATCTCTCTCTCTCTCTCTCTCTCTCTCTCTGAAACTCAAAAAATATTTCCGGATAGTCACTACACTGCGCAAGTCCTGTTACAGTGACACCTCCCTAAATGAACCCCTCTAACTGACCATGTGTTCCCTATCTGGTTAGGATTCCTCGACTGCAAACGGGATTATATGGATTTCACTATAGGTGTTTTATAACTGATCAAAAACCTCTTTATTCTCTAAATGGTCGCAATTGTTGGCGCCTCAACCCTCTAAATGGACGCCGTGGTAATAGATCCAAACTCATATATTTTTCTCAATCACTTGCCTGCCTCCTCCCACGTATGCCATTGTAATAATACTCCAGCCACAAGAAATCGAGCGAAGAGAGAAATTGTATTTGGGATGCTAAGTTGGAACAAAGAGTTTGCAGTAACTGCAAGCTTGTGATAAATAAGCTAGCTACAGTATTTTACAATCAGCGCAGCGTACATATATATTTTACGAAAAACTAAAATATTATGATGTCGAGACAACTAGGGGCAGTAGATATCAAGCAAAACATAAAACTGTAGTTATCTCCGGGCCTCTCCCGGGTTAGATCATCAACTAGAGCCGCCTCGTTCGGGTAACTAGCTTAGAATCACATCCTCAGAACTGTTCATGGCCTGGCCACCTAGGCAACGGGTACTCACCGCCGGGTCGGGGCTGAGCGTTCCACCAGCTAAGACTGGCCCTCTCCCCTTGAGGGTCCAGGGTAGAGACGATGAGGAGGGAGCACTAAGCGACCACGGCCTGGGAGTGACCGGTCTGCTCCCCGCTATTCCCTATGAAATATGCAACGGGTCGCCGTGCGTCGCCCTGCACGAGCCACTTGGCCCGCACGGTACATTCGCACACACAGACCCCTCGGCCAAGGCGCCAACTATAGGCACCGCAGCCCCCGCAGTCTCTCTCTACGGTCCTCTAGCACTCTACTGTCCGGCCGTCCCCGCCGTTCCCGTACGGCGTACCTCGTTTTACGATGTATCCGGCCTCGTCCGGCGTTCACAACCCGTGCTCCAGCGCCAAGTTTCTCAGATTAGTCTCCACTGAATGCCCGTCCTGCACTAAATCTTGACTGAGAGTCGAGCAGCACGCCGCTGCTCGCCGCTCTCCTACGAAGCCCCCTATACCACCTACCTACGGGAACGGCGCCCTTCTCCTAGCTAACTGCTTGGACCTCTCCCCCTTCGGGGCGCATCGCCCGTCTCGAAGCCTCCGGGCCTCACATCTTTCGCCTCCATGTCGCCCCGCCTTGTCCTCATACTGCTCACCGTCCCTGCCGGACGTGTCGTCTCCCTCGCGATCTTCCATCTTCAACCTTCGAACTTCTAGCTACCCCACGCACGCACGTGACAGCAGCCAGCTGGCTAGTCCTTGCCACCGATCGACGTCCCTCGTACACTCTCGCCCCGATCTACGTAACGTACACCACGTTGAGCACGTCCGGCGTCACCTGCTCGCCGAGCAGTTTCTTCTCGCTGCCGCTGCAAGTGACCAACTACAAAACTGCAGGCATGGTGGCAGGATATCGGGACAACAAACATTCCTATAACCTCGCTGTATTGAAACTCACGTACAACCTGAGGGGATGCGATTCTGCTAATACCAATGAGAAGAAGGAGTAGGAACAGACAATACCGCGCCTACCGTTATTGGTTGAGTTCTGTTTGTGTGAAGACGAAACAAAACAAGAGTACGAAAATGCTGGAGGGGTACCAGGTAAAGAAAGCCCTTGTGCACCTAACATATAAAAATGAAGCCATTAGAAGTGTAGCCATTTCTTTATCTGATCAATTATTTAACTGAAACAGCGTATTAGACCGAGCGAACTGGGTGTCATTTATAGAGGTGTGACTGTACTATGGTGTTGTAATATTTCGAGTGTGCTACAATATTACTATCGCTACTCATTTGTGGACTAGTGCCAAGCGATTCCTACCAAAGTCAGATTCACAATATGCGAGACGCAGCACAGCAGCACGTGTATTTACATGGGATGCTTGAAATATTTTTTCTGAAATTTATTTCAGAGCTAAGGGAGGATCCGGGTGGAGGTCCGATTTTCCCATTTATAAACACCTGGTAATTTATATAGATTGATATATAGAGGCATATTTTGAAACGGCTGATGTTGAGGTACAGTGGCGCTTTTATAATTAATACCCGAGAAAATTCATAAATTACGTGGATGCTACCTGTGTTGTCGCCCCCTCCGCTTATGTACGTTCCAGATGTTGCTTGAAAGTATCTTAGAGAGGCGCAATGCATCACCTCGTGCAAATTGCATAAGGTGTTGCATTGCTTTGAGCCAAATGACAATAACGGCAGCGACAAGAATGCGAGTGCCAGCAATAATGACATGAGTAGCACTAATTTCATGCGGCATGGGCACCTGGGCACCAATGATCACCACCCACACCCCTGAAGATCCGTAGTATACAAAACAAATCCATGTAGAAGACGGCAGTGAACGGTTATGAGGGCTGGTTGTCGCATAAAAACCCCGCAAACAAGGTCGCGCGGTATTTGCAGAAGCGGAAACCAGCGCCGAACATTCCAATGAATAAGTCTGTTGCCGTAAGTCGGAGAAAGCTTTTCCAATGTTATGGACTGCATTAGGAAAGTAGAAAGGCAAACAGATAACCAACAGTAACAGCAGAATAGTGCTCACGACAGGTGAATAGTGGCTGGCTGTAGGTGGGCAAGCGCCAAACAGTGCTGAAGTAACAGCTCATAAATGCGCGATAGTATCTTTACAGCACGATGAAGCGCAACGAGTTCGCGTGCGTCGCTGATCTCCGCCGCTAGGGCCGCGGCGAGGCCGTCGGCGGCGCCTAATAAGTTATTACTCGGAAGACCAGCTGTACCGATGCGCATAATGACAAGAACTCGGGGTGATTGAAGTGTACAGCAACAGCACGCACCAAGTTCGCTCCGCAGTAAATTTTACAATTCTTCAATCCCCTCCCACACTAAAGCTAAGGGAGCAGTAAAAAAGAAGAAGGAAAAAACTTGTTGCGCGCGCAGAAGTTAATTGTGGTCGAAGGGCGAAAGATATGTACGACTTTTGCCAGCTTCCAAGCAATCAAGCAGATGCTGCGGTTGCGAAGCAGGCGCAGGAGATGCGTTGTAATTGAGAGATGATCGTTGGCGATGAAGACGGTGGCGAGCGAAGCGAAGTAGGGTAGGAGAGAGGAAAGGAGAAATGAAAAGTGATTGAGCTTAGCGAAACTACATGTACCCAAGAGCGGCCTTGGTGCCCTGACTTTGCTGCCAAACTGGTAGCCTCTCGCATTTCACATGATGTCCCTACATATTGACGCAGATGATGCCGCGAGTCGGTGTCTGACCTTCAACATCCCACGGCGGGCACTGCAACTCAGTTGAAATCTCGTCACAGCGAAACGTGTTCGTCACCTCCGCGTTAGCGTCCAACACTCTCAATCGGCGGACACCGAGGTTGCGGCGGAAACGCTCGAACTAGCGGCTTGGTGAAGTGGTCGGCAACCATTTCGCCAGTCGGGCAATACTTCACGCGCACGTCTCCAGCGGTGACTTCTCTCGCAGTCAGTGATACTTGGTATCGATGTGGCTGGGGCGCTGCGTTACACCCTTGCTCTCTGTCAGGTGCTGCGCGCCCTGGTTGTCTTCCATGACAACAATTTCGTCGACCTTCACGCCAATGTCTTTCAGCACCATCATGAGCCCAAAACATTCCTGAACACCCGATGCCATGGCGACGTACTCCGCTTCCGTAAATGATAGAGGTACCACCGTCTGCTTCTTGGAGCTCTAGTCAATCAGATTACCATTGTAGTAGACAGCGTATCGAGTCGAATGCAGCATCACCGTAGGCAACCAGGCCCTCACTGTCAGTGTCCCTGTGTCCGCTGAAGAGGAGCCCGTAGTCGCGTGTACAATTTAGGTACCGGAATGCACGGTCGGCGCCATGCTGCAAAGCTGGGGCCGGACTCTCCATCTCTTGAGCAAGCAGGTGCACAGCCGTCAACAGGTCGGGCCTTGTCAGCACCGGCAAGTGCAGCAGAGCACCGAGCGCCGGCCACGCTTGAAGCCACACGAATACTGCACTTCGAACAGCTGGTTCCTGTAGTGCTCCTCCATTGGCGTCGGCGACGGGTGGCACTTGCCCATGGCGAACTGCTCGAGAATGGTGCACGCGTACTTAGTCTGGCTAACACAGACTTCGTTGCCAGCTGCAGAATGTTGCATCTCCAATCCCTAAAAAAGTAATTCACATCATCAAATTGGTTGACTTCATAGGCAGTCTCTACATCGAGCTTGAGTGCCGTCAACGCGTCGTCGTCCGCCCCAAACACCAGCATATCGCCAACGTAGACGAGCACAATCATGATGTCTTCACCATCGATCTTCACGAACAAGCAGGTGTCGGCCTTGCCTTGTGTGAAGCCGAAGCTCAGCAGGAATACGGTCAGGTTCTCATACCATGTTCTCGAAGCCTGATTGAGCCAGTGCAGCGCGCGGAGTAGAATCCACACGTATCTGTCGCTGTTCTCGTAGCCTTCCACCGGCTCCATGTACAGCTCCTCCTGTAATTCCGAGTTGAGAAACGCTGTTTTGATGTCGAGCTGCAGACGCTTCGTGCGCTGCACTGCAACACCAGTACGAGGCGAACCGTACTGTGGCGAACTACAGGACTGAAAGTCTCCGTGTAGTCGTTCCATAGCCCTGACTGAACCCTTTAGCAACCACACGCGCCTTGTACTTGTCGAGGCTCCCATCGGGGTTGGTCTGGCGCTTAAATACCCACTTGAACTTGATGGCTTTGCGTCCTCCAGGTAGCGGGACCTCGACGAACGTCCCGTTCGCGATCAAACTCTGGATCTCATCCTTCATTGCTTGCCCCCACTCGCCCCGGTGCTCACTGCGACGAACGTCGAAGACGTTGATTCGGTCAACAGCCAGAGCCCACGCGTCAACACCCGAGGCTCCGCCAGCGTGCGCACGTCGGTCAAGTTGTTGAGATGGCCGGTCATGTGGCGCCGCTGTCCACGGTCCAACCCCTCTTGCTGTCGTCGGACGCGTTTTCAACAGTGAACGTCACGCTCGCCGCTTCGGGTGGCGTTCGTTCGTTCTTGCAGTCTCGGGAAAAGTGACCCGACTGGCCGTAGCTGTAGCATTTCACCTTGCCCATGTCCTTTTTCTTCCTGGACTTAGCCGCTTTCTGTTTTCCCGCTGCTTGCTCAGCGCCGAACGCAGCAGTCGACTTGGCGCAGTCGAACCTCCGGAAGCACACCGGTATTTCTGCTGCTCTCGGTGGACGGCTTCAGCCTGGCACCGTTGAATCATTTTCTCAAACCCGCACGACTCGATAACACCAACAAAGCCGTTCCACGCAACCGAGACATTGCATGAAATTGTGGCTTTCTCTTCGTCCGGGATGATCACGTGTTGCTCCTGCAGCTCGTCCAGCACACCTCGCGTGTTCTTGATGTGGTCGATCATGGACGAATCACCGTCGAGGTACAACCCGATGTACTCGCGCTTCGCCACACCAACACTAACGCTGCACTTGAAGTTATAAGTCATGCGTAGGTGTCGCAGCATAATTAGCGGTGTGGAAGTGGATATGAAGCCCGTCTAGCTCAGTCGGTAGAGCGCAAGACTCTTAATCTTGTGGTCGTGGGTTCGAGCCCCACGGTGGGCGACTACTTTTGTCTTTCTTGCTCCGGAATGCCTTGCTCGTCTTTCTGCGTGTCTGCGGGTTGATGCGTGCGTGGGTCGCTGCCCGCTCGCATGTCGGAGTCGCTGGCTTGTCCATTGAGTTCGAGAAAGGTCTCTCGATCATGTCCGTCGGGCTTGGCGGCTGGGGCCCCGACTCGCGACCCGTCACCTGCGACTGCGGCCGGCCGAAGGGCGATGCGCGTCTGGCGGCGCGTGACCTTGGCTGCACGAAGCAACCAGCGGACGAGGTGCTGGTGCGATGAGGACGTAGCGGGGGCACCAGAGGCAGATGCTGAAGCTGTTGGCGGTAGTCGATGCGGTGATCCGTGTCTGTGGATGCGGCGTGTTCGTATGTGGATGGTATGGGTGGATAGCGAGAGGCATGTGTGGCGTGTGGTTGTGTGGCGCGAGCGTGCGTGTGTGTGTTTGGTTGTGGTGTGCGTGGTGTTTGATTTTGTATTTTTGTGGTGTGGTAGTGGATATGAAGCCCGTCTAGCTCAGTCGGTAGAGCGCAAGACTCTTAATCTTGTGGTCGTGGGTTCGAGCCCCACGGTGGGCGACTACTTTTGTCTTTCTTGCTCCGGAATGCCTTGCTCGTCTTTCTGCGTGTCTGCGGGTTGATGCGTGCGTGGGTCGCTGCCCGCTCGCATGTCGGAGTCGCTGGCTTGTCCATTGAGTTCGAGAAAGGTCTCTCGATCATGACCGTCGGGCTTGGCGGCTGGGGCCCCGACTCGCGACCCGTCACCTGCGACTGCGGCCGGCCGAAGGGCGATGCGCGTCTGGCGGCGCGTGACCTTGGCTGCACGAAGCAACCAGCGGACGAGGCGCTGGTGCGATGAGGACGTAGCGGGGGCACCAGAGGCAGATGCTGAAGCTGTTGGCGGTAGTCGATGCGGTGATCCGTGTCTGTGGATGCGGCGTGTTCGTATGTGGATGGTATGGGTGGATAGCGAGAGGCATGTGTGGCGTGTGGTTGTGTGGCGCGAGCGTGCGTGTGTGTGTTTGGTTGTGGTGTGCGTGGTGTTTGATTTTGTATTTTTGTGGTGTGGTAGTGGATATGAAGCCCGTCTAGCTCAGTCGGTAGAGCGCAAGACTCTTAATCTTGTGGTCGTGGGTTCGAGCCCCACGGTGGGCGACTACTTTTGTCTTTCTTGCTCCGGAATGCCTTGCTCGTCTTTCTGCGTGTCTGCGGGTTGATGCGTGCGTGGGTCGCTGCCCGCTCGCATGTCGGAGTCGCTGGCTTGTCCATTGAGTTCGAGAAAGGTCTCTCGATCATGACCGTCGGGCTTGGCGGCTGGGGCCCCGACTCGCGACCCGTCACCTGCGACTGCGGCCGGCCGAAGGGCGATGCGCGTCTGGCGGCGCGTGACCTTGGCTGCACGAAGCAACCAGCGGACGAGGCGCTGGTGCGATGAGGACGTAGCGGGGGCACCAGAGGCAGATGCTGAAGCTGTTGGCGGTAGTCGATGCGGTGATCCGTGTCTGTGGATGCGGCGTGTTCGTATGTGGATGGTATGGGTGGATAGCGAGAGGCATGTGTGGCGTGTGGTTGTGTGGCGCGAGCGTGCGTGTGTGTGTTTGGTTGTGGTGTGCGTGGTGTTTGATTTTGTATTTTTGTGGTGTGGTAGTGGATATGAAGCCCGTCTAGCTCAGTCGGTAGAGCGCAAGACTCTTAATCTTGTGGTCGTGGGTTCGAGCCCCACGGTGGGCGACTACTTTTGTCTTTCTTGCTCCGGAATGCCTTGCTCGTCTTTCTGCGTGTCTGCGGGTTGATGCGTGCGTGGGTCGCTGCCCGCTCGCATGTCGGAGTCGCTGGCTTGTCCATTGAGTTCGAGAAAGGTCTCTCGATCATGTCCGTCGGGCTTGGCGGCTGGGGCCCCGACTCGCGACCCGTCACCTGCGACTGCGGCCGGCCGAAGGGCGATGCGCGTCTGGCGGCGCGTGACCTTGGCTGCACGAAGCAACCAGCGGACGAGGTGCTGGTGCGATGAGGACGTAGCGGGGGCACCAGAGGCAGATGCTGAAGCTGTTGGCGGTAGTCGATGCGGTGATCCGTGTCTGTGGATGCGGCGTGTTCGTATGTGGATGGTATGGGTGGATAGCGAGAGGCATGTGTGGCGTGTGGTTGTGTGGCGCGAGCGTGCGTGTGTGTGTTTGGTTGTGGTGTGCGTGGTGTTTGATTTTGTATTTTTGTGGTGTGGTAGTGGATATGAAGCCCGTCTAGCTCAGTCGGTAGAGCGCAAAACTCTTAATCTTGTGGTCGTGGGTTCGAGCCCCACGGTGGGCGACTACTTTTGTCTTTCTTGCTCCGGAATGCCTTGCTCGTCTTTCTGCGTGTCTGCGGGTTGATGCGTGCGTGGGTCGCTGCCCGCTCGCATGTCGGAGTCGCTGGCTTGTCCATTGAGTTCGAGAAAGGTCTCTCGATCATGACCGTCGGGCTTGGCGGCTGGGGCCCCGACTCGCGACCCGTCACCTGCGACTGCGGCCGGCCGAAGGGCGATGCGCGTCTGGCGGCGCGTGACCTTGGCTGCACGAAGCAACCAGCGGACGAGGCGCTGGTGCGATGAGGACGTAGCGGGGGCACCAGAGGCAGATGCTGAAGCTGTTGGCGGTAGTCGATGCGGTGATCCGTGTCTATGGATGCGGCGTGTTCGTATGTGGATGGTATGGGTGGATAGCGAGAGGCATGTGTGGCGTGTGGTTGTGTGGCGCGAGCGTGCGTGTGTGTGTTTGGTTGTGGTGTGCGTGGTGTTTGATTTTGTATTTTTGTGGTGTGGTAGTGGATATGAAGCCCGTCTAGCTCAGTCGGTAGAGCGCAAGACTCTTAATCTTGTGGTCGTGGGTTCGAGCCCCACGGTGGGCGACTACTTTTGTCTTTCTTGCTCCGGAATGCCTTGCTCGTCTTTCTGCGTGTCTGCGGGTTGATGCGTGCGTGGGTCGCTGCCCGCTCGCATGTCGGAGTCGCTGGCTTGTCCATTGAGTTCGAGAAAGGTCTCTCGATCATGACCGTCGGGCTTGGCGGCTGGGGCCCCGACTCGCGACCCGTCACCTGCGACTGCGGCCGGCCGAAGGGCGATGCGCGTCTGGCGGCGCGTGACCTTGGCTGCACGAAGCAACCAGCGGACGAGGCGCTGGTGCGATGAGGACGTAGCGGGGGCACCAGAGGCAGATGCTGAAGCTGTTGGCGGTAGTCGATGCGGTGATCCGTGTCTATGGATGCGGCGTGTTCGTATGTGGATGGTATGGGTGGATAGCGAGAGGCATGTGTGGCGTGTGGTTGTGTGGCGCGAGCGTGCGTGTGTGTGTTTGGTTGTGGTGTGCGTGGTGTTTGATTTTGTATTTTTGTGGTGTGGTATTGGATATGAAGCCCGTCTAGCTCAGTCGGTAGAGCGCAAGACTCTTAATCTTGTGGTCGTGGGTTCGAGCCCCACGGTGGGCGACTACTTTTGTCTTTCTTGCTCCGGAATGCCTTGCTCGTCTTTCTGCGTGTCTGCGGGTTGATGCGTGCGTGGGTCGCTGCCCGCTCGCATGTCGGAGTCGCTGGCTTGTCCATTGAGTTCGAGAAAGGTCTCTCGATCATGTCCGTCGGGCTTGGCGGCTGGGGCCCCGACTCGCGACCCGTCACCTGCGACTGCGGCCGGCCGAAGGGCGATGCGCGTCTGGCGGCGCGTGACCTTGGCTGCACGAAGCAACCAGCGGACGAGGCGCTGGTGCGATGAGGACGTAGCGGGGCACCAGAGGCAGATGCTGAAGCTGTTGGCGGTAGTCGATCGTCCTCATCGCACCAGCGCCTCGTCCGCTGGTTGCTTCGTGCAGCCAAGGTCACGCGCCGCCAGACGCGCATCGCCCTTCGGCCGGCCGCAGTCGCAGGTGACGGGTCGCGAGTCGGGGCCCCAGCCGCCAAGCCCGACGGACATGATCGAGAGACCTTTCTCGAACTCAATGGACAAGCCAGCGACTCCGACATGCGAGCGGGCAGCGACCCACGCACGCATCAACCCGCAGACACGCAGAAAGACGAGCAAGGCATTCCGGAGCAAGAAAGACAAAAGTAGTCGCCCACCGTGGGGCTCGAACCCACGACCACAAGATTAAGAGTCTTGCGCTCTACCGACTGAGCTAGACGGGCTTCATATCCACTACCACACCACAAAAATACAAAATCAAACACCACGCAAACCACAACCAAACACACACACGCACGCTCGCGCCACACAACCACACGCCACACATGCCTCTCGCTATCCACCCATACCATCCACATACGAACACGCCGCATCCATAGACACGGATCACCGCATCGACTACCGCCAACAGCTTCAGCATCTGCCTCTGGTGCCCCGCTACGTCCTCATCGCACCAGCGCCTCGTCCGCTGGTTGCTTCGTGCAGCCAAGGTCACGCGCCGCCAGACGCGCATCGCCCTTCGGCCGGCCGCAGTCGCAGGTGACGGGTCGCGAGTCGGGGCCCCAGCCGCCAAGCCCGACGGACATGATCGAGAGACCTTTCTCGAACTCAATGGACAAGCCAGCGACTCCGACATGCGAGCGGGCAGCGACCCACGCACGCATCAACCCGCAGACACGCAGAAAGACGAGCAAGGCATTCCGGAGCAAGAAAGACAAAAGTAGTCGCCCACCGTGGGGCTCGAACCCACGACCACAAGATTAAGAGTCTTGCGCTCTACCGACTGAGCTAGACGGACTTCATATCCACTACCACACCACAAAAATACAAAATCAAACACCACGCAAACCACAACCAAACACACACACGCACGCTCGCGCCACACAACCACACGCCACACATGCCTCTCGCTATCCACCCATACCATCCACATACGAACACGCCGCATCCATAGACACGGATCACCGCATCGACTAC